CCTATTTTAAATAGTATACCCTTTTTAAATAAATGGTTTAAAGGTTTTGCTATATTATTAATATAATATATAAATATCTAAATAAAGTTATATAGCTTTAAAAACAAATAAATAGCTTAAGTATTAATTAAGTTTTTAAATTTCCAATTAATAATAATATTTATTTTTTTAAGGTTTATTTAAATACCTTATTTAGCTTTTAAAATTATACTTAAATAGTTTATAAAGGTTATATTAAAGTAGGATTCTTTTATATTTCTTTAAAGCCTAGCATTATAAAAGTAATATATTACCTCCTTATATTATTCTTAATACTTTTTTTTATTATATATAAATATTAGGATATTATTAATATAAACGTTATTAAAAAGGTTAAATAGTTTATATAATTAAGAATTAATAAAGTTTTATTATTAAGCAGGGCTAACTTTTAATCTAAAGGGTAGGATTAATTATTAAAATATTTCTTATTAGATTTGGAATACTATTAAATATTAGGATTTTAAGGCTATTTTTAATTTATAAAAGGCCTTAATAATATTAAATTTAATATAACGTTTAACCCTTTAACTATTATATATAATACCATTTAAGTTTAGCGTTAGAATAATATAGTCCTTTAGGTATTTATTTTTCTATTAATAATTAATATAAAACTATTTTTTAATTAAATTTAGTTTAGGGGTAAAAAGGATAAAGGAAGCTTTTACTTTTATATAGGGTTTAATAAAGCTATAGGTTAACAATTTATTTGTTATTTCTTTTTTTAATAGTAGGTATTAAATTGGAATTTAATACCGAAGGGGGTTATTTTAAGGGTTATTAATAATAGTTTTAAGAATTATATTATATCCTAATTATAATAGGGGTAATTTATTAACTTTTACTTTTAAGAAAAACTCTTTTAAATGGGCTAACTTTTTAAGGATTAAGTAATGGATTAGCTTAATATATTTAAGGTCTTTATTTTATAGGAAGGAAATATATTTATTATTAAAGGTTTTTTAAATCTTTTTTAATATTATTATAGTTACTTTTAAAGCTACTTTAATAAATTTAATAAGTATTAGTTTATTTAGGAGTACCCTTTTCTTTTATTATTTCTATTTAAGGTTTAACTTAATTTTTTTAATAAGTTATTAAATAATCCTTTTATTTTAAAATTGCTTTATCTTTAGGTTTTTAAGTTAAATGTTTTTTCGGAGGTATATAGCTGGTTGCTTTAATATAATATATTTCTTTTTTAAACTAGTATCTTTTTAATTAACGTTCTATTGGATAATAGGGTTAATTTATTAATTATTAGGAAACTTTTATATAATTTTAATTATAGGTAAGAATAGGGTAAAGGGGAATAAATCTTTTAACTAATATAATATATAACGGATATAATTTAAAATAACCTTATTTTTAGCTAACTATTTTAAATTAATTATAATATTATATTTAATATTAATAATTTAAAAGGTTTAATCTTTAAACCTTTATCTATTTACTTTTAAAGTAATAATAAAGTATTAATTAACTATATTAATAGGTTATTTTTAATAATTATTTAATTATTATAGTTATTTTAAAGTAATTAACCTAACTTTTAATTAATAATTAATATAATAAACTAATTTATAATTAATTATTAAATATATTTAAGCTTTAATATTATATAATATAATAGCTTTTATTTTAAGATTATTTATTTATATTTAAATAGGGTATATAAATTAAATAGTATTTCGATTATTTTTTATATAGGTTAAGGATAGTTTATAAATTATTAAGGAGTTTTTTAATAGTTTAATTAGTTTTTTAATTTAAATTTAATGGAAGAGAAGTTAGTAGGCTTTTTTTTACTTTTTTTATTTTATACTTAAACTATATTTTTACTTTTTTTAAGGTAATTTATAATATAATATTCTATTTTACTATAATTAAAATAAGTATTATTTTTTTAATAGGTTTTCTTTTTTTCCTTTAAAAGCTTTATTCCTTTAAGCTTTATTATAATATTCCCCTTATTTATATTCTTTTTATTATTAAAGTTATAGTTAGTAAAATTAACAATTTATTTTTTTTTTAACAATTATAATAATAGTTATAGTTATATATTACCTTTATTACTTTATTATAAAAGTATTTATATAATATTAATAGGTTAATGTTAGCTTTAAATACTTTAGTTTTAAAGTTAAAGCTAATATATTTTTATAAAAATTAAAACTATTTAAATTTAACGCATCTCCCACTTGACCTGGCCACCCAATTGAGCTGGCCACCCCAATAACCTATATAAAATCCTATTATTTCAATCTATAATAACTTTACGAGTACTGATCGTACAATTTAATAATTAATACCTTTGGATCCGTTATTTAAAGGGGAATCCAATGGTATTTTTTACTATTTTTTATAAAATTTATTAAGCGAGATATTAAGCAATACGCTAAAGGGGCGCTAAGCAAGGATTAATTTAGCGCTTACTTTAGCGTATTGTTGAATAACTCCGCGAATATAAGTCGTAGAAGTTAGTAAAGGGTACCGTTAAATAGCTCTTTTTATTACGAATCTAATGGTATATTTTATTATTTTATACGACCAATATTCGTAAAGTTATTAAATTATCACGTGATTAGCGCACCGACGTTTTTTGTATGGGCTAAGGGGGTGGCCAGCTCAATTGGGTGGCCAGGTCAAGTGGGAGATGCGTTAAGCAACTTTAACTTTAATATTAGATTGTTAAATTAAAAAATGAATTAATAAATATTAAAGCCTAATTTAAAGTAGAATTTATTTAAAGCGTTTTATATTTAAATAGTTTAATTTAAGTTATAATAAGCAGTTTTTAACGTTTATACTATTTTAACTAAATTATTATATAATTAAGTAATGGAATAAAAGTAAGTTTTAATTACTTTTTTAATATTCTCCTTTAAAAGGGATATAATATAATATATTTAGCTTTTTTTAATATAATATATTATTATATCTTCTTTAAGTTTATTAGTTAGCTTTTTTAATTAATTATTAAATAAATCCTTATTTTCGGAAAAGGTATTTAAGTTAACTTTATAGGTTTTAACTTTCTTTATATATTTTAGGTTTAGGTTTATAAGGTTACTTACCGGGTTAATTATTTTAAAGATAGCTTATATAATTATATTAATTAGCTTAAAGTTAATTTTATTAAAGGTACTTTTAATTATACTTTTTTATAACGTAAAGGTTAGGTTACCTTTTTTTATTTAAGCTTAAAAAGTAGTAATTTAATTTTATAGCTATTGGATTAAAGTAGTTTAATTAGTAGCGTTTATTTTATTTATTAATTAGGGTAATTTTATTAATCCTTTATTTAAATTAAGGTTTAATGGTAAAAGTATTATATCTTCCAGTTTAGGATTTAAAAAGTTTTAAAAGCTATTTTTAAATTTAATATTAGTTTTTTCTTTTTCGATAAAAGAAATAGGGTTTTAAATCAATTATTTATTAATTATAGGAATATTAGGTATAGTATATAATAATAATTATTAAGATTGTTTTAGGTTATTTATTTTAATTAAGGTTTTTTTAATTTTAAAGGGTATAGGGTTTAATTTTATTAATTAGGTTTATTATAAAGTTATATTTATTTATCGTTAAATATAAAATATAATAATAGGAAAAGGTTTAATTTATAAATTATAAATAATAACGATTAAATATAAATAATATATTTATATAACGTTTATTAATAAAAAGGAGGAATTTAAAATAGTATTATAATTAGGGTTTTAAGGTATAGCTATATTAATACTATAAATAAAGATTTTAAGCTAAAGAAAAAAGGAAGGAAAGATAAAACTAAAATATACGTATATATAGAGATATATATGGGCTAATAACTATTATAAGTTATATGACCTTATCGGCACGGGTTTCGCGTATTTCTATAGTGTCCCTTTACAGTGCGTATAGTATTCCGGTATAGTACATATCTGACACGTTCGTCACAGCGCTTACTTTAGCGTATTGCTCAATAACTCCACGAGTATAAATCGTAAGAGCTGGTGAGGGGTACCGTTAAATAGGTCTTTTAATTACGAATCTAATGGCATATTTTATTATTTTATACCACCAATATTTATAAAGTTATTAAATTATCACGTGATTAGCGCACCAACGTTTTTTGTATGGGCTAAGGGGGTGGCCAGCTCAATTGGGTGGCCAGGTTAAGTGGGAGATATATTATAAATTACAATTTATAGTTTAAATTTTTTTAACGCATTCTTTATTATTATAAGTAAAAAGAATAATAATTAAAGTATAAAATATAAAAAGTTATAAAAATTTAACTATATAATAATAAAAACTATATAATAATAAAATATATTAATAAATAAATAATAATAATAATTTTAAATTAAAATATTAAGTAAATGGGGATTATAAAGTAAACCTATATTAAAAAGATAAAGGCCCTTATAAAAATCTTTATATAGTAAAGCAAATTATATAAAAAATAATAAGATTTTTAATTAATATATTAAATTTTATATATTATTACTTATATTTAACAACTATAAAGGAGATCTATATTAAGAAGATAAGGGCTTTTATAAAATCTTTATATAACGAAGCGCGCTATATAAATAATAAAAAGACTAATCAATACATTAAATTCTATATACCATTGCTTATATCTAACAACAACCTCTTATAATAGATGAATCACCTACCGCGAGACATGCATTCCTCCACCCGTCCTTTACTGGAATCTATCTGCAACTGTATTGGAAAGACATTGTAGAAGATTATATAAAGTGTAGCTTAACGAATCTAGAAGACGCGTTCCCCGCTATATTAGGCCTTGTGGTAAAATACCTATTTAGTGATAATAAGTGCCTCATGGGCGTCGCTTCCCCTCTCTATACCAGTAAGGATAAGCTAAAATTAACAGAGTTGCAATTCCTTTAGCTTCATTGGCTCTCAATTAACTAGCTCGCCTAATCTGACATGTACCGCTATCACCCATATAATGAGTTAGTATGGACTTCGATACTCAGTTCCTAATATTGCATAATTCAGCCACTGCTCGAAAAGTCTTTCATAATGTCTGACTCTGTAGCGATAACCAAGATGTCCTTATCTACCCAAGCTCCATGGCTCCAAGATTTGATTCCAATTTTAGGATCATAGATTTGGAAGTCAAAGTGGCGGAGAACCTTAGCATAAACAATGTAAGCGTTAGTCGGACCAAGAAGGCGGTTGGCAGTCCTAAACTGACCTCAAATATCGTCTTGTTCAATTCAAGCCAAGCAACAATCTTGCCAGCACACATCCAGCGGCCATAGCCGAAGACAAGGTCAACATTTCGTTGCATCTCGGTGCGCGTAACTTCGTCAGCCTCTAGGAATCGTTCGGGGCGGAATAAGTCTGCATCCTCCCCAAAGAGGACTTTGGAGCGCATTAATGAGGGAAGGTTGGGTCCGACAGTCGTCCCGCCGGGAACAAAGTATCCATTGATGCTATCACCTCCAGGCGGCACCTCTTTACCAAAGGTCGCAGTAGCAACTGGACGTATGCGCAAGCCCTCGTAAAGAACGGCCTATAAGACGTTAACCATCTTGATGCGTTGTGTACATGAGCTGTACGTTGATAACTTAGACGAAGCAACGCAGGGGGGGAGAATACCTGTAGGTACTGTAGCTCTTTTGCCTCTGCCGCTGTTATTGGATTCGAGACTCTTCCGCGCTCTATTGCAGTCATCATTTCCTTCTTCAGCCTGTTATAAGCTACAGGTGTAGCAATGAGATGGAATAGTATCATTCTGAGAGCACTAGCTGTTGTCTCTGAGCCAGCTACAAACATGAAGAACCCTTCGGTCTGACATTCTGCTTCGGTAAGCCCATGACGACGAAATGATCCCTTGAGTCAAAGCAGGTTAGTGATAGTGGCTAGCTCCCAGTTATATTCTTCTTACTAGCATGTCTTTTAAGGCTTTAACGTCGCCGGTGTATCTCTTGTGAACCTCGTCGTTGGTCAATCTGCATGTCTATGATCAGTAATCAATCAATAGTAGGCAATCGTGACGTGGTTGCTCACTTCATCATTCGGCCGAGGCCTGAGCTGTCTGTTGGTTTGGGGCCAAAAAGTTTGATGCCCAATGATGAGAAAACAAGTTTGCGTGCCCATGGAATATCGGCACAGACATTCATCAATGGTAGGTGAGACTCTACAACGTGGTAGAATCCGTGCACATCCTTATCTGCTTCGAGGCAGCCGAATTCCTTTCCGAGGGCAAGGCGAGATATCACATCCAAAGTAAACTGAGGGAATATAATGCTCAGGTCAAGTGGCATCACTTTGGAGCTAGGGTCTGTTTTGCGGACATAATTCCGACGAATTGCGCTAGTCAGATTTTCGATTTGCTCATTGATGGCAGACTCGAGTCCGGGTGTTTCGCGACCGGAATAACCATGTGAGGTCTTGGCCTTACGTTTATCGTGTGTAGCAGGCTCTACCATTGTGAACATGGCATCACTGTCCGGATGGAAACGGGCGCCATCATACCACCCAGACCGTGGGTACTCGCTTTTCGCATTAGATATGCGGCGAATCGTCTCAGGGTCGTCAGTGTTGACTTCATTCGGTCCAATTCTTACCAAATGACCATATCTCCCTCCTAGATGCTTGTGTATCTCGTATTGTTTGCCGCTCCAGCCCGAGTAACCAATCCATAAGTATGAGAAGGAGGCAAAGAAAGGCCCCGGGATGTGGCGAAGACGATGCCATTGGTAGATGGTTGATGCGAGGAAATATCCTACTATGAGACAGCAAAGAGCTGTCAAGGCTTGGGTATCGAAAACACCCATATTATCAATCAGTTAAGGGGTTTGCCAATGTATTGAAATATTTCGTCAAGCTCCCTAGAAAAATATAGAAGTGACGGACAGTTCTATATACTCACCGCTGCGTCTGCCTCGACCTTATATAATACGAAAAAACCAGGGACCAGTTTCGGTAGATACATGGTGTGCATGGGGTAAGATGCGGGACGGAGCGTCGTATCGATATCTATTTTCATACAAGTTAGCTAGGTCACCCATGTCTCTCTCTCATCCTGGACATCCCTTGAATGCCAGCTTGATTATGTAAAGCAACATTTACTCTTCTCCAGACATTTCCTCTTGGTTAACCATCTCTCAACAAGATGTCTATACGAGCCATTTCAAGAGGGAATCTAGACCTTTTTGGTTCGAAGCGTGACTCGAGCGCTTATGGCAATTCCCGACGACTCCTAGTATCATTTACATTACATGGGGTTACGTATACCCCTGTTCCTGGAAAATTTTTGTCTACAAACACTTGGCAGCATAGAAACTGACGAGCTGAACTGTGTTCAATTACACTTTATCGCCTTCTAGCATTTAAACCCTTCTTGGAGGCATTTAGCATGGGTGCCACTACGGATAGCGTAAGACGGGAGGAAGCGAATTACAGTAGTGCATCGCAATACAAATACTTGGCATTGAGAAGTGTGTGGGTAATGTTTCAGTGTCAACTACAGGGTTTATTACGATTTTACGCTAATCCCATATAACAACGTTGTTAGATGAATTAAGATAGGCGACAGTAGAAAACAGAGAATTGAGGGTTTTTCATAATGAAGCATAGCCCGGTTAGACTGCACAAATGTAACAATCCAGGCAAGACTCGTCTTAGAATCAATTAAGGGTTGATCATTTAGCTATCATTTCCATACCAAGACGACCATCCTCCACGTCTTTCGAGTGCGCACTGGGTCAAGGATGGAAGTAATACCATTGAGCTTGAATCGTTGTTTCATCAGCGATAAGAGAGCCGGTCGTTATATTATCGGGATGATCAACTTAGATCAACCGCGCGCATATGATAGTTAATAGAATTACCATCGCCAACTTCGTTCTAGATTCATATTCCCTTTATTTATTATCTTTTAGCTTTTTAATATATAAATATACCTAAATAGCTATAAGGTACTTAAATATATTATTAAGTAGTTGTATAAAACTATAACATAAATGTATTTCCACCTACTAGATTTTAAATGGAAGCTTTACAGTTCTTATATATCCAGGTTTCTCTCAAGCAACTCATTAAGATATGAAAAGTTGAAGAGCATTAGACTTTGAGGCGATTAAGACTAGAACATTGGCTAAAGGTTCGAATAATGTTTCATCAGCTTATCAGCTGCACAACCTAATCATGCTTCTTAGGAGCGTTGATATATAGTAGGGTTATTATCCCACCAATTGCGAAGCACAAACAGCTGTTTCCCCAGCACGCATGAGCGTTCTTCCAGTAACATGGTCAACCTATCATTATCCTCATCACAGAGTTGGTAAGGTAGATGCCCCATATAACCCCTCACCTCCTTTACACTTATGGCTAAATGCGGAGTATTATGATACGGCTTTCGACGTACAAGATATCGTTATCTAGGTATTTATATAGCTTTCTGTCAAGTCTGTATATCATGCGTCGAGCCAAATTCGCGAGGGTGAGGGGTGGTAGGTGATATGAACCTTATAACTGAGGCCCTTCTAATTCCTTTTTGGTCTATTAAACAAGTTAACGGAACTGATAGCCTTGTCCAGATCGAAGCTTTCCTGTATTTACATGGTTCTGAACATGTTACTGAGGCTATATCAGCTGACTTGGGCGGCTGCCTTGGGAATAGCAATGCTTTTCAGCATTGGTGCTATAAAGACGAGTGCACTGGCACTCGATCTCGGCCCAGGGTCTACTGCCCCAGTCCGCCCATTCCCCCTTGACCAGGTGCGACTTGGAAATGGGCTGCTGCAAGAGAAGCGCGACAAGATCAAAGCATTTCTGCGCTCATACGATGAGCGGAAATTCCTAGTCCTTTTCAACAAACAAGCTGGAAGGCCTAACCCCAGTGGCGTTACTCCTCCTGGTGGTTGGGAGGACGGTGGACTTCTGAGTGGACATTGGACAGGCCACTTCATGACGGCCCTGTCTCAAGCATACGTCGACCAGGGCGAACAGATTTTCAAAACTAAGCTTGACTGGATGATTACTGAACTGGCTGCATGTCAGGATAAGATCACGGCGCGTATCAAGGGGGCAGCCGGTACTGGCGACGCTAGCTGGATCCCGACATTTCCTGGTTACCTCGGTGCCCTACCAGAAGATACTGTCCTCCGCCTGGGCCCCCCGCGTTGGGCAGTCTATGGGAGCAACCTCGAGACCAATACATGGGCGCCCTGGTACACGCAGCACAAGATAATCAGAGGATTGCTGGACGCGTATTACAATACCAACAGCTCGCAGGCCCTTCAGATAGTTACAAAGATGGCCGACTGGGCCTACCTTGCGCTTACTATCGGCGACAAAAACCACTCTCGATATACCGGAAACTTGACTAGGGATGACCTCAACTATATGTGGGACTTATATATCGGCGGGGAATACGGTGGCGCCAACGAGGTATTCCCAGAAATATATCAACTTACTGGCAATCCGCACCACTTACAAATCGCTAAAATCTTCGACAACCGGGAGTCCCTTTTCGGCAGCGCTGTGAATAACACAGATATACTAGTAGTTACTAGCGACAAAATCCCAGGTCGACGTCGTCCAGCACGCCTTCACGCCAACCAGCACGTACCTCAATTCATCGGTTACCTGAGAGTCTTCGAACATGGAGGTGAGACAGAGTATTTCAACGCAGCCAGGAATTTTTATAACTGGGTAGTTCCGCACCGGTATTTCGCCACTGGCGGCGTCGGAGGTGCCTATCCTGGCAGTGATACCAACTACGAACTGTTCCAGAACCGGGACAATGTTGCTAGGGCAATGGCCGGGCCCGGTGCTGAGACATGCACAGCGTATAACATGCTCAAATTGGCACGCAACCTGTTCTTACATGAGCATAACGCCACGTACATGGACAACTACGAACGTGGCTTGTTCAACCAAATTGCCGGGTCACGCGCGGACACAAGCAACACCCGCGACCCGCAACTCACATACTTCCAGTCGCTCACTCCGGGTATTCCTCGCGACTTTGGCAATACCGGCACTTGCTGTGGTGGCACTGGAATGGAGAGCCATACTAAGTACCAGGAGACAGTTTACTTGCGCTCGGCAGACGGTTCTACACTCTGGATCAACCTATACATCCCATCTACTCTATCCTGGGCCGCCAAGGGATTTGTGATAAAGCAAGAAACAGATTTTCCTCGTGGAGACACGGTAAAGCTCACAATCACCGGACAAGGTCCATTGGACATCAAACTACGGGTCCCCGCCTGGGTCCAGAAAGGATTCAAAGTAGCCATCAATGGTCTGACTCAGACTAGTCCTGTGGCACGACCTGGAACATATTTAACATTGAGCCGGAATTGGCAAACAGGAGATGTAGTTGAAGTGAACATGCCGTTTAACATCCGCATAGAGCGCGCGTTAGACCGTCCAGATACTCAAGCCATCATGTGGGGACCTTTGGTGCTGCAAATCGTTGGCAAAACGACCACTGCCAACGACGGGTTTGCGGGGCTTTCACTCTATCAACATCTCAAGCGAGATGGAGATTATTCTGTGGTAGCTATAAAACGTACAGGAACCTCGGCTGCTGGAGACCCGACCTTTCAAATTGTTGGCACTTTGGCTGCGCGCCCCTACTACATTGCTGATTCCCAGTCGGTATCCTCCTACTTCCGACGCATAGAGTCAACTGTTGTGTTTGGTACAATCAACACTGGTGTACCTAATCGTAAACGAAATGATGGTTTGCCAAAGTACGATGTTCCCGTTTCTGGTGTCATTTTGCCGGGCAAAGATGGTTTAACCTTCCTGGACATAGTTTGGGACCAGGCACCCTTTGATACACATGAATCTTTCGTCGAAGCTGTCACCTCGACCGCAGACGCCTTTGTAAAAGCTGGCATTTATAGCACTACGGACAGGAATACGATTATATCCAAGGCTCTCCAGGCAGAGCAAGAGCTGGACTCCAAATAGGTACCACAACATCTGCAGCTAGCATTGCTGAGCTCAATCAACACACTCTTATGGTTCGAGTTCATGAGCCTTTTCACTGCTATTGGCATGTACTGGCAGAGCGGTAGAAACAATATTAGTAATTGAGTGGTAATCCGCGTATTATATCCAGTATCAGAGTATTATTATCAAAAGGTGTAGTCATGTGTTTAATCATATTGAAATCTTATTCCACTCGAAGCAGGTATCTTATCTTGGCCCTTGCTAATAAGGTGATAAAACTAACTTTAGTTACGAATCAAGGAAAAATGATGCCCCTTTGTTAGCTACAGACAGGGTCTGCATAGAACTTATGCAGCTTAATGGCACAGCACGAAAAGATCAGCCGCATACATGAAGAGTCTGTGGACGCCCCTCTCTTAACAATGTACTTAGCATTCTTAATATCTGTGTTCTTGGCCGACCTTATAACTTGCCAACTATGGTTTAATATCACTAGTTATACGGTACGTTTTAAAGTAATTCAAGGCAATTTACACTTATTATAGCATCTATACCTTAAATGCTAAATAGATTTTAAAAGCTGAGAGAAATAGCCACGTGTTCGTTAAAGTGGTGCCCTTGTGAGGCCAATACCAGTCGGTGTTTCTTGCACAAATTCCGAAACTTCAAAATCGAACCCCAGTCTCTCTGCGCCACTTCAATTGTCACGATGTTGGCGGGCAGCGATAAGATACAGGCCTGTATCTCAGTGGCCCCCGCTCCTAGAGAAAGGGAACACCAATGGATATAAGCATGCAAACGTAAATCATCCCACCTCTGCTATTTCCTGACTCTACTTCTTACCGTCGTGGGAATGGAAACTGCGATCAAGCTGCATGGTTCCACGCTACATACGCGTGTGAGATTGTATTTGAGTTGATTATAGTTACATCTGGTACCCATGCCTTATGATGTAGGAATACATCCTACATCCAATATCGTCCATTAAGCCTTTGACTAATATAGACAGTTTTTGTTTACTAGATTACAGATGTGTTGAAAGTAGGTGGGGCTATATAATAACCGTTAAACTGCTCGAACATCTAACGGCGTCGTTTCTGACGTTCTAGAAGATGAGCCTCCATGGGCACTGTTCGGGCTCCGGTACCCGAGGCGCGACATGTTACGATGCATGCACAGCTTACTTCTCAGTCAAGGGCATTCATTTGTCACCATTCAATGGCACTGGTTTCATTTCCTGCATCGCAATCACAGGGGGGAGCAGGTCTCGTAGCATTGAAAGACCCTGGATGTAGAAGCTCCATAAGCAGGAACCCAAAAATCACCACGTTGTGTCAAGTATGTAGCACCTAAAGAGGAAATTGGTGTGACTAAAAATGCATAGTCCACGGTTTGGTTGCATGGATCGGTATTACACCAGTATACACCGCCATAGCTGGGCTTATTTATGTTGCGCAATTAAAATCTATACGTTATAGCCATAATCCTGCTTGTGCTATTGTCTATAAGTTTCATTTAGGTATAATTATTCTATTGCTAATTATCAACTATTTGCAATTTCTAGCGCTCTGCTCTGTAGCAAGAATGAGTTTATAGGGCATGGAAGGCCTGACTGTGAATCCGGCCGAGCTGTCATGAAGGGAACATCTCCTTCCAAAGATCCATGTCCCAACTCTGTTCGCCCATTACAGTAGAGTCGAACTGGGATCTGTCTAGATAGAGGCTACTAGCGGACGATGAACCTTGCCCAACAGGTGCGCTCATAGGGTCAGTCACCGGGGTGGATGCGCCGAAGGATGTCATCTCGCATTCACCAAGCGGACGTCGATGCTCCTTTTCCGAGGCTGACGATATTGATGACGAGAGTGAGAATCCGCGGCTAGGTTGCAGGCGACCAAAGCTTTCAGCGCCGGTTGAAATTGCAATTGCCGACGGAGAGTGGCTAGAAGGTCGAGAGCTCGCTGGGTTAACAAAGCCACTATGGATAGTCTGCATTTGATAATCGAACCTCTCAATTGGCTTAAACGTGGTACCGCCTATCGTCTCGAGAACTTGTAGCAACCAATTTATGCCCACTGTCAGTCGGCTTAGGTATGTTTGGGGTAAATCAGGATGCTGTAGAGGCTTGATGGAACGGTTGATGTATTGAAAAAGCTCGACATCATCGCTTCTCGACTCATCCGGCGGCGCCCCTCTACTCAGATTTTGTAAATGGAATAGGACCAATTCTGTGAACGACGCAACAGGGTAGTTCTGAAACATGCGCGCTAAAGATGCTAGCCCTTGGGTAGTGACTGGCATGTTAACGATGCTGGCAATTATTCTCAAGGACGCTCGCGAATGATCAAGCATTTGCCGCCGTACGTGGTTTCTCCAATCGCACCGGAGTATCAAAACTTGAGTAATATGGTAAGAATAGTTGATCTCGAAGCGGCGGGGCTCTAGCTTCAAATCGTAACCCGCCTCTCCTGGTTCCAGCAGATCACTGTAGCGTTGAGCCCAAGATGATGTCAAGCTACTCATGGCCGATACTCGCTGCGCACGGGCTTTCGCGCCCGCATGAAAAGCTCGCGTAGAATAAAGATTTAGATAAATCTCTTCCCAGATGCGCATAATATGATTGAATGCGTAGCTGAGGCGTGTACCTGGTAGCTCGCCACCCTCGACGTTGTCAAGCTCTATCTCCGAGTCAAAGATGTATAAGTCACATGGCTGCCCAATTTGAAAAGTGCGAAATTTATCCATGGCGTACAGGACACGAAATAGACGATCTCTATCGCCTCCCTCAAGCCCTGGCATACCGCTTTCAGATGTTTTTGCCCGATGCAATCCGATGATACGGGCGAGGTGACATGCAGTTTGCAAGGCTCTCTCGAAGACAGCACTCTTGTAGAATTCCTTGCCGACTAGAGCCTACTTCCAATAAGATCGAGGAAAAGTTTAGCCTCTCTTACAACGCGAATGTGTATACAAGGAGCAAGTGAAAGCGACGAGTAAGGAAAGGGGACATACCAAAGTCAGCAGGGCCTGGATATTGACTACTGAGGGGCGTGTGAAGGAATCGAGATTGGCAATAGCGCGGTCGCAGTTGCGAAGAAAGGAAGACATGAGTTCATGGTGCATGCTTTTTGGGTGAGATTTAGAGACGCTCGTAATTTGCGCTTCCAGTCCCAGGCCCAGCAGTACGATATTTGTAAATACAAGTGCCCATGGACTGTCATCGACCGGCCGTTCCGCGGCATAATGCGTGTCTACCGCACGGCGAAGCTCGGCTTCGTCAAATATAGGGAAGGAGGCATTGAAACTACAGAGAAAGCTTTCGATGAAGAGGTCTACCATTAGGCGAGGCGGCGTGGAGACGGGGCGATTGTCGTCGATGACACCTGGGTCGGGACAAGGTAACTCGAAAGGGAAAGAATTTCGCAAGTGCACCAGAGTGCTTTGAACGCCCGATTCCTGAAGCCCATGGATCTCGACTTTGCCATCGAGTTGGGTAATCATGCCAGTGAGTTGCCCAGCGACGTCTTGGAACAAGGACATCGATGCTGGCGAGTCTATCGAACGTTCGCCGTCATGATCACGACTCAACCCATTTTGCAACGAATGGTCCCCGTCGGGCAAGTTACACTCGGCGTCAAGGATGTCCAAAATAGCGTCATTACTGCTTGGGAGGGTTAGATCATGATTGCTCTGAAGATCATGACGAAGGGTAGCTATAGCAGCCGTTGCCGAGGGGGAAGTACTAGCAGTGGTGATAGCCGAATTCAGGTCCAAATTCATACTGCTATGGCCATTGCTACCTGTAGCGAGGCAATGCGATCCACAGCCACCGGGGCTATGGCTAGCACGATGACAGCAGGGCCGAGCCACGATATCCCGCGTCAGGCTGGCAAGCTGGTTCAATGTCTGGTGGACCTCATCAAGACGGTCCATGACGCTGGAGAAGTCATCCCTGAGCTGCTTGGTGTGGTTCACGCGCCTAAACGTGCTTGACCAGCTACAAAAGGCGCCACCTTTTCGGCAGTTAGAGCACTCGGGCTGCTGGCGATCACATCGCACCTTTCTCGACCTGCACTGGTCACAGGCTGCTGGGGGATTATCCTCGTTCCGAGATCTCTGCCGCTTGCCTGTGTCTCGGCCGCCATTGCCAGCTGTGCCACTATCACCATTGGGGTTGCTCTGATTGCTGTTAGTGTCGCTATTACTGTTGCATTCGGCGTTGTTGGCAGCCTGGTTGGGGAGACGCCCTCGCTGGGTAAAGGCCATGAATCACACTATAGCGACGGTCGCACGGAGTATTCAGAGACTCAGTAGGTGGGTAGGGTAGGTGATTTACGAATGCCATAGGTATGCAGACTTGGGGTCAAGGTTACAATGAGCAATGAGTGCCAGTCAAAAGGGCATTACCAGCCGAATTATAGTCGAGAGTATTGTGGTCATGAATCTCAAATGTCTGCCGAGGTGCAGAGCTCGCTGGGCTATACTGAGTCTTTCATTCCTGCACGAATCTGCAAAAGCCCTCTAGCCGGAGACTGGATGACGCGCTTTTACACTACCTAGAGATGATTTGCCGGTCGTTCGATGCTATGGTCGCTAGGGCCCTTGGGTCCATCGTGGCAACTAGGTATCTCTGAGGCAATACGACGTCTCACGCGTCAGGTAAGGATAAAGAGCAGTATGCAGGCCAGTCACCTGCGCGACCTTGCGATCAGCGATTCTAGGGCGTGGAAGGCTTGATCTCGTCATTTGGAGAGACTGCGATTGGTCGTGAGAGCTGTCATGGAACAGCAAAAAGGATGGTTCTCGTTTCAACGCCGACATAATCCGCTTCTGCAATTTATCATCTTTCCCTAGACATGCTTGAATGTGATATGATCTTCGCTTGCTGCTGACTGCATGCAGGCAGTAAGGAATACCTAGGCGGCACGCTGCATATGTGCTGACTACGCCTCCCCCACTCTTCGGTATTCCAAAGCATGATATCCTGCGCTATGCGCACAGCATATACTCACTTAACAAGCCTTCGTTAGCTATCACCTTAGCCTCCACGAAACCTCCGGGACACTTTTAATCGGGTCTTAAGTATCCCCTAGCTTTGCTAACAGATCTACATACAAAAGCCTAGCTTTTGCCGGTGATCTATGCATATCTGGTATAGCATTAGGTATCTTTGGTATCAAAACCGCTACAATACATGTCTAATATGCTCTGATTGGCTATGTAGAATCTTGGCAGGTATCGGAGGCTTCGTGGAGGCTAAGGTGATACTGATGTCTCCTTTTGTGATGTCACACCTTAGGATCGCCTCGAGTGCGAAAACAATGTTACCGCTGAAATACGTCTACTTGATTAGACTGTTTCCGTTGCTTTAACCGTATGGCGCATGCTTGAATACGTGAGAGGTCAACACCACTCAACTATGCTCAGCTAGCAGTTTCAGAAACGGTCTGGATGATTGCTTCATAGTACATTAATACCGCGAGAAACCCATTGAGCTTGGAGCCTACACTGGCCATGCCTAGACGCTAAGATCGAGTTAAGCATTGGGCTTGTGTTGGGCAATGGCATATCCCGTTCCCGCGTCCCGTTCTCAAAAGCTTACTTATCGTCATGATTAACATACAAGAATCCGCTGCCGAGGCAGCTCCGCATGATTATCGTCTCCTACCTACCTACTTTGTCTGACGACCCTAGATATATCAGAGTATATGTATGTTCCGCCACAGCGTACCTAGCCTACTTGGCAAGCCACCTACAACATCGACTACCGGTACACGGCATTGCTAATCCACTAACCTCATGTAGCCCATGTTCCTTGCGTTAGAACGTGTCAAACGCTGAGGTCGCATACCTACCTTTCCATACGATGGCTACACGGTACACCTTAATTATCGTGCGATCCATTCAATGGTATACTGGGTACATCTGCGAGCGGCCCCCACTGCTCGGCGCCATTGTGGGCATTTCACCTTGGCAACAAAACTCAAATATTTAGCCGTCTACCCGGTAGATTTTGCGTGACCAATGCCTACCTTGCATGAACACATATGACGCCCGAGGTATATAGATATACTGAATACCCACGCCAAGGTTTAAGACAATGAGTAGGAGCGCAAGATAGCCCTTATTATCAAACAAGATATGTAAGGGCTGGGATTCGCCCGGATACTCGTCCGAGAGCGGATCAATAACTTCTACGGTATCAGCACTGGGACAGAAGTGAAACGAAATAACTACTTGCTTGTTACGATCTAGTATCTCCTACTATCTACATGATATGATATTGTAAAGATTTGTCGCTGGATCTCGGAAGTCGATACCGTAAACAACAGACACTCGTTGATCTTGAGAGAAGTAATAGATAAACTGGTCTGTTCGGTAACTCATGATCTTCATTCCACATTTCTTGAGAATCCCGAGGTGTAAATCGGTTGGCAAATCGTAGTTTTATAAGGCTAAGCCAGACGCGCAGCGGTTGCCGATGGTGAGGATCTTCTGATCCTTATCGGTGGATCGTCAAGCTATAACATAGCCTTACTATAGGCTAATAAATATCACCTCAGGCTCAGTGAAGATAACAGCAGATTCAGTTCACCGCCTGCCTTGCAGTTGAGATAGTACACCATCACAATATAGTAATATGTAGATCAAAAGGATCCTTTGACAACCACCTAAAACCGCAGAGCTAACTTGGTAGTCTTTCTTCAGCCAATGGGTATCTTTATTTATTCATACATTCTTCTTGATATCAAGCTCGCACGCGTTCTGAGTGAAGTGAGATCTTTTTTTTTTTATCAACCCTCCCCCCTCCGCCAAGAGCCCTGCATACAATGTGGGAGCCGCCCAAACCATGTCGCACAGCTAATAGAAGATCTGAGCAGATGCACTTATGTAAGCGAAGTACCCACTGAGCCCCTGCTTCAATTCCACAAGATCGACGAATCGACTAGCTTCATTGGTATGCCCTTTGACCCTCAGCACTAAATTATTCTTTAGAAAATACCGTGGTACCTATCTATAGGTACCATTTCCAGAATGCCGTTCGCATTCGCCTCGTTCTTATATACCTTGTTCAATTTTCTCATTGTACAAGAAACAATTCAAAAGTTAAAGATAGAAATATGCAGAGTTATTATTATAATCAGTGTCTGAACTTACAGACTCCGCATAAGCACTGCAGATGCATCCTAGTCTGCTATTATAAGACACCTTAATGGAACCCGCACAGACTTAAGATCCCTTTCAGTAGCCATTTAGTCTCACCTAATCATTAATGGGGTTCCTTATTCAGCTTCATACAACCACTGTCTAATTTTCCTTCACTCGGCCCTCAGCAACTTCGTACCTAACGAGCAGATATTTGAAACGATATCAGCATGGCGAAGCAATTAATAAAGTCTTGTTTTCGCGCGCCACATAGATTTCTGTCCAACCGAAACGAACGTCAGTTCTGTTGGCCAGTCATCAGTGCCCTGTTCTTGCTGTTGGCATCGGAATAGGTCCGCCTGGAGAGGTTTCATTTCGAGCAGTGAGGATTTCGACCCCGGTCTCGGTAACGAGTAATGTGTGCTCTAATAATTAGCTGTTAGCTGTGGAATCCGATGACAGAGAAGAGTCGTTGCCCTACCAAACTGGGCAGTTCTTTTCCCATCCATTGTCACATTGGTCCACTCATCTGGCCAGTATTGGTCTCGAGGGACGCCAAGTGTGAGTATGGGCTCAATGGTGAAAGTCAACCCCGGCTTGCAAACTCCTGCGGCCTTGTTTTTTGCATAGTGAGGTATCCACGGGGAAGGATGAAACTCGCTGTTAATTCCGTGCCCTCCCCAATTCGCGATGACAAAGCAGTTCTTAGACTTAGCATGCTTTTCGATGGCCTTTCCAAACTCTCTTATTGGTGTGCCCGGCTTCACTAGTTTGATCGCCTCTTCGAGACATTCCCGCGCCGTCTCAACTACCCGAATCGAGTCCGGGTCGGCCTTAGCACGATCCCCTACATAATATGTTTCGTTCACATCAGCGTGATAACCCTCGTGGTACAGTGAGACGTCTAGGTTAACAATATCGCCATCTAGAAGGAGCCGGTGATCAGGAATACCGTGGCAGACGACTTCATTCGGAGATGTACACAGAGACTTTGGGAAGCGGTTGTAGTTAAGTGGGGAGGGGTATGCCTATCATTGTCAGATAACTCAAACTATGCCATGGGTAGAGGGAAGCTTTACATTTCGTTCTATGCATGCCTTATGACACACCTCATCTAGATAATCTGTAGTGATACCGGGACGAATCTCAGCAGCGATAATGTCCAGTACCTCACGAGATAGTATGCCAACTTTGCGCATGGCATCCTGTCCTTTGGTGTCCAGGAAAGACCACCTCGTTCCACAGCGTCGTTCACCCTCCGGTACACCCGTGTCTGCCCAGTCAGGGCGCTTGATAGAGGAAGGAATGGTGCGTTTGGGTGAAAGCGGGTAGACGGGTCTAACGGTGCCGGTGTAGGGGTATGCAGGGAACGGGTTATAAAATCCTAAGAGTGTTAGCCCGCTATCAAATGATGATAATCAAGGTCATAGTCTCACCATTTCCTATCTTCATGTCGTCTTGCACCGGGCTGTGTGCGGCTTTGTGTTGGGTCTACAATAGAAATTCAATTAGCGAAGACATACCCTTAGACATTAAAGCATGCATAATCAAACAAACCCAATTACGCTTGAAGCAGTCTTGCGAACAGAAGAAACCATCTTTGCCTAGTTTTAGACATGTAGGACATTGCAAAGTACCAGCGTCCTCTTCGCAATCAACCCCTTGGCATTTTGCCTTGATCACTGCTGGTGGAGAGTTGTTTGCTATGATGGTAGGACCCATTGCTTAATGCCAGATGCATAAATATTATTCACAAATAATCAGATGAAGAAGAAACAGTTATTATTGAGACACGGTAAAGACAGGATGGGACTTATAGCAATTTCGTGTATAGTATGTTCTGCGGTTACCTAAGCAGCCAAAGCGGCATAGGTTGCACAGTCTTCTTAGAATGCTATGCAGCCCAGCCCTACGCCCTTTGGACTACATGCGACCCACGCCAAGTGCAACTATGATGAACTTAGTCTTAGTATGTGAACCATGTAATGTTATTGGATATTCAACACGTTTGAGATCTAGAAGCTACCTGTTTAAGTCATGGAACTTTATCACGATGCTCACATGCGCTCATACACGAGTTGTTAGGAGTAGTATGTCTCTTTTTATAAATTAGTTATATATATTATCGAGATCTTCCACAATCACATTGGTGTTGTGATGTTTAGCAGAAACCAGTAGGTGATACGTATGGAGTACCTACTTCAGTAAGTCAGGCAGGTATAAAGTCAACAGCGCCATCTGGATCTTCCCAGGCAAGTAGTGTAAGGGCGACTATTTCATTGAAAACATTCTCTAGAAAGGCCACATCATCCATCCCAGTAATAAGTGAATAAAACCAGAATCCGCTGGCAGATACTCTTTCTACCCGGCGCGGCAACCAGACCCGACTAGTGTATCCCTCAAATTCTGTCCATGGGGTTATGCCATCGATGCAAAGCTCCAGCAGCACCGGCGCCTGTCTCAAGGCGTATTCGTGGCCATGGACCGCGAGGAGCTCTTTCATCTAGGAAAGAGACCCTCCTGCGCAAAGGTACTAATTAAGTCGAGGACCACATACGATCCACTATGCAGTCTTGTTCCCTTTTGCGCGTCATGGCGCCTCTCAAAATAGCATATGAATGAATAAGGACACCGTGATTATCGTATCAGTAATAATAGCAATGAGGCCAGGTCGCACACGGCCCGTGGGTCAGTGGAAGAATAACAGTTGGGCTGTGGTAACTACCACAATCATAGAGTTATAATAAACAGACTTTCTGTGTATACCCCTCACTGAGGCATCAAGGTTTCAAGGTCATCCTGCAACAACAATCCACATATAGGAGCCCGATGGTTACATCCCTGGGAGTAACGATGAGAAATTCTGCGATGGGTTTACACCATGGCCACCGCCGATGCATACCTGGATGATTCATCGACACTTCTTCAGCTCCTAGTTGTTGTCGAGCAACGCACAGAGATCATTATAGATGACGCAGAAGATGCAAGCTATAGGCTGATATGTTGCATAAAATTATTTCACCATTGCACAAAGCTGATGATATTCTCACTCGTATCAACTTGGATCAATCCCATCATGACACATAAGGTACCTTCGCGGCTCCATCAGGTAAAGGTGCCTTGAAAAGGGCGAATGGACGTGTCTTGTGGTTGACCAAGAGCTGATTCGACGTGAAGTACAGATAGCCGTCAGTGGCCACAGACACTTGATATCTTGTCAGCACCTAATATAATTTGAAATGCTTCTCAATGGCTCAAGTGCAGGGTTTACATACTTGTATCAACCCAGTTAATCCTCGGGTCCCGTACAAAGAGAGACGTAGTTCCGTTGGCAGGGTTGAAGACGTTGATGGCATTGAGCTCACCGTTACCAACGTAGATAAGATTGTTGCTATCTGTCTCGAAGCCATCGCTGTGTCCTTTCTGGCCATGATTGACGACCGACTACAAAAAGTGGAAGCGTGTATATCAGTACTAGACTTACGACGCACCAAGATTGATTTTTATGAAAGTATTATTTCTGAGTTTTTTCAAGTTCGGATAACTATATCTTCAAATGAGGGATTTAACAAAAAGGCGGTCATACCTGCTGTGCTAGAAGCTCACTTGTCGAGCCCCTCGCTCGAAGCCGCGCAGTTGGCACACTATACATATACCGTGATGCGAACGGACCAAAGTACAGAGTTTCTCCATCTACAGAGAGAGCAATACCATCAGAGCCTACAGGGTTCGTGGTTAGGGGACTATTGTGGCTTGATGTGTAATACATCGGTTGACCCCATATGAACGAGAGGAACTGTGATTCCCCGCGTACAGACTCTGTCAAGCCTATATGCCGCCAGCTCTCTCCTGTCCCAAGGTCGACCACGATAATGGCGTTCCGGCCGGAAAAACTGCTGTCAGTGATGTATCCAATGCCTTGACCTGACTCAGTTACGCTAGCGCGAAGGTCAAACCGCACGTCATTGAGGTAGCTATCCGCGTATGCTACCTCGGGAGGGAATACGATGGCCTTAAACACTTTGTTAATCGTCAAGTCAACCCCAACTAACTTAGGGCCTCCATATGCAGCAGGGAGAACCGCGCCATTGGGCCCTATAACGCGGCCAGTATCAAGAATCCATAGGCGATCCAAAGCATCGACTACGACAGACTGTACGCTTATAAAATAATCCTGATGGTTGGCGGAAGCTACAATTAACATTAGCGTCCTGTACTTTATGTTTAAAGGGTCATACGATGCTTACTCGGCGGCGTAGTAGTGTAATTAATAGCCCCGCCTGGTGGTTGATTCATCTCAAGACTCGGATACGCGGCCTCTTCGGTAATAGATTTATGCTCACCGACCTGAATGACATTGTTTGAGCCATTGTAAACGTTCGTCGCATCCAGACCTTTTCGGAACATCAGTATCGCACAGACGTTATCGATTTGTCAGGATTAGCATTACCACCAGGAAAGCAGGAAAATATGCGCCCAGAACTAGATACCGCAACTCCTTTTCCAGCGCGTTAGAAGATCAGAGAGAGAACGTGCTGCCTCGGACAAGAACCGCCAGCCAAGGGTTTGAAGCGTACCAGTTGGCCACTGTCCGTAATATGCATGAGCAACCTCCAGCGTGGGCCCATAAAGCTGACGTAGAAATGTTATCAATGAATAATAATAGGTTTTCTAATGATGGGGAAGAACTCACACCGGAATCCGAAATGAATTTGAAATCCCCGTTCGCCGAAGTCTCCTTGATGAGGCCAATAGCCATTGCTGTCGCCCGAAGAACAACCCTCATGTCGACTGGAGTAGTTGATCTACCTATTCAAATCTATGCGTGGAAAGTAGTCGCGAATTTTAGGATAGTTACCCTAAATCTTAAGGTACGAGGCAATTGTCTGGCTCTCTCTTGAGCCCAAGGTAAACGCGCCCAGCTTTTCTGAAGAGCGAAAGTTCAGGGTTCACGGTTGCTTCAACGAAACATTCTCCTAGAGGCTCGGGATTTTATATTCACGTCAGATAGTATCTAGTTATATATCTCCCACCGTAAGTACTTACCAGGTAGGTAGGTAGGTAGATAGACCTTCCTCTTTTGATTATCTCATCGGGCCACTCGGTATCGCACCCTTGCTGATGGCGCCAGCATCAGTGATGACGTATTATTATGCGGAGAATCCATGATAGACACGTTTATATTTTATATGCATATAATCGAACAGAGGCCGAGCAATTGGCGTACCAACCCAACTCCCTGTTCTTCAATGAAAATTTGGGGTTGACAAACGCTCCTCCCCTGCTTCTGTTCCGGGTCAAATCTTCGTCTTTGGCGCTAGGTGGCGGAGTATCAACCATTCTTCCTATATGCCTTTTCATAAGTAGTGGCAGGAGTTTCCTGTACATGGGGTTTCCTATGGTAATCTTCCAGATTGTAAGTATCCAGCTCATATGAATAAATGTGTCAAATATCCTCCCAACAATGAATGCAAGACACGACATCGCCCTCTGATTGAGTCCTTCTAAATACCACGAAACATCTCACATATAATGAATGACGTCGTTCTGACAAGCGGGATACATCATAGCTTATACGCGCAGCCTCTTTGTTAGAAAAACAAACTGGACGGTGTCATTTCCTTGGAAATGGCTATGAATAAGTATAGAATTTTAATAATGCGTCTTTATGAAGTAATGACGCAAAGGCTATAAGGAATACTATCTGAAGACGCACATACATAAAGGATGCTGGTGTTAGGTTATGCCTAAACCTCCCCGCGGAGCCCGGGAGTTCTACGTCATATTTATCACATCATAGACTCCCCCGTCGAAGTTATCATGACGGCTTTATATGTCGAGGGCGGGGAGGAATAACAACAGGGAAACTGTAGCACGACTTCATTTTCGAGCAGAGACAGGAGTCTGCTACTGTCCTCCGGTCAGGTTAGTAATAAACCTGCGAGGTGAAGCGCCATTAACAGGCAAGTAGCCAGATAAATGTGAAAGAATGTATGTATTGAATGCTATCCCCATACATGATGATGGTATCTTCCACTCCAATATTCCTATGCTCATTGTTGTGATAATACCTTAATTAGACCCAATTAAACCAAGATCTCGTTCATGAAAAATTAATCGAAATCAAATACAAGGAATGACTCGTCAATATTAGATCTCATTTAGCTTCCGCAAAGTAAAAATGGAATGAATCGCCTTCAAAAATGCCTATTCAATGCCAAATTTGAACATGGCCAAAGGAATGTATGGTCAGGCAGTTCACGCGCAGTTCAAATTAGAGGAGAACGGGAAGGCCCACGAGCAACCCGGCGACAAGGGGGCCGACAGCAGCCTTGGCATTTAACGCGCCGGCCATGTTGTCGGGCACAACGGTAGGTGTGGTGCTAGGCTCAACAAGGACTGTGGTCGTATCGGAAGGAGTCTGACTTCGAGTTTCAGTCGTGATGCCGGAAGTCTCGATCACGGTGGCCGGAGTCGAGCTCACGCCTCGAGTTGTTCCACTTGGCGTCTGGGTCACCGTAACGGTGGCCGTGTCAGAGCTCGTGGACGACGGGCTGGTGACGGTCGTGGTTGACCCCGTGGGATCTGGAAGAGAAGTGTTAGCAACGTTCAACGACACCGATGAGAACCACTTCGTCTCTTACAAGGGCCATCGGCGTCATCAAAATTCCAACCACAGTCGTCCATGAGGTCAGCTACGTCGTTGTCAGAATCAGAATCAGAGTCGTAGTCCCTGATGCAGCTGGCACACTCGGTCAGGCGCCTTCTCGAATCCGGAGCATTGCACACACAGGGAGTGTATGTGTCATCGTCGTCTGTCTCGCGGTCACAGCGCGCGCTGAGGTCGATGGTGAACTGACACGCTGGGAGACACTCGCTCGGGACATCGGACGCATCGACGTCGTTCTCGGCGGCGCCGTAGGTGGCGAGACTGAGAAAAACTAGAGTCTTTTCCAATTGCATCTTGAAGCGGTTTTGTTAAGATGTTTCTGAGATAATGAATCGACTGAGAATGCAGAGCTATCAGTTTGTGTTTTACAAGTGTGGTGATGATGAGGGTGATGCTGATATGGGATGGACGGAGTAAGGGAACCAAGATGTTTAAATAAACAGCCACAGAACTCTCATATAGGTCTTCCTGGAATTGAAGCCGTTTTATTAAGCATTTTGTTTCATGCCTTCATCTCGAGTCCGTCTTACCAGCCAACTCAACCCAACCCAAAACCGGACACCGCAACCGCCTTGGCACAGCGCCGACGTTGATCATGGTATGCGCCAACTGATGCAGTGCACTACACGTGTAGATCCGCCGTGTCTCTGGGCAAGGGTTTTCCTGTTTGAAGGAACAAATAGGGCGACGTACCTGACGTGGATCTTTCTGGCGGTTTACGTAGATTATGGGGCATCAACGCACACAGCCATCATGGCCCAGCTGAGCCAAGATTCTTTCCACGGCACTTGAACTGGCTCTCCACTTTCGGTCAATGCCACGAAGCCAAGCAGCCACGATCTACCTGGGATATTTGATATGGGGTACAGATATGATAATGCCGCAGATGGGTATTTATTCATTGTCAAAGAACTGCTCCAAAGTGTTTGCCGTCGGCCAAGGAGGAAAACGTTTGGCGGTGTCCTAGTCCGCTGCGAAACACCGTGTTGGGTACGCTCACGATGCGCTTCACTGCTCCTGGTAGATATCTGCGCCTGTCCAGTAAAGCGATCAGAGGTATCGACCTATCTCCTAAGAACTACAGTGCTGTGATTGACGCGCCATCAACTGCGTCGTCATTACGTTGGCCGTCGCGGTGGTTTGTAGCTGCATCGTGGCATAAATGTCTGGCTGGTCTTTCATCTGGTAATTAGCCTCTCTTGGCACCCAAGTCTCCACGTATCCAAATAGACCACCTACCCATCTCGTATGCCTCTTCGAGGTTTTCAATGCAACTAGGTGCTAAGAAGCCCCGTTTGAGTTGCTAAAATTGGCGTCAATCACAAATTCAACGCGTCTGGATATATCAAGTCTTTATTAGCTGCATAAGTTAGACGTTGTGTTCAGCTAGACAGGCCCAGCATATCGTGGCTTCACATAGAAGCACAGCCACCAGATCTACATTGTCCTCGGGCTGCATGTCACATCGGCATGTTGGTACGTGGACTGACTATAACGTCCGTCTAGCGGCCTAATCCATTGATCCAACATCAAGGCTTGGGTGGATAGGTAATGAGCCAACATTGACGCAAGCTAGTTCCCAGCCACAAGACTGTGACACTACAGTACTTCTCGATAATCTTAGCTGAAAGGCTCAATGAGCTGTGTCGTTCGAACTTTCTGTGCGTCTTTCACAAAACTTCTGCAGTCTGGAAGCTCTATAGATCAACCCGCCCTCACACGGACATCTATTGTGACACGTGATATTATCTGGAGTTGAAGTTGTATGCTATAGGTCTTGACCGACGAGATTGATTACGCTTTCCCATAGGAGTCACGCTTAGACTGGAAACTGATTAATATTATCGTGATATCTGGGAGAAGTTTGAGGAAGGCAGCTTTTATAACATACTTTCGTTAGAGATTATGTGTTATCATTTAACGGACATGCTAGGCCACTAGATATATCCTCATGCTACAGAAGCAAGGAAGTCTTTGCTCGAAAGATGGCAGAAATCGCGTTAATTGCACGCCGGGCGGGCAACCTCCCTTATCAAAGCCTCTGCCTAACAACTGATATCATGCCATAGGTACTTTCCAATTTCACACGAGGCACTGATCTAAGTGTAGATAGGGGCAAAGTCAGATACCAAAGACAGAGGAAGGGAATCCGCACAGAACTTAACAGTCATATTATATATAGTATTGCATCATAATCACACCCAGTCCCAAGTCCTGCCGGCAATCTCTATAAAACTTCTCCCAGGACTCGAGCGACCAAATTCATATTTCCACCACACGCAACCCACTCATTTCATAATCTCCCTTCACGCTACTATCTCCTCATTACCCAAACACACTACACCACGCACCTTAGAATCGTTCCTTATCCTTAATAGGGAAATCCGTGCCCGTAGTCTTCTTATACTGATCGCGTATGAAATCAGAGATTTGCTCGTCCTTCGCCTGTTCGACGGCACTTTCGTTGCTCTGATCGCCCTGGCCGAGGACGTTCTCTTGTACCCAGTCGACACCTGTCAAACCAATTAGTTACCTAATTCGTTATCTCGTAGCCCCCAATCAACATTTCATTCTACATATGGCGATATGGAAGAAGTACTGGGTGGTGAATGTGCAGGCAAGGAAAAGTGAGAGACAGACCTTTGTCAAGCGCATCCTCATTCTTCTCGCTCTCCCTGCCGCCTCCGGCGACAGAGTTCAATTTATCCATGATCCCACCCGAAGACGAGGTCTGCTCCTTATTGGTGTCTTCGCTTTTGGAGTTTCCACCAGTCAACTTGTTAACAAAGTCCATTTCGAATGACGAAAACGATGCCAAGGCCTCAGTAAAGTTCTCAGTCTGAGATATAAGTCGGGGCTTCTAAATACGCAACGGTGATTACGGCGTATCTTTTATTCCTTGTTTCCTAAAAAATAAGATAAAACTTTGGGGTTGTCTGTTCTACATAGTCTGCAAGGGGGAGACCGAGGTGATTAGGTATATGTAGTAAGGGAGAGCTGAATCGTATTGTTCCACTAGTGATGTCACTCATGAGCCTACAAACAAGCCAGCCGCGGTTTGGCTTGGCAGCTTGTCGGATTGCCCCAACTAATGTAATATCTTGATTCCGATCGCTTAACAAAATCAAGTTTTGGTGTTTGACGAGAGACTAGTTAGCAATAACGTGAAAGCATTGCATCGATAATGATCCTATCAGCATGGCCCGTACCAACAGCGGTTACGGCTATAGGTCACAAGCCCAACCCTTCAATGAGCCGTTTGAGGTGAATGGCATATGAATCTACCTCGTCTACGAATCTAAAACGTAGGAAATAATACAGGACAGAATGTGTCACTCGGGATACCGCGGTAATATGTCGTAGGCGGAATAGATATCTAGGTTTCTAACAAGCAGCTACCCGCGTATTTTTAAGACTCCATGATACTCACAATGAAAGCTATCTTTCTTCATCCATGTCTAGTAGTCAACAGGCCACGGTAAAGCTCTGCAGCGATACCGTATTTTTAGTCTCAAAATAGCAAGTCTCTTTACTAGGGAGGGCCGCCCACAAACCCTCTAATCTCTTAGTAGATGTTGTACACTATCCAACGAATCCCACTAGCTAAATGGACTTGTACAAAACTATGCAGGGGTATCAAATGCAATGCGATCAAAGATATACCTAATAAGCTAGTTCTGAATGGCGTCCAAACGCGAATGTATCAAGCATGCACTGTTACTCAACCGATAGCAATGAGCTGCTATCCCAAAAGCAACAGGCAGAGAGCTACGAGGTATGGCGCGCAAGATTTAAATAGTGATCCAAGACTCCTCCTAGGCTTCTCCAAAAGGATAATTGAACTTAAGCAGGCCATTAAGACCCCCAACCCATCCGTCATCATCCTCGGTGGGGTTCCCATTCGCTGGAGACCGGATGACACAGGGGACACCTCCAGCCCAGCCGCCGTCTGTCGTCCGGCCCACCGTTTCTCCCTCGACTCGAATCTCCATCCCGATAGTCACGCCGCTCTTGCGCTTTCCATCAATGCTTACCTCCAGCTCTCTGCCACGGTTCTTCTCACTCAGCTTGAGAACGACCTTGGAATTTAGGGGCAGGCCGAGAGGTCGGAAGCTGAGGCTTCGAGCGCAGATGGGAGTGATGAGGAGCGCCTTGACGAGCGGGTGCATTATACTGCCGCCGGCAGACAACGAATAAGCCGTGGAGCCTGTTGGGGTGCTAACTAATATCCCATCTGCTACGGCCTCGGTTAAAAAGCGCCCGTTGACGTAGACATCGATGATGGCGAGATGAGGATTAGGTCCTCGATGAATGACAAGTTCGTTGATTGCGTGGAATGCTCGTTTCATAGGCTCTGCCCGTTCGTCTGGCGTCTTGGTTGCCACTGGCATCGGAGGGAGAAGCTGCTGGGGTTCGGCCGTTGACGTGGGCATCAACTGGCTGTTGATATTCACACCATCGGCATCGTATACTCCAACCTTGAGGCGATGTCGGAGGAGGACTTTACTCGACCTAGTAAGTCCCATAGATTTGCCACGTACATGACTCCAAGCATCGTGAAGTGGTAAATCGTCTTGGTCGTTATGCTGACGGTTAGCGGCGGCTTGGGTATGAGGGTCCTGCAAATCGGTCACGGCAACTCGGCTGCCGCTCATATATACCTGACGCCACGCGCGCTTGTATTCGTCGAATTTCCATTCGCCCAAGAAACCTAGAGAACCCATACTGAAAGACAGCATGGGAGGCACGGACGAATGAAGACTGAAGAGGCTGGCGGCGCGTAAGATAGTACCGTCGCCGCCCAACGTAGCGACTAAATCGATCTTGTCATGCATGGCCGAGGGGTCTGCGGTGTAAATGGGAAAGGGCAGAGTCTCGTGAATCTGAGAAGCGACACGGTGTTCAAAGACAAGATTAACGCCGGAGTATTCTTGGTGAACATGCTTCGCGAATGTGACAGCGGACAGAGTGACCTGCGGAGCGTGGAATTTGGGGATGATTAGGATGTTTCGCGGAGGCTCGGGCCATTGCAGCGATAACAGCGACGAGGTCGGGCTATCTTTGTACTTGGGTTTGATGCGAGGAGGCAGGATCGAGACATCGAGGATCTCGCGGCGAAGGGCGGTCGCAGAGAATGGCCGAAGCAAAGACGCAGACGCAGACAAAGGCGAAGGCGGAGCTGTTGTCGCTCGTCGTACGCAAAGCCGGCGAGGAACGGGGCCGAGGCCGAGGCGGGTCAGGACAGACGAGGGCAACATATTTCAGGGGCCGTGTCGGTATTCGGCAGCGGTATTCGGCGGTGGGTTAGTCAAGGCTGGAGTGATGGATGGAAGCGACGAGAGCCAGTGAGATATAGCATTCTCTCAAGCACTCGGCTTTGTGTCCCAGTTCGACCAGTTCGACGGGCGGGCTCAGGCTATAGCACGAAAGAGCAGAAGAGATGCGACAAGATTCACGGTCATTCGACGATGCTAACCCATGGTCTTGGTCTGGTGTTGTACTCGAGGTCTGTGTAATAGACAGTTGCGTACCATCTACTATCGCACGATGCTGAAGCTACTCACCCTCGATGTATGGGTCAAGGAATAGAGAGGGTCGAAGTCAGTATCTTTTGACCAGAAACATGGTTCGTATTGAAATCCATGAATATACTGCATTTAGAAGGGAAAAAAAAGATGCCCTCTACCAAGTACGCTACTACTAATAGGTAACTTGTGCAGTGGGAGGTACCCATGAGGTACTTGGTCAGACACAGGCTCAAGTGCAAAATCTAGCACACCTGTAAGTTGTTTGTAAGTATATACAAGTACCGACAGATGTCTTCTTGTATGCGAGATGACCCCGCACCTGCGTCGATGACTTGCCGGGATCTCCAGACTCCAGATGCCATCCCCAAGGCGGATGGAGACGGCTACAACCTGTATGATACAGCCTGTTTATTCCGAGCCATGGCTACTGGCTGTCCCGAGTGGATGGTCAAGTGCCCATCTCGGTAATAAGATGGTCTGGTCTGTCCTGTCCTCGTTGGTGGCATGTATCATTACTTCGTAGGTAGGGTCATCGGGAAGCGAGGAGGTTACTACCATGTCTATCACAACAATGTTTAGGCAGTTCGGCTCAAGTTTGATTCAGAGATATACAAAATCAAATCTGTAGAAAAACCTGGGACTTTCATTGATTCTCTTACTACCCTGCCTACCTACCTAGGTAGGTATACATACCTAGGTACACATGTACTATGTAGGTAGAGTAAATAGCACCTACCTGTAGCTACCCCTCAAACTACCCCTCACTCTTTCACTCTTTCACCGCACCCCCTCATCGTCGTCTTCATCTTTTTTTATCATCATCATCACCGGTCTAATTAAACTGCTTACAATGGCACAAACCAACGAGGTTTTTAACGTCGGCGTTATTGGCTACGGGTAAGCCGTCGTCACTGGATGATCAATCCCTCGTTCGCTTATTCACCTACTCACCTGCTCACCTACTTACCCGGAATCCAGCCTCTCAGCCAAAGTGTTCCACATCCCCTTTATAACCACCACGCCCTCTTTCAGCCTCCACTCGATTCTACAGCGCAACCCGCAGCCCTCGTCCTCCGCGCCCGACGACTATCCCTCTCTGCGCCACTTCAAGACCCTCGAGCCATTTCTCGCCGACGCCGATCTCGACGTCGTCGTCCTCACCACGACCCCAGACACCCACTTCTCCCTAGCACAGCAAGCCCTCAACGCAGGCAAGCACGTCTTCGTCGAGAAGCCCTTCGTACCCACTTCAGATGAGGCCACCGAGCTCATTCGCCTAGCCTCCGAGAAGAATCTGAAGATATGCGTGTACCAGAACCGCCGCTGGGACGCCGACTTCCAGACGGTGCAGAAACTCGTGTCTGAAAACACTCTGGGCACCATCTACGAGTTCGAGACACACTTCGACCGGTACCGCGCCGACGCGCCAACGAACTGGAAAGGCGAGCTAAGCATGAGTCGGGGCGGATCCGCGCTCTACGATCTCGGCACACACCTCGTGGACCAAGCCTACGTGCTCTTCGGGCGTCCGACATCCGTCTTCGCCAAACTTCTCAACCAGCGCTCGGCGCGTGTCTTAAGCCCCTCCGACACCACCGTCGAGCCCGACGCAGTCAATATGCAACTCTTCTACGGCTCGGGTCTAATCGTGCACGTACGGATCGGTGTGCTAAGCGCCGAAGTCCGGCAGCCTCGGTTCTGGATTCGCGGGTCAAAGGGAAGCTATCATAAAGACGGGCTCGATCCTCAGGAGGGTCAATTGCGCAATGGGATGAAGACGAGCGATGCGCAGTTCGGGCGGGAATCAGAGGAGTGGGCCGGACGCCTCGTCACTTTAGCCACAGATGGACAGATGTGCGAGGAGAGTTGTCCCAATGTCGAGCCGCCGGTGACATATCGCAAGATCTATGAAGCTTTCGGGGAAGCGCTCAAGGGCAACGGGGATGTCCCTGTGCCAGCCGAGGAGGCGCGCGACGTCTTGCGGATCCTCGAGGCCGCGAGGGAAAGCTCTTTGACGAGTCGCGAGGTCGAGTTACACACAAACTAAAAGAGAGAAAAAAAAAAAGTAAAACACAATCATAAATACCTTAGGTAGGTAGGTAGCCAGCAAAAGCATTCTACATTCTGCATTCTGCCATTCCCAGTTGAGATTACCCCAGATATGTCCTTTGAGCCTCCTCTCTATTTTAAAAGCCTTTTTTGAAAAATGTATAGTTCGTCAGGCGATCGCGAGACTTGGTCACTTCGGAGTATCGCAAAAGCTCAGAATGGAAAACGAGGTAAGATCCATAGTTATAATGAGCAATAATAGGCTCGATGATAAAAGAGTCATCCGAACTAGATTAGTTTTTTGCGGTCTTTGTGGCCTGACAAATAAGGACGCAAAGGGCATCGCAAGACATTTGGAGGCAAAAGTTGCGCATACGAGTTTGTGCTTCAAAGCCTTGACTATCATGCCTGAACGCTCATCACCAGCAATCAGATATAACATGGTAGAAACCTGCTCGATAGTGTGTCACATCAACCACGGTCTTTTATCACTGTATGCTTCTATTATCTGCTACATGCTTTCGCGCAAATTGATATCTTCGCGCTTTGTGATGAATGCTCGTAATGTACACCTACTCGCCCACCCACTACAAGTACAAGCCCTCAGGCTCACCCTCCTGCTTCGTACGCAGCACTCTTTCTCTCGCGGCGCGGAAGTCAGCCATCTGGACTCGCATGCGACGCTCACGAAGCGCCATGAGACCAGCCTCGGAGCAGATGGCCTTGATATCAGCGCCCGACAGGTCATCCTTCTGGCTGATGAACTCGTCGAGGTCCACGTCCTCGTTGAGGCTCATCTTACTCGTGTGAAGGTTGAAAATCTTGCGCTTGGTATTCTGGTCGGGATTTTCAAAGAGGATCTTGCGGTCAATACGACCCGGCCGGATCAGAGCCGGATCCAAGGTCTCGATCTTGTTGGTAGCCATAATAACCTTGACGTCACCTCGATCATCGAAACCATCCAGCTGGTTGAGGAGCTCTAACATGGTTCTCTGTACTTCTCGCTCGCCACCAGATGTAGAATCATATCGCTTTGTGCCAATGGCATCGATCTCATCAATGAACACAATAGAGGGGGCGTTCTCAGCAGCAACCTGTGGTTTTGAATTGTTAGGTCTGGCAGAACCTCAAGATATGTTCTGGAAATGCTTACCTGGAACAGCTGGCGGACTAAACGAGGCCCATCGCCCAGGTATTTCTGAATCAGCTCACTGCCGACAATGCGCAAGAAGGTAGCTGATGTCTGGTTGGCGACGGCCTTGGCCAGCAACGTCTTTCCTGTACCAGGGGCACCGTAGAGAATGACACCTTTGGGCGGCTTGATACCCATCTCCTCGTATAGCTCAGGGTGCAGTAGGGGCAGCTCGACGGATTCTCTAACTTCCTGGATTTGTGATTCCAGGCCACCAATATCGGCATATGACTCGGTCGGAGCCTTGTCTAGCTTCATAACGTTGACAGCGGGATCTGTATCATCCGTGAGTACTCCAACGATGGAGACACTCTTATGGTGCAGCAAGACGGAAGCGCCGGGTTCTAGCAGGTCTTTGTCCACGAAACTCATGATACTAACATAGTATTCGGGACCGGTGGTGCTAGAGACAATGGCGTGGTCGTCGTCAATCATCTCTTCGAGGGTGCCAACGCCCATGGGGCTGCCGCGCATGTCATCAACGCGTCCTCGTTCGTCAGCCATACGATCAGCTGCCTCGGGGTCGGGAGCAGGGCCTGTGTTGTCCTTTGCGGCCTTGGCCTTGCGTAGACGCTCCTGGTTCTCGACAAATTCCTCTTCCAGCAAAAGATGATCGTGGATGCGCTGCATTCGGAGTAGGCGAAGCTTACATCGACTGGTCGGGTAGACGGTGGGGAGTTTGGCGGCAGCAGAGGTTCCGGCGGCCTTTCTCTTCTTACGGCCAATGCGGGTGGTCGGTCGCGGCGGGGGCTCGTACTTGGGCTTCTCCTTCTGTTATACTATAAGCAAGGGATCAAGGTGATGGTGATGATGGCAATGATAACAACGGCCAGGGCATGATAAGCCACGATATCAGTTGAGTCTGAGGGTAAGAACATACCTTCTTGTCCTTGTCATCTCTGCCATCCTGGCCAGGATTCATGCCAGACTGATTTTGACCCTAGCATGTGATGTGAGCACAGAAGTAGCGTAATCGAGATATCAGTGAGGGCGGCTTACCATATTGGCTCAATGTGCTGTGAGACGAGTCGCCAGTCGTTCTAGAAGAGGCGAAGGACGAGCGACAATGAGGGGATCAGAAGGCGGCCAGGTGCGTGCACAAGAATCCAATGTCGACGGTCAACGTCTCGACAAGAGAGCCGTAGGTACAATAGGTTGGAAGTTGATGATGGCGATGACGGCGATGATGGCAACGATGACAATGATGATGTTTGAAGGAAGGTGGTGGATATCGCGAGCTACGAGGCCCCAGTTGCCTGCGAACTACCTATGCTAGGTACCTGGTACACAGCGTGAAGGGACCTCTATGCTAGGTACTCTTATTATGTGGTTAGTCGAAATAGTTACATAGATTGAGCTGGTGGGCACTGTACATGTATAGATACCTACCTAGGTAGCGAAAGTACGTGTACTTAGATAGCTGGTAGGGACAATCAGGCTTCGAGATGGCAACGCATGCTGGTAATGGGCCCCATATTCTACCTGATCTGGTAAGCTGTCGCCGGGCTACGCTAGCTGTCACTGCCGCTTGAAGGAGAGTACTTAAGGTGGCCGAAGCCAAAAGGGCTCGAGGGCCTTATTGAATATTTCGAACCAGCAAGTGCTGTAGCCAGAAGTCAAGGTGTAGTAGTCAAGCCCGCTATTCTTATATGCCCTTGCTTCCGTTTGCACCCCCTACCAGACCTGAACCTGGGAAGGCGAAGCCAATTTGACAGAATGTAGATGTAAAGGAAATGATGGAATGCTCATATAGAAATGGAGAGTCTATATATTCATGTATATTCTTTGATCAGATATACTTCTAAATGATAGGTACTATACCACTACATATCGGGACTTGAGAGACACCGAGGGGCTGACAGCTGCCAGCTTCGTCACAGCTGGTCTCGGCTATCTCGTCAGGCTGGCCGTTTCTAGCCGTCACAGACTGTCACAAGTGCTCAAATTACCTACGGTACCTACCGACAGTGAAGATACCTAGGTACAGCCACCTGCCACATGCGCGTTTTGCTTGGCTGCCATCCTTAGCAGCAACCTTGAAGAGATAACTTTTGATCATCACCATCTTTTCTGTGCTCTCTATCTGGCCTCGTTGTTCAGCTCGAGCCACTACGCCAATCCGCCTGCCTGCCGACCCGCCGCCGTCTTGTCGACATCAGCTCCGTCTTGATTCGTCTGCGCAACGGTGTCTTCTACATCAACAGCGAAAAGATGCAGGCTCTCCGTCACATACGGCCCGCTGCTTTGCGCCAGCTGTCTAAGCGCGCATACAGCTCCTCCTCGTCCTCTCCCTACTCGCAGACTATCGAGAACCTGCGCATCAACGGCGAGACAAAGGTGCTCTTCCAAGGCTTTACCGGAAAGCAGGGAACGTAAGTCTACCCCCACGGTCCAGGGCAAATACTTTGTACCTCTTCATGCAACCTATAGCATCCACCCGACCTATGGCATCATAGCTGTCGATATCGAGACCATGCCATGCTGACTTGAGGCTTCTCTCTGTAGTTTCCATGCCGAACAAGCTATCGCCTACGGTAATTAATACCCGTCATCCCAATCGAGGACACCGGACATGTTTAGTAACGCTGCCCTACCTGTCATTGGGTCTGACATGTGTTTGCGACAGGTACCAAGGTCGTGGGAGGCACAAACCCTAAGAAAGCCGGCCAAGAACACCTCGGCCTACCAGTCTTTGGAAATGTGAGCGAGGCTGTAAAGGAAACGGGCGCCACTGCTACTGCCATCTTCGTACCGTAAGTCTAGCAGACGGCCACGGGCATCTGATCTGCCACTGGAGAGCTGGACAAGAGACGCTAAATTCATGGGCAGGCCACCGCTAGCCGCCGCCGGTATCGAGGAGGCCATTACTGCCGAGATCCCCTTGGTTGTCTGTATTACCGAAGGCATTCCTCAACATGGTGTGCTTGCTCATCTCCTACTGTCTTGTCACCTTTCTCCCCCATATCTCTGTTGTTATTTCCTCGCGTTCAGGACACTGTCGATTTAGACTTGGCTAACAGGTACCCAGACATGGTTCGCATCACCGACATGCTAAAGACTCAGTCTAAGACCCGTCTCGTCGGTCCTAACTGCCCCGGTATTATCGCTCCTGGCCAGTGCAAGATCGGTATCATGCCCGGTTTCATCCACAAGCGCGGCCGCATCGGTATCGTCTCCCGTTCCGGTACCCTCACCTACGAGGCCGTCAACCAGACCACACAAGCTGGTCTCGGTCAGTCGCTTGTCGTTGGTATTGGTGGTGACCCCTTCAGCGGAACCAACTTCATCGACTGCCTTAATGTCTTCCTCAAGGATGAGGAGACCGACGGTATCATCATGATCGGTGAGATTGGTGGTGCCGCAGAGGAGGATGCTGCCGATTTCCTGCGTGACAACAACACGGTCAACGGCGGCAAGCCCGTCGTCAGCTTCATCGCCGGTATCAGCGCGCCTCCAGGACGTCGTATGGGTCACGCCGGTGCCATTGTGTCCGGCGGAAAGGGCGGTGCCGATTCCAAGATCAAGGCCCTGGAGGCTGCCGGTGTCATCGTCGAGCGCTCACCCGCTGGTCTGGGACGTGCTATGCGTGAGGCCTTTGTCAAGCGGGACTTGTTGTAGATTCAGCCCTGGATGGCGAAGGGTGTAATGACGGGGGTGTATAAATACCTATAGATAGAGGGTTTCTCTGGCATCTGGTGGGATTTTCATTATTTAATCTGTCAAATACAGCATGCATCCATGATGATCATATCCCCTTTTTAGAGTGTCAAGGGTCGAGAAATTCGCTACGCTCCTAAAGCAACAAGTTGTTCATCCCCTACAGTGGTGCGTTGGCGGTGCGAATAGAAAAGGACGAGGATGAAATCACATAGCATTGGCCATCCTTTGAGCAGAGGGGTTGGTTATTAAGTCGTAGAGAGGGAAGGGGTATGTATGGCCAGCATTAAGCCAATTCAACTCGCTACCCAAAAGGTGTCTAGCATTACAACGCTGTATTGTTCCTAAACATATCAAGAAGCTATTGCACTATACAGATGATACTCATAGGATCAACTCATAACTTATCTCCTAGGTCTCACTCATATCATGTCCCTTGGGCATTTTACACCACGTATGCCATATCTATAACCCAGCACCGGTATTCTAGTTAGATTTAGACACGTAGATTTATTTATGCATATAACTAAGGGCATATATATATATATAGTTATAGTAATACAAGGTAACTATGATAAGATACGTATGAGACCCAGTCCATCGACTTGCCTATTAACTCATACAATATAGATAAACAAGCCACGCTAATTGCAAATACAACACACGTAGCCCTTTCTTCTTTTTTTCTCATAACAGAGAAAGGGGGGAGGAGGGGAGGAAGAGAGAGATAGAACCCAATGCCAATCCAACAGCTACTCTCCAACACACCCGCAGAAGTAATCCAACCTAGTACGATACAACCCATGGGCTATCAAGCGAAACCTACTCGAACATTAAAACTATAATTCCGGTTTTCCACAGAGCAGAAGAGCTTTAAAAACTAGCTTATACGTCCCTGGTAAAGGCTATTTATTAACAGAGCGATTTCTGGAATTCAAAATCGGGTTATCACTCATCCACTTGATTATTCACTCACTCACTCACTCGTGCACATCGACGGCCCCAGAGATGAAAGCCTGACACGTTTCATCTCATCTTACCTCATTTACTTCATCCCTCATATTGCTTATATATCCCTTACCTCTTCTACCTTCCTCTCATCGTCATTTCTCTCATTCAAGACATTTTTTCTTCTATTCCATGAATCTCTGCGTATCTATCATCTATATATCTACGCTGTCTGGCTGTTGCCCGTAAACATTTGGGCAAGCGACACACAACAGTGGTCTGAACAAATTTATATACCTAAATACTTACCTGTTGTCTTGGAACATTCACTTCGGGATTTCTATTTATTTAACTATCTGCTTGCTTGCTGCTGTTGATATCGACTGTTTCTCTCACCTTCTATCCTCCGCCACCTCCTATCTCTGGTCCCGCCCCTCCCCTCTCTCTCTCTCTCTCTCTCTCTCTCTCTCTTTTTTTTTTGTTGCACACAAACACATATAGACGTGCCAAAATATATTTATACTCAGTATCACCATCACAAGCAATCCAGTCCCACCTTATGCTCCCTCATTCATGAATAGGATAAGAATGAACAACACCAGTAAGAATTCAAAGGCATGAAGTAAAACTGTGATAATCTTTCAAATTTTTTTTTCGTTCTATTGTATACTCATTTTACTATTCTTCATTTCGCCGTATCATGGCTTCTTATCCCAGCCTTCCATCAAGCCACTTGCTCATATATGGCCCGTCAAGCCAATACCCCAGCTTCTTATAATAGCTCCTGACACCCACGCCGCTAATGACAGAAATCTTGACACTCCCATGCTCATCGCGCGCAATGCGCTCCGCTTCTTCCATCAACAGCGTTCCAAAGCCCTGGTGCTGGAATTTCTTGGGGTCTCTCGCGTGTACAGGGACGGCAGTTCCGTAGACGTGGAGCTCTCGGACGAGACTTGTCTGCTGGCCCGTGAGTTCCTCGCGGTAGGTGTATTTTTCCGTGCATTTTCGGAGCCGTAGAAGACCGACAAGGATGTCCTGCTTGGGGTCTTCGTAGGCGAGGAACGTCTCCCATCCGCCGTTGGCCGTGTAGTCGCGACGCACGAGCTCGATCTGGTTGGGGCGTATCTTGTGTTTGACCTCGTTGATGCCGACCTCGCGGGTCCTTACGTCACGGCAAGTTGTGCCGAAATCTTTCATTCGCGCCAGCGCTAACTCTCTCAGATTTCCATTCTCTACGCCCGAGGTGACGAGAGGCATGGGAATATCTCTCTGCACTCGGTAGATTCTCGTCCACGGGGGAACCAGGGCCAGTATACGCGCCACAATGTCGATGAGAGCATTGGGGGTGTAATTCTGATATCTTCCCGTCCGCCACAGCTCGTAGAGACCGGTGCCACGGATGACGAGAGTGGGGTATATCTTAAGCCCGTCGGTTCGGAAGGCCGGATTCTCAAAATACTCGCGGAATTGATCGAGATCACGCTCCATGCCGACGTTTGGTAAGTCGGGCATCATATGTGAAACAACTTTGAAGCCGGCATCCTTGGCCAAGCAGAAGGTCTCGGCGACAGCAGCGACAGTGTGACCGCGGTTGGTATCCCGCGCGACATCTTCGTACAAAGACTGGACACCCACCTCGAGCCGGGTACATCCATATCGGAGCATATCAGTGAGGTGCGGTTGCAAGCAGTAGTCTGGTCTCGTCTCAATGGTGATCCCGACGCATTTGATGTTGCTCATCTCGCCAGCCTCTACGGCCTCATCGACATTGGCCGTCTGATAGCCGCTGAGGGCGTTGTGGAGCTGGGAGATGAACTCCTCGCGGTAGGGAACTGGCAAGGACATGAATGTGCCACCCATGATGATGTACTCGACCTTGTCGACGGAATGCCCCAAGGACTTGAGCTGGTCGACACGGCCGCGGGCCTGTTCAAAGGGGTCGTAGCGAGCACGGATGGCGCGCATCGAGGTGGGCTCATAGCCAGTGTAGGACTGCGTACTATATTCGAAGTCGGAGTCAGGCCCACCAGGGCAGTAGACACAAATATTGCCAGTGTAGGCGATATGAGGGCAGCGATGGGGCTTGCACATGACGGCGACGACAGCGATACCCGAAGATGTCCTGATGGGCTTCGCGATCAGCTTAGGCATGATGTATTTCTTGTAGTGTTCGGGTACGGCGGCGATGATGGCGGTGAGTGGCGGGATGTTGGTGAGCCTGTGTTTCCTCGACAGCTTGGTGCGCAGGCCATTGAGGTTGATGTCTTTCCTTGGATTCTTGGGGTCCTTTGAGGCTTCGTGGTCCTCTATGAGGACGTTTGCAATGTCGGCGCAACATCTCAGGAAACGCTCGTTCTCGGGAGGGAGATTGGCATCCTTCTTTCTGGACGGCTTGCTCGCGGTGGCCGTCACCGTCGCCGTGGTTGTCGCCATGGTTGGCGGTTATCGCTCGAACGGACAGACGATTGCGAGAATACGGAACAGCAAGCTACTCTCTTGTGGGTGATTGTTCAGTCGGGAGGAGTGTAGAGTCGGCGCGGTCTAGAGGTAAGTAGGTATGCGGTATTCAGGATGTCTAGAGGCGACTTGAATATTGCTGCTGTTGCTTGATAGATAGACTTCCAAGGTTCTTTTCAATGATGGTGGGGGTTTTTGCATACCGACCCCACCAGCCAGTACTACCTACCTGTCGGCCAGGTAGCTTTTAGGTGCCGCTCGTCCCTCCATCGGTTGAGATTGTGCCATTCAGACCCTGCCACTGTCCCGCTTACAGCTGGACATATTAACATGGTATTCTGGAAAAGTATTACTTACCAGATAGGATTCTTCATTCTATGCTTTCTAAATGGGAGTTCTCTGATAGTTTCGATCCAGTCTGCAAAAGGTACAGCAAGACTCAAGCCTTTCGATTAGTGTATGCATATACCTACACAAGTAGGTAGGTACTTACATAGTACATGCATACCGCGTATACCTAGGTACTTGGTAAGGCACATCCCTACCCCGCCACGGGCGCTAGCGAGGTCAATGGAGAGGTAGGTATCTGTGTACTTCATCGATACCTACTTAGGTAAGTAGTCACTTAAGGGCACCTGTCATTCACTCTTCATCAGACTGCAGTCTTCGTATTTGTCTCTCCATCATACATATCATACGCAATGGGCTATGCAATGTATAGTACTATGCAGCTTTTGGCAGGTTATTATGACTTACTGACGGTCTCTTTGTCAATGCGGTGCCCGCCTCCCCAAGCCGAGCAAGCCTCACTTTTAGCTCCCCGTTGCCCCTCCCCCTGCCCCTCCATGGCCAACTTGGAAGTACCTACCACTCACTGTGTCCACCACTAAGCCCACTAACACCGCCGCTGTACTGTAAATGGACTCAGCCCAGTTCTCGTCCCCATTTGCAACTGCCAGAAATCAGGATTCAGGGATCGTGAATCGTGGATCGTGAATCTCGAAAAGAGAATACTTCGCTTTTACTATAAATCCACGGGCACCTTGGCCCTTTGTCTGTCTGTTTATATTTGAAACCGCCTTTCCCCCCCTCCCCCAACCAGTTAACCACGTCTTAAGCCAAGTTCAATACGTTAACTATAGCAATCGCGTCCTGCCTCTAAATTGTCTTATCCCCTCCCCCGGCTCCCCGCATCACTCAAAGCCAGCCAAGTTGCGACGAGAACCTTGCGAAACCGCGTCGTCCTATAGCTGGGCAACCACTTGCATTCCCTTACAGCGAGCGTCTCTGCGTCCAAGTCTGTCTATAGCCGAGACCAACCACCATGTCGTCGAGCAGGGTGCGCCGTGTCGCCAAAGAGTTGAGCGACATGGCTGCCGACGCCGCCAGCTCCAACATCTCGGCTGAGCCTGTCGACAGCGGCGGCGACCTGACACATCTCAAGGCCTGCATATTCGGGCCCCCGGGCACTCCCTACGAGGGGGGCCGGTACATCGTCGACGTCAAGATCCCACTCGAGTACCCTTTCCGTCCTCCCATCATGAAGTTCGACACCAAGGTCTGGCATCCCAACATCAGTAGTCAGACTGTAAGTCCGCCTCGTCTCCCCCCTCCCCCTTTCTTTCCCTCACCCTCTACTTCTTGACCTTCCTTGCCCTCTCCTCGTGACCTTGCGTATATGAACAAGCACACCCATTCGTTCGTGTTAATAACCTCCTGGGTGAAATTCTAGGGCGCCATCTGTCTCGACACTCTCAGTACCGCTTGGTCTCCTGTTCTCACCATCAAGTCGACGTTGCTGTCCCTCCAGTCTCTCTTCGAGAGCCCCGAACCGAAAGACCCTCAGGATGCCGAGGTTGCCAAGATGATGATCAACGATCCGGAGGCTTTCAGCAAGAAGGCCCATGAGTGGGCAGTCATCCACGCCGGCGCCCCCAGAAGCGACAAATTCCAACAAGTCAAACCCCGCACTAGCGTCCCTCAGCGCGAGCGAGTCGATGACAGCGTGTAAGAATACCTACTCCCCCTTGCTGCCATATTTTATACCCCATCAATATGCTTGCTATTCATCAAGGTATACCAAGTTGACTTACTCTCTTGCAGCTACGACGGTTACAATAAGAACCTCATCAACCGGTTCGTGAATATGGGATTTGATGTGGACAGGGTTGTCGAAGCGTTTCACTATGTTGGCATTGAAACATACGGCGGCGAGGACGTAGAACTAGAGGCCGAGTACATGGGAGACATCACGGCTCGATTGCTTGGGGAGCCATGACCTTCACCGGCATCTCAAGATAAAAGCTGTGTTGCGAGAAGGGACACTCCTTTGGACTCACATTCCCCAGCCGATATCTCCCAAGTTTCTTCTATCTTTCTTTACTAGCAGCATTCTTGCCACTTGCATACATACGCGGGGCCTATACAAAGCGAGAGCAGCGTGCGTCTCACTTTTTCTCGGCTAAGTATCCTTTTTTTTATAACCCCTCCCAACCCCCATCAAACCCAGAAGAGTCAGGGGAGTTGTTTATGGACTTGGCATAAAGGGGTCCGGCGTCAAACAGGATAATTACGGGCAGCTTATTCAATCTAAATGGTGTCAACGGGCTGGACTATATTATATGTTTTAAAAATACAATCCTATTCGCTAGCTTTATCATGAGGTTCTGCTGGCGATGATAGGATAGTAACACCACCCGCTTAGCGTGCTAATTCTCATGCTCAATCCATGATGGTGTCTTTTTCATAATAGGTGGGATTTTTATATGGGCGCACACATCTCCCGCGACGAACCTGTCACCTGTGCTCATATTTACCCCTGACCTTTGGGTATCCGCGAGCTCGTTCAGCGCCTTACAGGCTCACGGGTCCTTGGCCACAAGTTGGGTTGTTCAAATCTTAATAACAAGATGATGAAATGCTCATCCGACCATACTTATCTTCTGATAACTGTCTTGCTTTTTCATGACTGCAGGACGAAATAATCATCCTTTGCTGATATTCATCATAGAAATCCTATACTAACTAGCCTGACAGCCCGACGAGTAATGCGATAAACTGATATTGCCCCCCCCCTCTATTAACCTAATAGTGCCCTAAGCTTTTACAGGATTGCTTAACGTTATAGAAATATTCATTTACTATAGTATTAAAACATACTATACCAAAACATGCTATATTGACCTTGACCTTTGACTTTGACCTTCAACCTTGCTTGACCTATATGCAAAGGCTGAATTGGTTGGCAATACAACCTAGCCCTTTGATTCAGCCTTCGTGTATAGGTTAAGGTCGGAGGTCTAACTTGAAGGTCAAGGCTGCGTTCTTTGCATATTATTCTAATATTTCTATAGCGTAAGGTACTCCTAAAAAAAAAATTCTACCTGCAAAAGTTTGGGGCACTATCAGGTTAATAGGAAGGGGCGGCAATATCAGTTGATCTATACGAAGTAGACTCCAGCGCGGCTTGGCGCTTTGTTTGGCTCCGTTACGGCTCCGTTATGACTCCACTTTATAACTGCAAGCATTCGGACCCGAAAGAGTGGTGCATATAACCCCGGGCCTGGGAAAGTGGTACATTGTTATGCCATACTTCGTACTTCGTATAAATGTGGCATGAAGGACTTCGTGAGAAACTAGTATAATGGGCCATGGGAATGATAAACCAAGCTCATTGGTAGGTTAGCTGATGACTGCACGCGCGTCGCCCGGTTGGCTCTTTCAGGCTCGATTCAGCGTGGCATCATGCCGCATACACTGAGATTATATTCACAACGCGCCGTTTGCGTGTAACGTAGACTTTACCTGATTAAGCACAATTTTCCGGAAATTACACGGCGGAAATTGTCTTTTATTTGGTACAAGGGCTGAAAATAGTGGAAAATTGCTCTTAAGGTAAAGTCTACGGTACACGCCAACGGCGCGTTGTAAATATAATCTCAGTGTATGACGATTACCGATTATAACGCAGGTACGCTCCAACAAGAACGGTGTGCTGATATAAGACGTAGTTCAAGCCGAAATGAACTGAATATAAATACGCAGGTTGCGGCGCCCTAAGAAAGCGCAGCGACTTCTATGGTGAGTCAGTCGGAGAGATGGGACTTTCTGTGACACATATACCTAACTGCGTAGCTCAAGGCATTCAATAAAGACATCAGACTCTTATCGACGACAGACGACTGGATTCCGGGAATTGCACTTCTAGATACGCAGTGTCACGTGGGAAACTGGGTTTCCTATCGCCTCGTGGAGGAGCTTGGGCTGGCATCTTCAATTTCTACCATCTTTGACCTCCCTAATATTTTTGATGCGAACCATGCACCAGTTCTACCGTGTGGCGTGGTGAATCTCCGATGGAAATGGTCTCCGCAGGGCACACGAGTCCACACCAACCAATTCTATGTTTTCCCATCTTCTAACCACCTAGACGTGGTGTTTGGTGTTGATTTTATCAAGTCCGAAGGGCTCCTGCAAGTGAATGAGGCATTTATTCTGACACTTGTAAGAGACAAGAAGTCGGACCAAAGTCAGTGGGCTCTACTCTTCTATTCTTTTCATCTACTTATAACGGCTGTCTAACATGAAACAGAAGTCAAAGCTGCCATTGAACAGGCAAGGGAGAGAAACGAGGCGGAGAAGGCAGCTCTACGGGACAAACGGAAGCAACAGGAACAACAGAAGAGAGGAGAGTCTCAGCAAAGGCAGTCGCACCAGGGGGTTCCAAAATAAGAGGGTGGCTGAAAGAGCATTGTACCCAGACAGACTTGAGTCACTCAGAGAGTGCTCAGTTTAAGCAGGGCTAAGTCTGTAGTTACCCCAGTTAAAGCTTAGATGTAATATATATGATACCCCTATGGCTTTAGATGGGTGCATGTCTTTATGATAATTGCAAAACAAATAAGGTTAAATGGAGTTATAAATGGTTAAAGTGCCAACTGAAGGTAGAAGTGGTAAAGTTAAAGGTGCAGGTATAGGCGTGGGTAGGTAGGGTTGTAGACAGCCATCTCTGTAGTACACCTTCATTCCTAGCTGGCTACAGCACTCGCTGGTTCAAGATATTCAATATACCATACTGGCTACGGCCGTCCACTCTCCATCACATCCTAGAATAGCTGCTTAGGTACCATTATGTGGCCAGTCAGCTTGTGCCGCTAACAAACACCACTTGCACCGCAGCAAACCTACGAAGTAGTCGTGTTAATGCATATTTGCCAATGAGAATAATACTTGGAATGTAGAACATGCGCAGCTGTTGCAGAAAAGACCTCCACCATTCTACCATTCGTGAATACCCCAAGGCCGAGCGAGAACACAGCGGTGAACAATCCGATCATGATCAATCGAATTTTCATGTCGCTAAGAGAGTATAGTAGGACGATCGACCCGATGGGTAACAGCGAGGCTAAAACCGTACCAAGTAGCATACTCAAGCGTATCACTCCGTCTGGAGAATAATAGACTGTATGCTTGTGTATGTCCGATCCGTCTGGCTTCTGACTCAGTTTTCTGATGTTAGCTTGGGGTGATTCCAAAACCTTGTGCTGACTTAGTATTCTGTATTACCTTGAAGTGATGCCCGATGAGACGATGATATAACAAGACTAGTCTATTCTTCAAAAACTGCATGACCAGACTGTCGGTCCTACCTGGCTTAAGACAGACAAGCTCCGAAGTATCGAAACTATTCCACACGTCGCTGTCTGGGCCCAGAAGATATATATTGCCCATTTGGGGATCTTTCATCCATTTTTGCAAAGACTTGAAATCTTGTTCGCTTGGAGGTCCAAAACTCGCAATCATATCTTGCAAGCAGATAGCTTGATCTAGAGTAGTTATTTTTAGCACAAAATGTTACTATCATATTGGAAACCCCTCTCAACTTACTATATTCCTTCAACTTTTCTCTCGCTTTTAACATAATATGCCATTGCGCAGAGCTTTCACCTTCAGTGTTCACTGGCTCGCTAAGTGTCTGCCAGTCTCTGTGGTAGATAGAGGGCTCAAGGTGTCCGGACGCAGAATCAACCTTGGCTTGTTTCTGTAACTTATTCTGCAGATCAATTAATTCGGTTTGTAGATAGAGCAGGTTGGGAGCGTTTAAAGACCCAAATCGGCGAAATGCTGTTATTCCTGGATGGGCACCCATCAAGGACGCAAGTCGAGGGTATCCTGCGGGTATGTTTATAGTTCTAAAGTTGATTCTCGCAGAAGGTTTTGTATTTATTCGAACGACTTAAAATCATCGGCCAGGATGTTTAATACTGGCGAGCAAAGGGTAGACAGTGTTGCTTCCTATAGCGCAAACGATGAACTTGTATTATTACTACTGGTATGTGAAGATATAGCCTCGTAAGCATACAATACTCTAAAGACTCATAACTACTTTTAGATTACGAAACGAAACGAGATATACCTAAAGGTTTTGGTTCTGGTGGGAAACCGGCAAGGAATCTGCTCCAATATATATATATAAAAGTGCCTTTTCAAATCGCCAAGAACATAGATTAATTCAATGCAACGCTTACATGCCTTCCATGCCAACCATCTGCCTTTCTATTTTCTGTGTGGTCAGAATCTTGCAGCTGTGCCATTACCGAGTGTCACTTTTTGGGAGCCTTGTCAACCTTGACGCCCATCTACAGTAGCATAGCAGCAGAACCGCCGGCAATGCTTGAAAACCTAGTTGACCACCTTAAAATTGCGCGATAAAGGCTTTTTTTCGTCCCTATGTCACAGTACTGCCCAGCTATAGTTTTATATATTTGTTCTATTATTACACAAGGAGGGAAGTTCTAGTTTTCGCCCCTTATTCCCTTTCCTAGCGTTATATATAATGTTCCTTGGTTTATATTATATATTGGAAATTAGGCTTCCTTAGTTCCATAATAGTATTTTCCTTTTCTAAATGCAATTAATTTTAATTGTATAAGTTTAAATTTATTTATGATATGGTTATATAGTATATGTGTTGTATTATTTATTTTAAGCTGCGCTCCTTTTTAGGGCGGTGTAGTAGTGTCCTGCAGCCCTGCAGCAGAATTTTCTGCTATATTAATTGATTGTTTACCCTATATATTTTTTTATTTTTCCTTTTTCCTTTTTTATATTTGTTTTATTACCTTTTTATAATTGTAATACCCAGCCTTATTTTTAGTTTTTTAAAAAAGGTTTTTTTAAGCGCTTTGCTTATGCCTTTTTTTATTTTCTTTTGTTTATTACTATTGCTATTATATTAATATATATGCCTTTCTTTATAGGTAAGAAGTTTTGCCTTTATTACCTCCGAATTAACCTTGGCGTATATTGTAAGAAGGGCAATGCTATTTAGAAGGTAGCACTGTTCCGCTTTATATATATATTTAAAGGCGGTATATCTTTAATTTATTATACCTAATGCAATAAGTGCTATAATTTATACGAATTAATATATTAATTATATTTTATTAACGTTTTATTCCTATTTTATAATTTTTTTTATTATTTTTAATTCCTAATTATATTTTTTGGATAAATAATGCTTTTAATGATTAAAAATGCTTATAATTTAAATTTGCTTTTATTTTAATATACTAGTTTTTAGTATATTATTAATATTATTACTATTATTACTAATTTAACTATATTACGTTAATTTATATATTTATTAATATTATATTATAAAGTTATTACTTTAATTATTAATTTTACCTTTATATTTAAAAATGTAAAAAAGGAAGTATATAAAGTATATATATTTATAAACATTAAAAAAATAAAAACGGTATATATTACCTTTATATAATTATTTCTTTAGTATTTATTAATATTTTTTTTTATTTTTTAAAAGGATTGTGCTGCTTATAATACCTACTTTAATTATTATTGCCAGCTTGCTCTTACTTTATAGCTATATTTTCGCTTTAATAATAAAGAAGAAGTTTATATTTAGGAAAACTTTTAATTATTCTATCTTTAACCTAAAAATATAGTTATTATAGCTTAACATTTTATTAAAAAGAATTTTTACAATTTTCTTTTAATAAATTTTTACTTTTATCCTTTTATCTTTTATTTTTATTATCTTTTTATTATAATAGTATTAATATTTTGGTTTAGAACTTTTTACTATTTAACTTTATAGCTATAAAGCCTGATGATAATAAGGTTATCGAAATTTTTAACTTCTTCCCCTTTACCCTTTAAGCGATTTAGTTTTAAGTTAATATGGCTATAATTAAAAAAAGTATAAGTTTAATTTAATAATGTAGGTTTTAATCCTATTAACCTTTATTATTCTTTTTTTAACTCCTTTATACCTATTTAGTTTTGCTTTGGTTTTTTTTTTATTTAATCTAGTTTAGTTTAGTCTGGTTTTAATCTAGGTGGTACTTTAACGTTTGGCTACTTTATTTTTACCATTTATAGCTTTTCGATCTACTTTTGTTACAATAATAAATTTTTAATCTTTTTTTTTTTTAATAAATTTTTAAAATAACTTTTCTTTTTTTTATATAAATCTATAATTTTTCCTTATATTCCTTTTTATATATAGCTTATATTTTATTATTTATACCTTTACTTTAATAAATATATAGTTTTTAATAATTATTTTACTTAAGGTATCTTTAGCTAATATAGTAATTTTAATTTAAAGGGGTTAAAATAGTAAAACGCTATTAGCTTATCCTTATAGCCCTTAAAGTTTACTACTAATTCTTATATTAATTAATAGGGGGCTAGCTATTTAATTTTATATTTAAATCCTATACTTTTTTTTCTTTTACTATTTAGGATCTTTTTAAATAACTATTTTATTTCTTTAATTTTATTATTATTTTATAAAATTATCCCCTTTACCCTATTGTTATATAGTTTATTTAAAGCTAATTATTTTAAAAGGCCTTCTTTTATTAAATATATTAACGATATATAAAATATTAGGAATATTTTATATTATTAAAATAGCTATATAGCTATAGCTTATTAATATATTTTTATTACTTTAAAGGGGCTTATTTATTTATTTCTTAATTTTAATATAGGTTAGCTTATTTTAACGTTTTTTATATTAATCTAAACCTTATTTTTTATTATATAGCTTAGGACGTTTAATTAATATATATCCGTATTTTTAATATAATGCTTTTAAAATATAATTATTAGTATTTTAGCCTTTTTTACTACTTTTTAAATCCTATTAGCTATATTTAATATAGTTAAAAACTCGTTTTATTAAGCTTTTATCCTAATTTTAATTAAGTCCCCTATTAGTTTAATTCCTATAATAGGGTACTAATTATAATTTATAAAAAAGGGGGTTAGCCTTATAGTTTTAAATATTTAATTATTTATTATAAATTTGGTTAAGGGTAATTAATCTACCTAATTATTTTAATAATAGCTATAATAAACTTTTAAATATTATTCTATTATAGTATTAACGATTTCTATCTACCTATTGGTTTTTAAGTAATACGCTATTAAGGCGTATAGCTATATGCCTAAGTAATAGCTTAACTCCTTTTAAAAGTAAGATATAAATTATAAGCCCCTATTTAATATAATTATTTCCGGTATATTATATAAATAATATACCTATACTATAAAGACCTTTATTAATATATTTATTATTATATTCATTATTAAGATAAAGTATCTTATTTTTATAAGTTTATTTATTATAACTAGGACTAATTTATATTTTATACTATTTTAGGTATATAGTAGTAAGGGGCTTACCTAATCTACTAATATATTTATCCATAGTTTATATAATACCGGAAGGGGTTTAAATAGCCTAGCTAGCGCTACTTTAAAGTTTTTAGTTTATTAATATAAGTAATATCCTTTAATAAAGGTAACTATATCCTAAAATATCCTTAATTAAAAGTAAAAGCGTTTTAGGAAGTTTTAGCTTTTATATTAGTTTAAATATCTTATTAATATAAAGCTATATATCCTATATATAATTTTTAACTTTACTGCTATATCCTTAAGGATATATAAGCGTTCCTTTATATAAATATAGCCCCGTTTTATTATATAATTACCTATAGATACCTTAAATTTTACCTTTATCTTATTAAGGAAATGCCGGACTTTTAAGTTTTCTATTATATCGATTAGCTTTATTATTAACGGAGAATTTTAATATACTTAGTTTATAATAGTATTTATTAGTTTATTATTGCTAAGGGAGAATAATTATATTAAAATAGTATTACTATACCTTTATTTTATTTATTTATTTAATAGGAGGAGAGCTTTATATTAATATACTACCCTTTTATTTATTATATCCTATTTATTCTTTAATATATAGCTTTACTTTTAAAATAGCATATTTGGAATTATAATATACTTTTTTAATTTATAAACTATTTGGAACTTAAAGTCGTTTAAAAATTTTAACTAACAGATTTACCATTAATTTAATAGTTTTATAATAGTAAAGTACTAAAGGGTTTTATAGTTTATAATAACTTTAACTATATTTTTATAGCTTTATAGCTTTAGTTGCTATTTTTTAAATGCTTTTATTATTATTAATAACTTTTTATTATAGATTTTATAATTATATTTAACTAAGGAATGTTTTATTAAAAAGAAGGCAATTAGGTATTGCTAGCCTGCTTTATCGATTTAGAAAAGTACCCCTTTTAATGCTTAGTTTAAGGTATTTACTTTTATTACTATTTTTTTAAAGGATTATAGTAGGATAGTACTAATATTGTTATAAAGGCTTTCTTTAAGGTTTAAAACGCCTTTATTATATTATTATTTAAAGGGGTAATTTATTTATTTTTAAATATAAAGCTTATAAATGGTTTTATTATTTATAAAAAGCTTTAAATAAAACATTAGTAATAATTTATAAAGTGTATAAATTATTATAGTTTTTTTAACATTTTAAATAGCTTTTAATTTAAAATTATTTATACTTTATTAAAATTTATTATAATACTTTTTATAAAAATAATAAAGCTTAAGTACTTTGTTTTAATAATGTTAAATTTATACTTTACAATATTAATAGTTAATTTAGCTTTAATAAGTCTACTTAGTACTTTATAGATATATTATTTATACTTTACCTTTAAATTGCTATAAATTAAAATATTATTTAAGTATATTATAATATATTTATTAAGGATATCGAATAGGATATTATTAATATAATGTTAAAATAAGTTTAATATATTTATTATATTAAAGTTAGTTATTAAATATTTAAATAAGCTAAACTTAATAATAAAGGCGGTTTTCTATTTATTTTTAAGGGTAATTTAAAGGTAATTAAAGGCTACTATAATATCTACTTTAATATAAATCTTAATGTAGTATAATGCATTTAACGTTTTATAAATCAATAGAATAGGGTATTAATTTTTAACCGTTATATTATTTAATTTTTAATAATTTATATATACTTTTATTCCCCCTTTTAACTTCTAAATAAGGAGGATAGGTATTACTACTAATAATATATTAACCTATATAAACCCTTTTATTAAATAATCGTTTAAATATTTTTAGATTATTAAAAGTTTTAAAGGGGACATTAATTTTATTACTATATTAAGTAATAACTTCCTTAATATTATATTTATTTTATAGTTAAATAATTAATATAATAGTAATAAATTTATATTTTAAGGTAAAAAAGCTTTAATTAAGTTATAATATTCCTTTAATAGTTTAATAAAAATATTCTCCTTTATAAGGGATTTTTTATCTTTTAAGTATTTAGAAATATCTTAATTTATAACCTATTGTAGCTATAATGCTTTATTAACCTATTATTAGTAGGTTTAAAAGCAATTTAGCAATGCTTTGCTATTTCTATTTATTTCCCCTATTAAAATGCTTTATAATATTTTAATAGGGGTATTTAATATAATATTTTTAATTAAGTAGTTATCTTTTATTTCTGCCCTTTATTATTCTACCTTTTTAAATAAATTAATTAATATATAGAACTTTATTATAGGTATAAATTAAACTATAGTACCCTTTACTTTATATAAAAGTAAAAAGTTTAATATTATAAAAATTTATATTTTTATTTAATTACTTCTTTAATAGGTTTTTACTATTAATATAGTAGTTATTTATAATATAGGTCCTAATTATAGGTTTTCCTTAAATTAGTTTATAGGCTTAAATGCATTTTTTTATTATAATAATAGTGTTCCGCTATATTCTTATTTTTATATTTTTATTTTATATACTTTTAATATACCTAATTATTAATTAATTTATAAGTTATAATATTGGAGCTATAATAATCCTAAAATAATATTTAGCTTATTTAATAACTATATATATAGCATTAAGGTTTTTATAAGGTTTTTTAATATATATTATATTATATATTATTTAAAAATTACTTTTACCTTAATATTATTTATAAAGCGTAATATTTTTAATTATACTATAGCTATAATTAATATTTTATAAGTTTATATATATTTTATATTTATAAAGCTTTATAATAAATATTTTAAATTAATAAAAGTTTAATACTTAATTATTATTTTACTATATAATTTAATTAAAGTATTAAAATAAAGGGATATATTAAAGCTTATCGATTTAATATATAGATTTATTTATTTATTTTTAGTTTTTTTTTTATTATACTTTTAATTATAACTTTTATTAGGGGCTATATATTTTTTATTTTATTTTTATTTAGGTGTTTAAATAATAATATTTATTTATAATTCTATTTTACTTTTATTACTAATAGGTAAAATAAAGTAAAATATTTTACACTTTTATAATATAAGTATAGCTTTAATAATTATCTTTTTATTTTTTTTTTATTTATTAAAAGTAGTTTAAATTGCTTAATGTAAATTTTATCTAATTATATTAGGTTACCTATATTTTATTTAAATAATACTATTAAGATATATATTAAGCAGTTTATTTATATTAAGTAGGAGGGGCATTCCTTTTAAAATTTAAGGTTTATTAAGTTATTAAAAAGGTTATATAATAATTATATTTATTTTATTATATTATTCTTCTTTAATTAATTTATTTATAAAATAAAAGCCTTTTATAATTTAATATTAACTTTAGCTTTTAACCCTTTTATTTATTATTTATTTAATTGTTTACTTTTTTTTATTAATTTAATAAATTTAAAAATAAAGTTAACGTAAAGTAAATCCTTTTATTTTAAGCTTTTAAATTTTTATACTATTTTTATATATATATTAATAATAATATATAAATTGTTTAACATTTTAAATAGGTTATTATATATTACCTATATTTATTTTTTAAGTTTTTTTTAATTATTTATTACTTTTTTAACCTATTATTAAACCTAAATATATATAGCTTTAAATAATTTAAAGTATATATATAAAATTTTATTAAATTTATTAAAAAATGCCCCTTAATTTAATATTAGCTTTAGTTATATCTTTAACTGTTAAATTGTATATTTAGCTTATTGCTTATTTAAATCTAATTTTAATTTATTAAATATTAAAGGTTTCCCTTTTTAATTCTTTTTATATTTAATAATATATTATTAATAATTTAATATTAATATTATAATATTAAATCTTTATATAATAAGTAAACCTAATATAATTTTTAAATTTATTTAAAAGGTTAATAATAAGGGGAAAGGGTTTAATAAGGCTAAAAGGGTTATAATTAATATTAAAATTTAAGTTATTATTAATTAAGTTCCTTTAAGTAGGGTTTAAAGTATTAATAAAGCGGTAATTTATTAATTATTATTTATTTATATTTAAATAAATATTATTATTTATTATTATAAATTCCTTTTAATATTTTTTACTATTTAAAGTTTATTTATTAATATAATCTTTAAGGTTAAAACTTTAATATAGGTTTATTTTATTATATTTATTTATTATTATATTAAATTTTAATATATTTTATATTTAATATCTTTTTATTTAAGTTTTTTTATTAATATATTTATATTTTCCTTTAAGGTAATAGTTTAAAGTATTATATCCGTTATATAAAGTAATAGCTATTAAAGGAACTATTAGAATTATTTTAAAGCGTTTATAAATCTTTATAATATATTTCCTAAAGTTATAGCATTTAAGTTTAGGTTTTATAAAGCTATTATAATTATTAAATAGTTATTAACGATATTAATAATTGTATACCTATATATAGGGAGTTTTACCGGGGTAAAAATGTTAGGGGTTAAAGGTTCCAACTTTATAATGTTCCAAGGGTAAGTTTAAAGTATTTATATAAGCTGGTCCTTAAGGAAGGATATTACCTATTTTTTAGGTATAATAAATTGTTATAGTATTGCCTAGCTATAGTTTCATATATTTATTCTATTATTATATAAGGAGGGAAGTTTTAATTTTCGCCCCTTATTCCCTTTCCTAGCGTTATATATAATGTTCCTTGGTCCGTGCTATATATCGGAAATTAGGCTTCCTTAGTTCCGTGACACCTTGGACAAAGTTGGGGTGGCATGCTTGGTGCTGTTTACGCTACCAGACACCCGAAAGGGCTGCACAAGTTAATCATTGCTAGCTCTCCGGCCAGTGTCCCTCTTTATGTAGTCGGGAATGGCCAACTCAGGTCTGAATTGCCAGACGATATCCGCAAAGCACTGGAAAGCACAGATCATGATACCCCGGAATACGAGAAGGCGAGTACGTTCTTTTACAAAAGACATGTGTGTCGACTCGATCCACGCTCAGATGATGTTCAGAAGGCATCAACAACTTACAGGAAGATGCAACTGCATACATGACTATGTAAGATTTCCTGATCTTGATTCGCGAGTTCAATCACAATACTGACTATCACAAACTAGGCGGGGGCCTTCGGAACTTGTCATAGTTGGCAGTCTTAAAGACTGGGAAGGACGGAAGATCGCGGACAGAATCATGGTCGATACCTTAGCTCTGAATGGTAGATATGATGAGATGACAGACATCTGTGTTGAACCCTAGCTCAAGGCCATTCCTCGTGTCAAGTGAGTTACATTTGAACAATCAAGTCACATGGCACATTGGGAGGAGCCGGACCGTTTCCTCGAAGTATGTGGTGGCTTTCTGTCCGATTACAAGATTCGCTAGAACTGTTAGGCGCCCTTGAAAGTGTTGGTGATATAATCAACCTGCTGCCATCCACCAGAGATAGGTTTTAGGTGCAAGGACGGGGGTTCTTAGGTTGTCGGGGTTCTAGCGATTTCAATTAGGATTCTGCTCTTTAGTCGCCATGCCTTACCGTCTGTTAGGCAACTTACATATAAAAGCGTAATTCTGTAAGGAGCGGTAGTAGTGGGCTGGTACCGGGTCTTCCTACATTACCTACGTACTACCTAGATAAGCAGTGCAGTATTGTTTGTCTGTGAGTCGGCAATCGAAAAAATTTCGAGATGAAGTGAGTCTTGGGAAACTCGTCTTACGGCTCTACTAGAGATGCAAGCGAAGTAAGGGGCTTTTAGTGTGAAACCTCTAGTGCCAGGTCCGCGTACGTGCTATGAATGGTAGAGCAAACTGTAGAATCATGGATTGTTATGGGCTTGGTTTACGGGCGTAAGTATGGTATGCAGGAAACAAACATATGAAGTGTCGTGTGTGATAGAAGACAAGTAGCGTCTGTAGGGCAAGTAGTGCTGTTAGGGTAGAGAAGCACCAAGGTAGAAGTTACCCTGAGGAGTGGAGATAGTTCAATAGTTAGGTATATAAGAAGGCGAGAAGCCCGCTTTAGTGTTAGGAAGGGTAGAAATCAATAATACCATACGTTCGACCTATCTACTACCTAGGTGATACCTACTTACGACCTAGCTTCACTCCGGGATACTAGTTCGTTCTCATTGCACACCTGAGAGGTGAGTGTCCTAGAGGGAGTGGAAGTCTAACTGGAATCAAGTAGGTAGGCGGAAGGCAGCATAGGGGTTAATAATTTATTGATTCCTGAACCTTCCAAGTCTCAAGCGATCAGCATAATTATGGCTTTAACCTGAGACAATATAAGATAGGCATACATATAAGCATAGTGTAAAGACACCTTTCCACCAGAAAGGCTTCCCGATCATGATGAGAAACCGCGCCGACAATCGAAACAGGCACATCAACGAACTAACAGCAAGTCATAGCCATGCTACGGATTGTATGATTGAATTTAGGTTTGATCTATCAGCGCGTGCAATTGAAAACGGAGCTCTCGATAAACTGGTTATGTTGCTCGCGAAGAAGATACATTTAAAAGACTCAGATAAGAAAATTGGCTACTGGGGAGCTGTCAGATGGCCCCGGGTATCCGCATGGAAAAGCAGAACTACAGATCGCCGCAAACCATACCATATCGCACAATGCCCCTTTCCATTCCACTTTTTAGCACCCCGTCTAAGGTAACCCTCTCTAGAAAGAACAATCTCCTCAAATAGTTAGCCACCCCTGTACTGTTCCAGTCATAGACTTCATAATTATTTCCCCGGCTATTTGGTCCAAAGCACCACGCTCCGTGCCACGAGAGGAAAGGAAATGCTACCCAAAACGCGATCAATCTCTAGCCCTCGACGTACATTCGTGCTCACGGCCACCGATTGTGTCTAATTCCCGAGTGATTGGGCCCGTTTCTTGAGGTGCCCTTGGTGTTTCCAGTCAAGGCCAAATACGAGACCGCCTTCAGTTGCTCCTTGTGCAATCTCCTTGCAATGCCTATGGAGATTTCCCAACCCTTCGTCCATGGTTCTAACTAAGGGCGATCGTAGAGCAAGCTACCCATAGTATGTGCTATCCCTTTCAAGGACGGCTGCCTGTATCCCCCCTGGTGCTCCAAGAGCTTCTCTCCTGAGTTCTGCGCATACCGCCGTCGAAATCTTTCTTCCAGTCTGAAGTGAAACTTATCGAGTACCCCATGAGCGGCCGAGTGGCGCTACCGGAAGACAATGATGATGATGAAGACCTTGAAGCAGACGTGTCGGTAGTGATATCCAAGGTGGTAGGGTAAGAAGGCGTCTGGCCTGTAGTGTATGTTCTCGGAATATAGTCCGAGGAGGTAGACGTCGATGAGAAAGTTGCGTGAGGCATTGTACAGATAAGGGGGGAGATAGTTTATGATTTGACTGCTGATGTTGATGAAACGGGAAGCGAATAGTATGGCTAGAAACTTGGTTCTGCTGTATCTGCGAGCTTCTATCTGAAGACGATGATGGTGATGATGATGAAAATACCTCTAACCTCGAAACCAAGTTCATTACCTTTATATATACCCGAACCTAGAGCCATAATAGCCACGCAGTCTGCCCTCCCTTATGTATTATATATAGATAGATATCGACAAAGATAGAGAAGAAAGGCAGACTTTGATACCCATCAGAGACTCTGGAATCTGTCCCGGGTCGTGAGCCAGGCCTGCGTCATGGCTATCTGGGGATGTTCATTGCAACGATATCCTACTATTAACGTCTCCGGGGGGCGGACGGGCGACATCTCGAAGTTCTGACTGTGCTTCAGGTCCCCACCGGCAATTGTATATGTTTTCGGCTCCGGGGCCAACTAGTCAAGCTGAGGATATGGTATAGTTAGCTGGCTCTACCACCTACCGAGCACCCAAGGCACGACGCAGAGTAGGCGAGTTTGTGTTTTTGGGGTCGTATTTTGGCAGCACGACAAGGTAAATTGACATAAACGGTGTTACCTGACTATGATCATTTGAAATGGTGTCCTCGGCGATGAGCAACAGGCTTACCGGACACCAGCTGTTCACAAGCAGAGACAGCTTCACTTTTAGACAAAACAAGCGAACAAGTCCAGAAAAAGAACTGAAAGAAATAGAAATAGAAAATAAGAACAGCACGGAGATTGGTAACCTACTAATGTACGTATTAGCACTACGGACATAGCCTATGCTGCGCGTGCTGCAGCCAGGAGAGCGAGAGGCTTCCGGCTTCCTTCCCAGAAAGGTCTTGGAAAGTGCGATGTCCTGCAGCAGAAGCGTTACATTGCCTCACGCAGGCACACAGAAGAACAGAGGGCAAGCGTTTGACCTGAGCTTGGCAGACCTCTTTCGTGGTAATTGAAGGTAGACAGACAGACTTAGTATACCACACCCAGGACTCAGAAGAAGAAGAAGAGGAGGGTTTACAGCCGGAAGGCAACGTGGGATACTACCTCGGCAAGGGACAAGATGGTGGTCATGATTCCCCAAAGCGGGCCATTAAGGGCTGCCGTTTTTAGATGGATGCCTATTTAACGAATGAAAGTTGATGATTGAAAAAGACCGTGCCTATACGAGTTATGTAGTCACCACTTAGGCGTTTCCACCCGTGTTTCGAGATGGGGCGTGATAATCACCCTTGGTCTTGTGCTATACTTGTCGTTCACCCTCGCGTTTTCAGCTATGGTCGCGATGAGCGTGTAGTGTTGGGAATAGTTAGGCAGTCAATATATAGATAGATCTCTTGTGGAGTTTGCGATGCGCAGGCATCTAACCCGAAGACACAGGGTATACATCTACCGAGCCTCGGGATTCTCGGTTTCGCAAAGAGACAGGTGGGCACATTGGAGAAAGAGGCAGTCGGTGCTATAATTAGACTCTTACAAGACTTCCCGCTTCTTAGGATATTGCCAGTCGTATTTGTGTTATTCGGCTTTGCCATTTTGCAGGAGGCAGATTTGCTCATTGGTAGTAGGATTTGGGTTCATGGAGAAGACACGATCAATATCCTCTTCAGGAGGGAGAAAAGGCCATTTTAGAGACTCGATGGATCCAAAGAAGACAAGGAGTAACCCGCGACCTAGCTTACGAGTCAAGAAAGGATAAGGACACGTGAACAGAGCTTCTGCACGTAGTACCTACAGCATGGTGAGCAGCTGGATGCAGTAAAAGGGGGGGAAAGGGGGCGGGGGGGCCGCGGCAGCGGCAGCGGCAAGATCTGACGTGCAGCATGCAGGCTGCGCCAGCACACTCGATTGATTAAATATACTTACTTACTTAGTTACTAGTGGTACGGTAGGAGAACGGTAAGGCTGCATGGAGGAAGAAGAAGAAGAAGAAGAAGGGGAGGGGGGGGGAGGGGGCGATTTGGAATGTTGATGTGCAAATTATCGCAAGACAGAAAACAGAACATGACTGCGCCGCCATCTTTCACGCATTCTTTACGCACTCGCGTATGAATCATCTGTACTACTACGCCACTACCCGTCGAAGGGTACCACGGCACATGGGAGATGCTGCACGGCACTTGTCTAGACGTGCTGTCGGGACGCGGCTATTGAACTACAGTAGGTTCCAGGCCGTGATCTTGCAGAAACCCGCCCCTCCTCTCGTTGCAGTCGAAGGCTACTTCGTAGATAGTTTCATCCCAACTTGATCGAACGCCCTGGGCCTTCATCTTATCTCGTCTCCTTAGTTTCCACCTGTCTAGGACTCCGTAGGCGTTCATGATACCTCATTCTGCAATGCCATGATAGTCGTCGACTCGTCGTGATGAGAGGCAACGAATGCCAGCGTCACGCTTACCTGTAATAAGTTAGATGCCTCCCTAACGTGACCTACGTACCTACCTCATATCTGCTCATAGTCCATTAGGTACCTAGCTTCCAGGTTGGAGGTCTCTGCTTACACACAGTAGGTAGGTATGTGTTCGGATTCTTTCAATACATTCAATTGACAACTTCAATGACATCATCCCTGCGACCATTCAAATTAGGTGATTTGTACGGCGTAAGCAGGCAGGTAGGGACTGAAGTAGATAGCAGCTGCCGTCTGTGAACCAACTGCTGTGTCCAGTAGGCACTTACCTAACCTTAGAGGTAGTGAGTGCTGTGTCAGCTCCACGATCGGCCCATCACAGCACACCACACCATCCATTCATCCCTGTCTGCCGACGTGAAGCCTTGTCCTTGTCCTTGTCAACAGCTTCTCAACCTGCCATCATCGTCTCAATATCCGTGGTGTATGCAATTGGGACCTAGCCGAGATAGAGATAGAAAGAGTATGTCGCAACCCGCCGGCAACCCCAACAATGCCGACCACGAGACCGCCAATGCCACAAGCCATACCATAGCCTCCAAGGCCGTGGCGCGAGCTCACGGCATGCTCGTCTACAGCCAACGCCAGGTCGACCGCGTCGTGTCCCCGTCCACGCGCCAGAGAGCCATGGATTCGACCACAGACTACGCCGCCAAGCGACCACTGCTCTCGGTACGCCAACTCCTCACTCGCTGCATCTTCAATCATTCTCATGTCGTGCTTGATTAATCTAACACGTATCTGCCCAATCCCCAGCTCTTCATCGCGATCCAGATCCTCTCAGCTCTCGTCCCAGCGCTCCTCTTCACAACCTTCATCACCAACACGCTTCTCGTGGCATTACTCTCAGCCCTCGCATTCACGCTCTTCTGGACGCTGGTCGCCCTCTTCGTCCTGATTCCTACACTTCTCATAACATGCGGTTTCGCAATCCTGCTCTGGGTATGGGCAGTAGGCAGCTACATCTTCTTCCGCGCTATCTACAGCCGTCTCCCGCCTTCTTTGCAGGAGCGCTTTCAGTCATTCTTGAACTTCAATTCCTCTGGCGACGACGAGAATGAGAAGAAGCGCGTCATCTTCCACCACAAGGACTACGACCTCGACGAGGCCGTTGCCGCCGAGGTCGCCGAGGCTAGGGCGTAGGTCACTGGCGAGATGGTGTCGGCCATGGCTGCGGCCTGGTGGTTCCTCATGCGTCGGGGCGCGACTGCGTTTTTGTCGTATCGCTTTCGCATGCGCTTTTTCTGAGTCGCAAAATACACGATAATGATTAATAATGCTTTATTAAAGGGCAAGTTAGAGCAACTACCTATCAGAAAAAAGAGATCGAGGGTTTTCTACAAGGCGTCAAATCGGGGAATAATGCATAAGGTTTACGGGACTGGGAATTGGGATTAGGGGTGCAAGACAACGGGGAAAATAACGGGGACAGAGATACCCCCAATGAACGCTTCAGAGCGAGCTTACATCTGGAAGTGAGCTGGTTTCCCATGAATGGGGGTTTTGGACTTTGGGCAGATGAACGGGAACGACTCAACCCCGTGTAAAACTTGAGCAACTGACTGTTATCATTAATGCTCATCGTTATAAGTACTGAACAGTGTGATAACTAGTCCGTCAAACCGCCTCGTGTTCCCTTTTCCTCGCCATTGCCCACCAGTGCTCACTCGTGCTCTCCCAGAAGCCTTTTATGCTATGGTATTCTGTGAAAACATTGTATCTGGCGTATAACCTTGGCGGCAGAAATGGGCCGAGCTAATCCGTGAGGAGTGCCCGTCTATATGGCTTGGGTCTATCTACATGCTTCTTTCTAAAACGCGGTTCCGCAATGCTTACTTATACTGTCCAAGATTCTGCCACTACGTCTATGAATCAGTATATCTACCCGCCTCCATCTACGGCATTATCTCGAGACACTCTCTCATCTATTTATTTCCCCCCGGAAAAGGACACGACAGCCCATTTGCCACTCCACGCCCACTTCCTCGCACCGCTGTCGCCGCCCCCACCCTCCATCGCCCGCAGCTTTTCATCCTCGCCGGGCTGAAGACCGACCACGACGTCGGCCTTGCACGTGCGGAGAGCCAGGACGTTAACCCCCGATCCAGGACCCAGGGGGCCGATGGCCTCTGTGAATGGCGTCGTGGGGTCCCAGGCCGCCTAAAACGTCGTTACAAATCAGCATTTCTTCTTGTCTGCCTAACCAATTCCTTTTTTTTATATAAAATTTGGCATTCAGGGGCCAAGTTAGGGGATGGGTTGCTTTGCTTACGTCGCCAGTGAGTTTACGGTAGTTCAGATCGCCTTTGAACACGACGAGCTCGCTGGATTGGAGATCGGCTAGCAGGGTCTTCTCCTCGGTCGGTAACCGCCAGAAACTACCGGCGTGTGTCCAGAAACGATTCGGTCTTAGAATGAGCTGTCCCTCGGCATGCATGCGCGCCCATTCTTGGAAGAGGAAGCTGAGCTCGTCCGTTTCCTTGTCAGAGAGAGGCGGCGGCGTCTTGTCTTGGCGTTTCTCATCGTCGGAAGGCGTTTCGTAGAACGCTTTGGGGTTGGCGAGGGCGCCGAGTAAGGCGGCGAAGTCGCCGGGCAACACGTCTGACACGAACCAGGGGATCGACTTGGGATGCAGGACAACGAGGGTAGCGAGCCCGGACGAGAGGAGGTAGCCTGCGAGGATGAGATCGACGTACAATTCAAAGCCGGCGTTGTCGAGGACAATATCCACGCGCCGTTCCCGCTTGCCTTCGCTCCGCGCCTTCTTGAGAACCTCGTAAGCAGCTCCGAGATCGTTTACCAAGATGTTCTTCTCGGACGCCTTCCTCGCCTCAGACCCCTGTAGCTTCTGGATATCTTCGTACGTCAGACTTGTGAGTAGCGACAGATCCGTAGCGTTTCCCCAAAGACAAATCTCGCACATCTCAGTGAACAGCAGTCTGCGCGCCTCGTTGTCGTCATTGTCAGTAGCGGTCTTGTTGTTCTTTTTGTCAGCGGCCATCTGCGTCACGAGGTCCTTGTAGCGTGCGGCGAGCTCGAGCACGGCGGGACGCGAAGAGCGGAAGGTGTCGATCTTTTGGCGCGCGAACACGTCGTAGTTCTTCCAGTGTGTTGAGAGAGTAAAGGACGTGCTGATTCGACGGTAGAGGTAGCATTCGCAGTACAGCCACGGTGCGGAGAACCAGGTTAGTGGGCCCAACTTGTCGAGTTCGTGATTGTAGGACGCAACGTCTGGAAAGCCGTCGTCCCGAATCGGTCTGTGTCAAGATGGTTATGTGTCAATACGGGCTTCGAGGGAGCCAGTGTCGGCGTTGGTGGGTTCAGGGTGCGTGGGCGAAGGGATAGAGACGAAAAAAAACAAGACGCACGTTAACTGTCTGTCGTGCTGCATTTCGTATTTCAGGCGCGCGAGCTCCTCGACAATCTTCTTGCCGTCATCGCGCTTGTCGGGATCGTCACATTGGGTGACAGAGCGGTAGGTATCGTCGATGGCGCCGGTCTAAGTACGTTTCGCGAATGGGTTACTGTCAGGATAGGATCGTAATGGATTGCGCAGCGAAGATGACTCACGACAATTACGGGCCATCGATCGCGCGCTGAGATATAGGCGAACGATGTCTTATCGCTCGTCACATAGGGAGCTATGAGAGTAGCCGTATTAGTCGTCGAGGAATTGGATGAGCCCGGGGAGTGTATGTTGGCTCGGACGTACGGGTCTTTGTATCGCACTCCATTGTTGCAAGGGCTGATCATAAGATATCCACGCAGGTGGTCCTGAAGGGCAATCTAGGTGAGTTCTGCGAGGTAGATCACCCTCGATGCAAAGTTACCTACTAAGTAGGTAGTTAGGTAGAGAGAGCTTCACTCGTCCATCGCGTCAGAGCCATAGCGGGGTGATTCTGGGAGCTTGCCTTGCGCGGGGCACAGTCCCCGTAAAGTCGGTATTCTTAGTTGAGGCATATATCCTTCGGTAGGTACCTAACCGCCTACGAATAATTACATTCAATCCAACTACGAATAGATCTGGGTCGTGTCTGGTGATTCAATGCTCCCCGGCTGCCTCGCCTTGTCGCAACAAATAGAGTACTCCAATTTTCATGAACGCGCCTCTACTGTGACATCGTCAGCCCTGCTTCCCTCCTCCGAGAAGCAGCCCATTAATCTCGCTTCAGGCCAACATGCCCGACTTTCCACAAGCCAGGTACGGTGACAAGAGCGACGAGGATCATCCAAGCAAACAAGGTCCAAAAGACAGCTCTATAGCCCGCCAACAAGGCCCCCGGTGAATCGACATCTGCGTAACCAGAACCATGAGCGATGGCCCTTGAAATGATGGACGTGACGCTCAAGCCAATCGCAGTACCGAGTTGAGCGCATGTGTTGAACACGGCACCGCTCAGGGCCTGCATGTGTGGTGGGAACACGTCCGAGATGACGAGCAGCCCAACGGTGAAAAGAACATCGCAGCTCAGTGGAGCAAGAATCTGTACGGTGGTTATGCAGTTAACAGTAAGCCGCCACATAGAGAGCGTAGAATGTCTCAAGTCAGATGGGGGAAATGGGGGACACAAAGGAGACATCAGATGAGACATGCCTGTGCGAAGAGAGCGCCGTGCCAATACGACTGGGCAGGGCCGATAACAGCCATGAGAAGTGGCGCTACTGCGCTCAACACCGCCGTCGCCAGAACAGACCACATGACCGGAATCCGGTTCACAAAAAGGCCGGTGAAAAGATTGATAAGGGCGCCTGCGATGAGAGAGGGGAGAATTCTCAGCGATGCTCCAAGCGCCGAGGTGCTCTGAACCTCCTGAAAACTAAGCAGACGTTATACATTATCAGTGAACACTGCTATTCCTCTCAAGCTTTGAAATGGGTATGGTAGCTTACAACAAACTGCTGTATAGTTCCATGCAATTGGTGACAGAGGTAGCAAATAGGACCATGATGCAGCTACTAGTGAAGACGAGGCTTTTCCAAAGTGTATTCGGCATCAGCGCCGTACGGTTTCGTTTTGCCCTGTAGTGCATCCATCCGATGAAAGCTGGGATTGTTGTGATGCTGATGGTCAGAAGAGATATGCTCGATGCGTTGTGAATGTTGCTGATATCAGCCGATAACATCCTGAGCAACTCGATCAGCATCTTCGTCCAGTTCCATGGGAAACATCGAACTCACGCAAAGATATACGAGAACGTTGCAAGTCCCGTAGTAGCCACTACCGCGCCAATCCAATCAATCTCAGTAACGAGCCGCGTCCAAATGGAATGCGCAGATCGAGGACGGTCCCGCGGTAACGCCCAAAACCCACCGAGGAATAAGGCACCGGTGGATGTCCCGACGAAGTAAAACGCCGGCCGCCAACCAATGCCGTCGATGAACACGCCTCCTAGTACCAGTCCAAGCGAGAAACCAACCGGAGCAGCAAGGCCCAGACATGCAAAACCTAGGTTCCGTGGCCGACCATCCTTCACGTTCGTCGAGATGATAGAGATTGACGACGGCACGATAATGGCATTCGCTATGCCTTGCAGGGCGCGAAAAGCAATCAGCTCGCCTCCGCTCTGTGCCAGGCCGCAGCCTAGCGTAAACGCAGCGCCTAGCGCAGCGCCCGCCATATTGACGGATTTCGGGCCCGCAGCGTCGGCTACCGATCCGGCCAAGAGGAGTGTCGATCCCGCAGTGAGATAGAACACGGAAGCAGGCCAGAGCAAGAGAGCCTCGCTTAGTTTCAGTGTTTCGGTGATAGCCGGGAGACCTACCACGATGATCCCGTTGCTAAAGCTGCTGAATAGAGACAATCCTAGGAGGTGAATCACGACGATTACAGTCCGGGCTTTTGAGAAGGCGGGGTTCTCTATTCGGTTCGGCTCCTGTACTTGCGAGTGGCCATCTCTAACGACTGGTGAAGTGACCTCGTGAACGGTCACGGGCTGTGGTGTTTCCAACTCAATGGCCGTCTGCGTCGCCATTGTGAATTAGTATACGAAGCCAATCTCTCCTGCTCGTTGAATTCCGTAGTTGGCTCTGAATCCCACCGTCAAAGGAATAGTGACAAGATGCACGGGCTTTATACTAACACTCTTACGTAAGTTATTAATATGTATACGTCTGACTCATTCCTGGTTCCCGAGATCGTCTATCTTGACCCAACGCCCTTCACTTTACATCTTCTTCTGGGAATAGGAACAAAATACTGCTGCAAGTAGCTGCTAAAAAGATTGAACAACGCGAATAAATCGTGTAATAGAGTAAGTTAAGGGACTTGTGCAACATGTATAGAGTATAAGCATGAATCTCTAGTTGAGGAGTTGAGAAAATGTCTATGTACCCATATAGGGCAATATGAACCCAGCCTAACCCTAAATTGTAGATCCAACAGAGGTGCCACGTCCAAGAGTCGACAAATTACCAGTTTGCTTATGAGATATACGGAGGGACCTAGGAGAGTAAGAACAGTCAAATATAAGCGGCAAGGTTAGCCACCAATGTAAGCAAAGGGGTACAGATGGATCGCACCAGCTTTGGTAGTTATGGTTGGGAATAGCTTCAAGTTCGTGTCTTTCTTAGCTCTTGTAGGGCCAAGTTACCGTGCCGTCTACTCCGAAGCATGGCAAAACTTCTTGTTGTTCATAACACAGAAGTTGATTGTTCCTTCGCGTATCACATACGTACATGTGTAGCGTATATCCTCCCTCCCAATATATTCTCCTTGCGTAAGCCATCATACCTTCAAACATAGGTAGATAGGTAGGTAGTTATCTTATGAGTACCTGATATTGACTTACATGGACATCGGAACAGATTTACTTCGAGGATCTTCATTCTTTGTGATCTTCTCCCATATTCATTGGTATGGAATCAACCATCTGTCTGTCTACGCATTCCTACGAGCTACCTATTTCATGGTGTCTTTAGGTAGCAACGGGGCTTTCCCTTGTGTAACCCGCCCATTTCCTTCCCTTGTTTTCAATACCGTGCTTCCCTGTATCCAGACGGGTGGCTGCCGTCTGGCTGGCTGGCCGCTGCAGCTATTTCTTTGGATAACGGCTTTCATGATTGCCATGGGCATGCTGAGACAAACACCAGGCGCCATCCAACCAATGCGGCAACAGCCCCGATGCCGTGGGCAGCCCACGGGCAGGTCGTTTGTTGTCATCTGCATTCGTCACTCGAACCTTTACTCGGTCAGGCGGTGCTGTCCATCACTCTCCCGCGCCCGTGGCGTTGCTGAATGGATGTGAGTGAGGGCTCTGCTCCTGTACCAAAACGCCTCATATGCCACGCCGTGCAGGAATAGCCGCGCAATCCAGGGCGTGGTGCGGGGTTTCTGATAAAAGTAACGGCCGCCATTGGCGTGTTTCAAGAAGACGGCCATGTCTGTTACCTGATCTATATACCTGATGAATTATACAATCCGGCCTTGTCGAGCCTGGTCGGTTTGTTCTTCCTATACCTGAGAATCAGTCACCACGGATCGGTCCGGACTCCGATGATTATTAAACACAGCTCTCGCCTAACTCGAGCTTGGCTTGACGTAGCAAATTCAATCACTACCGATCTCTGCTTCATGCTTAGGTATTGTCATATTCATCTATTTTCGTAGTTGTCTAGGTATTACTCTCTCAGGTGGTCGCCATGTTCACCATTTGCGCGCCGGCGACATCCTGGCGGCCGATGTCCGTGCTGGCCTTCGACGGGTTCGCCTACGCTCTAACCATGTCGTCGCAAATATTCCTGATCGAACAACACCTCTGCCGCTCGTTTTATGCCGCTACTGATCCCACCATCATCCGCGCCGACGGTAGCGTTCCTGAACACAAGTGCAAGATGGAGGCACTGCAGTCCAAAGTGGCCTTCTACTCGGGCTTGCTTGACTTCTCCATTGTGATCGCTGGTGAGCGACTCAGCTGTTTCTCTCTTGTGCGTGTCTGATGGGAACCCGCGATATGCAGGCTTCCTCGTCGCTCCGCTCTATACTAGACTCGCATCTATCATCGGTAAAAGAAGCGTGTTGCTCCTGAATATGAAGAGCTATGCGTTGCGTATAACCTGGTTCGTCTCTGTGTGTAAGTAGCCTGTATCTTCACCATCGCCACCATTCCACCAACCCGGAGGATTGCGTTATGTTACCCGACACCTAATAAACAAGCTACTCAAAGTCTACTTCCACAAGTTCTTCGACGATATTCGGTGGGTGTATCTTACTTGCGCCTTTGATTTAATCGGCGGAGGCGAGCCGATGCGTGAAATCATCCTATGGCTCTACGTCGCAGAAAGTGTCCCACAAGACAGGATGTATGAAGTCTTCTTCCTCTTGGCCTTCGTGTCAATACGCAACCACAGAGAGAGCTAATCATAATACATATAACAAGGACGAACACATTCAACCTCTTGAGCGCTAGTCTGATTGGAATGATGTCGATTGGTACATTTGTTGGCGCCCAACTTCTCAAGTTCAATGTGTGGTTGCTGTGCCTGTTGATTGTCTGCACCTACGTATTGCTCATTGTTTTGGCTTATCTACTTCTTCATGAACGACACGACGACTTGTCTGATCGGAGCTACATCGACCGCGAGGCCGCCTCGGTGGAAGAGCGCCGCTCTCTTGTGAGCACCGATTCCATATCTCCTTCTCCAACCCGCCCTCTTCAGATAGAGAGCCCAGCCGCTGATGTCGTTACCAAACCTGACTCCACCATCTTTCGGACACTTCTTCGCGCCGCCACAGTAGATATCTATCTCTCTGTAGAGCTCGTAATTCAAACAGTATTGCACCCCTTTACTCGACACATCATGATCCTATTCTTCGCCTACACTTTGGGTGGTACAATATCGGGTACATCGCCGCAATGGGCATCGAGCACATTCAATGCAAGGCTAGCCAACATCGACCAGATCAGAGCGATGGAAATGATCATCTCGGCCTTCGTTCTCCTATCATTGCCTGTATTATCGAACTATGTTCTCCGTCCACGATTGCGTACCAAGCAGGCAGTGGACATCTGGGTCATCACAGCCAGCATGATTGCTTTGCTGACCGGCACACTCACCATGGCGATGGCGCCATCTCTGGTTGTTTATACGATTGGAGTTGCCATCTCAGCCATGGGTGTCGGCGTGGCGGACGCGCTACGCTCCTTTGCCACCAGCGCATTGTCAGATGGCGACGCGCTCGAGAGGCTTTATGTGTGCATTCGGACTATGCAATCACTGGCCAGTATGGCAGGGACTCCGCTATGGTCGGGTTTATTCCTGTTGATTCTCAGCAATCCTTTGCTCCCGCACGGCCTTCTCTTCGTGGGGAATGCCTTCGTTTATCTTGTTTGTCTTATTCTGGCGCGGTTTCTCCACAGGTAGAATATAGTGCTTGCATCGTGGATGAGGGTAGATGCAAGCATGCCAGTCAGTTGGAACACACATGGCACTCAGGATGCCCACGTACAAGTACATATATTGCATGGATTATGCCGATAGTGCTGATAGAATTCCTTGGGGGATGTCTGCGTCGGGCGAGTGTGTAATTACACGAATAGACCCAGATCCTTCCTCATTCATTGCTAATTCTTGCTGTTGGCGTACTTGTCGTGCAGAGATACTCATGATAGCAGTGGCATGATATTCCCCTCTCTATCTTGTTACTACATAAGGTAGTTAGGAATCCAGTCGCACAGGAGCAGGCGGCTCTTCCTGCAGTACACCGCACGACACCAGACTTCTCCTCGCCATGTATCACCATGCCGTTACCCGGATGAACCGCCGACGTTGCTCAAAGCCTAGCTGACAACATAGCTAAAACCGCCCTACATGGGCCTCGTGGCTGGGCATTTAGAGCCATGTTGTCTCGTGAGATTCATCTGCTAAGAGAGTCATACTTACATGTAGTACCTCTCGTCTTCTATACTTGCGATTGTCCATTCGCCATCACTTGATATTGCCCCTATTCTCGCTTCGTAATGCAAAAGTTATTCAACAGCTACGCAACAGCTATTAAATGGTTATTCAGTGGTTAGATGGTGATTAGGTAGCCCTCACTTCAATGGAAGCATGGAAGAGGTAAGAGGTGTACATGTATGTAAGCGGGTTATTTGACTAGCCATATTAGGCAAACTCGCTTAGGTAAGCTCGAGACTGATGGCCGGCACGGTGGATTCCTCCAGTCAACCTGAAGCATCTACCTACTCTACAACATCAATGAAATCTCTTTGCCCCAAGGCGCTGTTACATCACCTTTTCCTTCCAATAATCCTTCGCCCCATTGGGCTCCTTGAGCCGCGGCCGTTTGCTTCTCTGCGACTGGCCCTCAGCACCGCTCTCCAGCGCCCTCGCGATACGACGCAAACCCTCCTCCATATAGCTCCGCGGATGGGCAAAAACTATGCGAAACATATCCGGAGACTCGCTACCAAAGTTCCCTCCCCACGCCAGATAGACTTTCTGAGCCCACAATGCTTGCTGGACCTCCTTTGCCGTGTTCCGTAGCGCCGCTCGTTCCGGGTGGCGGTTGCGATATGCTTGCCCAAGGTCCACCCATATGAACAAGGCTGCTTGCGTGCCCCCCGCAAAGGGAATGGCATGCTGCCGCAAGAAGTCCGTTGCGAACGTATACGCGTTCGAGAGTCGCCGCAGATTCTTGGCAAGATAGCTCGTCGTGAAGGAATCATCTTCTAGCATCTGGGACACGATACGATCTGTAATCGACGACACATACGAGTAGAGGGCCACTGTTCCCAGGGCTGCACGCAGCGGCTGGTTGGATTGTGAGACGATACAACCTACGCGCCACCCATTGGCGCCAAAATCTTTGGATATTCCCCAGAGAACATGTACTAGGCTGGGATCGATGATGCCGCTGAGATCTAGTGACAGCACCGACGTGAAGGGTGGACCATGCCACACAGACAGGGCGTAGGCTTCGTCGCTGATCAGGTGGATCTGATACTTGTTGCAGAGGGATAGCAATGCCTGAATTACCTCTCGTGGGTAGCACCGCCCCAGCGGATTGTGTGGGGAACATAGCAGCAAACCTCTGATGGTCGTCCCTTGCTCCCGCGCGGCGAGGATAGCCCTCTCGTAGCAAGCAACTGCTGGGAGGCCCAAGGGATCGAGCTGACCGAAAGCCACGGGCCACGTGCGCACGTGGGGGCGAAGAGCAAGGTTAATTTCTCCGTAGTACGGTCGTCCTAGTAGGAAAGAATCTCCCGGGTCAGCCAAGGCCCATGCCATGTGCTCGAGGCCGCTGGACACGCCGTTAGTGACTATGATCTGGGACGCGTCCAAGGATCTATGTGTGCGCATCCTCCGGTCGATAAATCTTGCCAGTGCCGTCCTGAGACGCTGACTGCCAACCGGGCCATCCTCATACGTCAAAACACATCCACGTAAGTCGATATTCTTGGTGAGGTAATTCTCTAGTTCTGCCTGCATCAGTCGATTCTCGGCTACACCTACATTCACGTAGCCATGAGGGTTATCCTGCTCGTGCCATTGGCCCTGCAACACATCCCATATCACATTCGAGTCAGTGGAAGGCACTTGATCTTGGGCTCGTCGAGAGAGCATCGTCAACAGCTAACAACAGTCCTATTGTAACAGCTCTAGGTTCAGAGTATCACGGGATATCGATGTAGAAGTAGTATAACGGCTTGTGGCACATGTCTAGCCGCACTTACAAGGACATAACCCAACCCTACTTTCTCAAACCAAGATGAAAAGAATGGTCACGCGGCTGACCTAAAGGTCTGTCGACTACCTCAAGATCTACTGGTCTATGGCCTGACGCATGTAGCGATATCTTTGGCTTGGGCCGGAGGTGAAGGCACTTGGTGTTTGCTCATCCAAACATATATACACGTCAGTTACACAACACCTAGCGCATGAAACCCTCATAGCAAGGGAATCGAGCAGGGTCTAGTTCTTTCTGGTCTATTTCTCTCGCGCCTGGACTCAACGGTTACGAGGGTCAAACTTCTTAGATCTTACGGATCTTCGAACGACTCTATTATCAAAATTTACAGCCCTCTCAACAGCAGATGCGAGAAGCACCCATCTAAGATTAACGTGTTCACCGATATGATACAAATCAGAAAAATGTACCCGAGTCGCTACATGGCAATTTTGCATTCATCACCTGCCCCCCGCTTTTTTCTTCTCTTCCTCTCCGCGCTGTAGGGCATAGATAGCATTTTCATCGTCACTGATACCGAGAATCCCGTCCGTAACGTACCCAGCGAGTCTCTGCGCTTCGGTTGACCACGTCTCCACCTCTTGTCGGGAATACCACACGAAATCATTGGCCTAGGATCAGATGAGCCGACGCAGTCGTCTGGAAATGGAAGGAGAATAAAGAGTTAGATTGGAAATCAAGAAAACTTACTTCTGGTCGCACCCAATATCGGCAGAAGAAAATAGCATGCAGGATGCGCGTCGCTGGAGTGGCGTTGGCTCCTCCATTATGGAGTGCGGAAGCGAGGAAGAGGAGGGCATCACCTCGCTGCATCTCGGCTGGCACCATTTCGTCGGGAGTCGCAGTTCTTGCGTCGGCCCAGAGATGAGATCCGGGCGCGAACTGGCCGATTCAGCAGGGGGGTTGGGAGCATGGTACCGATAACCTCGCTTGCAGGGGACAGCTTACCATGGTAGCTCCATTAGCCCGGGTTATGTCGACTCCAGCTACGAGGAGAGAGATGCCTAGGTCTGAACCTAAACAGTAACCTGATTCTTCCTGGCTTTGGTGAAACTTTTGCCAGATGCTGTCGTCACGGTGCACAGGCTGGGCCTCTGCGCCCTCCAGCGTCGCTATGCTGACAGCCTGCGACAAAATGGCGTTGGTGCTGCGCCCAATCGCGCTGTTTAGATCTACCTCCGGAGGATTCGAGGTGCGGAGGAAGTGATTGACTACAGACTGGAGCTGAGGGCTCAAGATCCACTGCTCCCGGGCTGTTGCGCTTCGACCATAGAGATAACCACAAATGATGCGCCCTTTGTAGCGTTGTTTCCATGCCTAAGAACGCGGGGTTGAGTCTTAGTTACCATGGTAAAAGTGACAGGTCATACCGGCATATGGCTAGGGAAGAGGAACGTGAGGGGATACTTCATCCTTGATTCTGTCCTCCAGGGCTTCGTGCATGTCCTGGTTGACCTGGTCTACTTGGCTTTGAGAAGCAAAACCGGCAATAATAACACCGCCATCCTCTTCAATGGCGCTGATCAGTTCTTGAGGGCGGTCCAACGATACGCGGCGAAGCATTTTGAATGATGGGAAATGTGCTATGAGGTTTAGAAGGTTATGAGGTTGTTCACTGTCGGTGATGCTGCCATTTTAGCCTTGAGTGCACGCCCATTTCGGCCTGGGTGTAGACCAATCGTAAAGCCATATATGGTCACATCGACGGCCACCACCATCGTCACTGCATCCGCCCAACGAACTCGGAAATCTGCATGCATCATGGCGGGGTCATGCATTCGTCCGTTCTATCCGCCGGATCGACTGACGCCAGCTCAGTTTTCGTGACTGCTATAGGAGTCGGTGGCATATTGATGTCGTAGCCGGAACTTGCCTCATCTGGTTAATGCAGAGTGCCCAGTCTAGTCGAGGCGTTCATTGCATACGACTGGCAACAGTAAACCTGATGGTCTACCACTTGACTGACCCACCCATCTATAGCGTGCGAATTAGTTACGTAGTAGGTGGGCAGAAAAGATGACAGATCAACATTGCTGACGCTGACAGGCCAGAGAAAAAATGACACCAATGGCTGCTGGCACGTACAACACATCTATACTTACGTATCTCATCAGCATCACGGGATCTTGTCTGGGCTTGAACCAATACGAAGACCTCAATTATGTTCATGTTCCACAGCTACCTGTTGATAGGCCATAAGTACCACACGAATTGGATGGACCCGGAGATATGGATGGCCTCTCCAACTTGGAAGCGTCCCTGCTGACAGCGCCGACATAGGCGCTCTCTATTCACTAAGCGAACCGGACCATTTGGTTTCGAGGTCGTGCTTAGCTCCTAGAAGAGCAACATCCGTTCAGAAGTGCCTCGTCTCTCATCTACTGGGAATACTACTTTGTGCAATAGAATAAAAACCACTGCCACAGCTTAACATATCTCAATGTCACACAACCTCCGATTGTCCAACGTCAAGTCTATGTCGCATAGCACGCAAATGCTATCTGCCGCCTGCAGGAATGTAACACCAGAGTGGGAGAGACTTCGAACATGGACCTACATCCTGCTGTAACAATAACGGTACGACTTGCACTAATTGCATCTAGCTATGCGCATAATAATACTTCGTGAATGGATTACCATATGCGTCCTATTGGCAAGGTGAAAGAGCTTGCTTGATTCTGTCTGCGATCATCGGACGAGAACTTCACGCGCTGGTAGGTATCTCAGGAGAAATGAAATACGAAGTTTTGATTAGTGCGGTAGATGTACCACCTCATTAACCTTGTCGAGTGTTGAGAGGCCGTGAAGTAGCGGGCTTCTGATTGGGTGCTTGCCATGATCACTTCGACACTAGGGCTGAAAAGAACAAATTGACTGCTATAAACTTCTGGACTGCTCTGTAAGTGTCGAAGTCTATACGTACTGACGTTGACAGACTACACAGACTGCGTATACACAGGAACAAGCTATTCCATACGACGAGAGAGAGAGGCTGTGTATGTCTGACATGAACGTGCGAGGATGAATAGGCAGAAACTAGTCGTCGATGAGGGCAGTACGAGTAGAATGGAAGGAAATATAGTAGTTGAAAGGAGCATGGGGCCATCTACACCGGATGTATTCAGTGTAGATGCTGATTTGATGACGACGACCGTGGCGTCACGATGCACGGTCGAAGATATTGCACGGCTCTCACACTGGAACGGAAGTTATTCGATCAAGCAGGACGATCTCCGCGTCCACGACTTAATTCAGAAGCACATTGACTCAGTGCCGAGTGCACCAAGTGTGTGCAGCTATGATGGCAACTATAGCTATGGAGACTTAGACAAGCTTTCCTCGGCTCTAGCCAGTCAACTCAGTTCCCTGGGTGTCGGTTGCGAGGACTTTGTGCCTATATGCTTCAACAAGTCGAAATGGACTGCAGTAGCAATACTTGGTATCATTCGAGCCGGGGCAGCGTTTGTACTGCTTGATACCGCGCACCCGCTAGCCCGTCTTCGAGAGATCTGTCGCGATATACAGACAACCGTGATTCTCGCCGCAGAGGAGTTCGACGACCTCGCGCAACAGCTTACGGATGAAGCAGTTATTATGGTTGTTGGAGAGTCATCATCGCGATTATGGCTCGAGACCGACGACCGGCGCTGGAGGGCGGTGCCGGTTATGGGCTGCAATGCACTTTATGCTGTGTATACGTCAGGGTCAATCGGCAAGCCGAAAGGTGCTGTAAATGAACACGCTTCATTGTGTACTGCAGCTGAAGCCTCAGGACGAGCTCTCGGCATGTCCTCGCAGACACGCGCTTTCCAGTTTGCTTCGTTCGCCTATGATCCAACTATTATGGATTTTCTTCGCACATGGATCTTTGGCGGTTGCGTGTGCATCCCCTCACCGACACAAGTCAAGAATGATATTGCGAGCGCCTTCGCAGAGCTACGAGCTAACCAGGCCAGCCTCACGCCTTCGGTGGCCCGGCTGCTGGACGTGCAAACCCTCCCTGGCCTGCAGGCTCTAGAATTTGCTGGCGAACCAATGCTTCGAACTGACCTGGAGAAATGGGCTGACCACGTCCGACTAGTTAATGCGTACGGCAATGCCGAGTGCTCAGTCTACTCGGTAGTTCACTCTGCAATGTCCCGTACTGCACACCCGCAAAACATTGGCTTTTCTATTGGGTGCGTAACGTGGATTGTAGATCAGGACAATTCGGACATACTACTCCCCGTTGGTGAAGTAGGCGAGTTGATCCTAGAAGGTGTCACTGTAGGGCGGGGATATCTCAATAACCCAGCGATGACTGCCAACGCGTTCGCAATCACACCCTCATGGCTAAGTAAGTTTCGAGGCGACGCGTCCCACCTTCACCGCCTATACAAGACGGGAGACTTGGTGCAATACCAGGATGATGGGTCGCTCATCTACCTAGGACGAAAAGACACCCAAGCCAAAGTCAATGGTCAGCGGATTGAGCTGAGCGAAGTTGAATGGCATATAGGAGAGATACTTGGGCCTCAGGCAAACGTCGTTGCAGAGATGATTCACGTAGATCGCAACGGCCTCGAACAAGCCATGCTCATAGCGTTCGTGCGCCTTGGGGACGCTAGAGAAGACGAAACCTCCCCAACTTCCAATCCGCTTTTTCGTGTGCCTACAGATGCCTTCCGCGTTAGAATGGAGATAGTAGAAAACGAGCTTCGAACCCGAGTACCTCCGTACATGATTCCTCGCGCCTCTGTTGCACTAGACCATGTTCCCCTATCGGTTTCAGGTAAAACAGATCGCCGACGCCTGCGGCAGGAGGCAGCGAATCTACGATGGGTGGACATTGAAGCATATATGCTGGGGCCCATAGGACCAAAGCTTTCCCCGACTACTGAGGTCGAACGACGGCTCCAAGCTGCCTTCGCCAGTATCCTGGGGATTGAGGCAGATAGTCTTAATATGCACGACTCCTTTTTCCGCAGGGGAGGGGACTCTATCTTAGCTATGCAGCTAAGTGCATACTTTCGTTCACATAAGCTCAACATCACGACACAAGATATATTTCAATACCCAACGGCTTCTCAGCTTGCTGAGGAGATGATGATGCGTCTCAATTCTGAGGCCCACCTAGCACACGAGCCCTCGCTCGTTTCTCCATTGCAGGAATTGCTGCTCGAGAATCAATATTCACCAAGCCATAACGGGCAGAGAGGCCCAATGGCCACACATGCGCTCTTCATGCCTTTATCAGCCACCACTAGCCTGATTAAACTGGAAGCTGCCATCAACGCTCTTGTCTCTCGTCATCCTGCGCTCTGCATGGCATTTACTTCTGGAACAGACGGCCGATGGCAACAAACGATAAGAGAACCAACACACAGTTCATATGACTGTTCTATTCTGGAAGTCACAAGTGTTGAGCCCGACTACTTAGTGCAGATGTCAGTTGACCAGTCTGAGCGCTTGAACCTCCAAGATGGGCCGGTACTTCTCGCCTACTTGATCACAGAAGGTGGAGATAAAGACCAGCACCTGCTCTTAGTGGCCCCAGTGGTTCTGATCGACGCTCTCTCATGGGAAGCCATCTATGCCGAGTTAAGCACCTGGCTCAAGAACGAAAGCGGCTCTTGGCCCATAACGGTCGCATCCTTTAAGTCATGCTACGATGCATCTATATCTGCTAGTTCTCTGTGGGTTCAGGAACAGCCATTACAGCAGCCTTCGGTCGACTATTGGGCAATGTCTCATGATGCCAGTATAAATAGCTATGGAACCAACTCAATTGAGTTTGACTTAGACCCTACAACGACTTCGCGGCTGTGGTCGGAAGGTAGCGCCGTGCTGCATGCCACCCCCGAAGAGATTCTTCTTGGCGCTCTCTTGCATTCCTTCGGGGCTACTTTTATTGACCGGGGAAGTTTAAGGATATCTGTCCAATGCGATGGACGACCCAACGATGCATCCCATGTAATTGGCCAATTCATCACCTATCTGCCTTTATCAGCGCCGATAGACAGACACGAGGATTTGATACATGTTGTCCGTCAATGTAAGGATGCATATCGGAATGCCTACGAGAAACGGCTTTTCCTTAACCCTCAAGAGGCTAATATCGAAGCTACGTTTCACTGGACTGGCCCGCAAGCTTTTGAACATGGGATAAAATATGCCGATTCCCTACTACTAGGCAGTGGTGGAGGAAGTGCCCCAGCTCCAAAAGCAGCTCGTTTCAAAATTGTTGCATCTCAAATAGATGGGAGCCTCAAGGCTAGGATATCATATCCATCGCCAATTTCCCACTCAGGTGCCGTTCGCAAGTGGTTCCAACTGTACAAAGAGACGTTGGCCAACTTGAATCAGCGGTTACAAGACGCTAAGTTTCAGCCAACAATCAATGATTTTCCACAACTTGCCGTCACAAACGAAGAATTTGACTCTTTGCTACAACAAATCATATTCCACAGCAATATCAACGACGCTTCGGGCATTGAAGATATCTACCCTGTTTCTTTTATTCAGCAGGGCATGTTGTTAAGCCAGGCTCGCGATCCTCATGCCTATTTGTCTTGCCTATCTTGGAAAGCAAAGTCTCGCGATGGCTCTTCAGTGGATCTGGCCCGACTGGAGGGGGCTTGGGAAGCCTTAGCTAAAGCTCATCGCATTCTTCGCACCTTTTTCGTACAAGGCCATGGGGACTGTTACTACCAAGTAGTGCTGAGATCCCCACGTGTCCCAATCGTGATCCTGCACTCCGATAATCCCGAATTCTCTCTCATTCAGGATGGACAACCCCTTGATATCGTCGGAGATAGTTTGATGCTGCCTTGGTCACTTACGCTTATCCCTCAAACGGGAGATTCGGTCAAATGTGAGCTGCAGATCAGCCACGCACTCATGGACGGCGAGTCTACGTACTTGATTATTAGAGATGTTGCGTTAGCCTATGAAGATCAAGATGTGCTCAGACAACTTCCTCAATATGATCAATATATCAGATATCTTCGACAAGCCTCTAGCGTTCATAACTTGGAGTACTGGAAGTCTTACCTTGACTCAACCGAGCCTTGCATTTTCCCTCCGTTTCCGACACCAGATGCAATAGACACACCGAATGAAAAACTGCTTTGTCATGAGATCTGTCTTGATTACAATTCTGGACTGCGTTCATTTTGTGAGAAGGAAGGTGTTACTATTTTCAATGTTATGGAGCTTGCTTGGGCAGTGGTTCTCCAGTGTTATACCGGCAATGATACAATCGTTTTCGGGTACTTGTCATCTGGCAGAGATGTTCCTATTGACGGAGTAGAGAATATTGTTGGCCCCCTCATCAACATGCTCGTCAGCCGAGTAGACTTGCACAACAAGGAGTCGAGTGTGCGACAAGTCTTGGAGCAATGTCGAAACCGATTCGTGCAAAGTCTTCCTCATCAACACTGCGCTTTATCTGATATCTACCGAGAATTAGGACACTCTAAAGGTGGACTATTCAACACCATCATTACTTATCAGAAGGAGAAACCTCCTGAACTTAGCACAGATATCATCTTTGAGCAGACACAAGACCAACAACCTACTGAGGTAAGCCCCCATTTCTCAAAATTTGACTGCAACTTATCCATATCCTCTCTTGTATACTAACATTAGCTGACCTTGTCTGTTAAGTTTGATATTGTTTTAGACATTCGACTACGCCCCAGTTCCTTGTCCTTGTCTTTCACGTACAGGCTAGATAAATTCCCCGGCGAACTAGTCCGGTCTATCGGACGCACGTTCAGTACCGTGGTTGCAGATATTGTAGCCAAACCGGAGGCAAGTGTGTCCGAGATAAAATTGCTTAGCGACATGGACTTCAGTCAAATCTTGAACTGGAATAGCCTCTCACCCAGTGTTGTCAACCTCTGTTTGCATGATGTGATTCGGATGAGATGCCTAGAGTGCCCCAACAGGTCGGCGATCCATGCCTGGGATGGAAACCTCTCCTATCAAGAGGTTTGGAGCCATTCCTCACGGTTTGCCGAGCTCCTGATCAGCCTTGGTGTGACCACGGAGATGCCCGTGCCTATATATCTCGAGAAGTCTGTATGGGTGCCTGTCTGCATACTATCCGTTTTGCGTACTGGCGGTGTTTGTGTGCTTATCGACTCCGGCACACATATTGAACGTATACGAGCTGTGCTTCGGGAGGTCGCATCCCCGATTATACTAGTATCACCAGAGACAACTAAGTCCGATATCCGGATACCAATAAGCAAAATCCTCATCACGCCCGAGGTATTCATAAAATCGCCATCTAATCAGATTTCATTGCCGATCGTACAGCCAGAGAATGCAGCGTTCATTCTCTACACTTCAGGTAGCACTGGGCGCCCCAAAGGGATAGTCCTACAGCATAACAATCTTTGCACCGATCATCGAGAGATAAGAGACAAATTGATGGTGTCTAGCGAGTCACGCATTTTACATTTTGCCTCATACGCGTTTGACGCTAGTGTCAACGAGATTCTCGCCAGCCTGACCAATGGAGCTTGCCTCTGTATCCCATCGGAAATGGCTAGAATGAATGAATTAGAGGGATTCACCGCCCAAGCACAGATAAATTGGACACTCATTACGCCTTCTCTTTTTCGTCTATTCCGCCCGGACAATGTCTCATCGCTACGCGTGGTAGTTTTGACTGGGGAATCAATCCCACAGGATCTTGTTGCGCTCTGGGCGGACAGAGTTACCTTGTTCAACGCTTACGGGCCAGCCGAGTGTACAATATGCACCATTCACCGGATTGAGCCTAGAAAATGGGCTGTTTCTACAGTGGGAAAGCCTGTGGGTGGCCATGGTTGGATTGCTGATCCTTCTAATGTTAATCGGCCTATGCCAATAGGAGCGGTAGGCGAGTTGCTATTCCACGGACCAGTTGTCGCTCGTGGCTATTTTCAACTACCAGAAGCGACAAAGACCGCTTTCATATCCCCACCTTCGTGGCTGCCCGCCACGACCCTTGGGACTAACAGTCGATTGTATCGAACAGGCGATTTGGTGCATTACAACCTGGACGGCTCTTTCCGGTACCTGGGTCGGAAAGATAATCAAGTGAAGATACGAGGACAGCGCGTTGAACTGGAAGAAGTGGAACTGCATATTCGACGCCTCCTGCCTTCAGGTCACGACGTGGTAGCTGATTGTATTCGACCAGCCAAGCAACAGAGTGCAGTCTTGGTCGCCTTTATGCACGGAGGGGAAAGTAAGGAAGATGAATATTCCGAGTCTCTTATTATATCGCCTAGTAAAGCATTTCACTCCCTTTCGAACGATATACGCAGAAAGCTTATTGCTTCTGTCTCACATCATATGATACCACAGTTCTTGATTCCAGTCTCAAGTATACCAAAGACCAAATCGGGGAAAACAGATCGGCGTTTGCTTCATAATACTTCAAGTCACTTATCCTACAACGACCTCGAGACTCTCATCTTTTCGGGGCGGGAAGAGGAACGGTTGCAACCTAACACTCCAAACGAGGAGGCAATGCAACATATGTGGGCAACGGCCCTTGCTCGACCGATAGAGAAGCTAGGCATCAAAGACAATTTCTTTTGGGTAGGTGGCGACTCCATTGGAGCTATGAAATTAGTCGGCCTTGCTCGCGCTAAGGGCTATTCCTTGACCGTCTCGGACGTCTTTAGCAAACCGACAATAGCGAGCCTTGCTGAAGGACTGCAATATGGAACCCCTTCATCCGAGCAAGAGTACTGCCCATTTAGCCTAGTACCACTAGAGGAGGGGGCTGAGACGCTTCGAGAGACTGCTGCAAGCAAGTGTGGCGAACCCTTCACGGGGATCGAGGATATCTACCCGTGCACCGCACTTCAAGAGGGTCTAATGAGTCTAACTATCAAGCACCAAGGCTCATACGTGGCTCAATACCAATATAAACTCAATGATGGCGTCGACGTGCAATGTCTTGCCGCAGCCTGGGACGTTGTTGTGGCTATCAACCCGCTTCTTCGGACCCGTATTATACAGTCTGAGTCTAGCCGTATGCTCCAAGTCGTGTTAAAGGACGGGCCGCCATGTGCAGTAAAAAGTTCTGATCTGGAAGAAACTATGAAAGCTGATCGAGACATGCATATCAGCTTAGGAACACCTCTCCTGCGCTATAACGTGATATCCGAGGGGGCTCGATCGTACTTCGTTCTCACGATCCATCATTCTATCTATGACGGCTGGTCAATGACACTGTTGCTGGAGCAAATGGAACTAGCATATGCTGGTCGCCAGCCTCATGCTGTGTCGTTCACCAGCTTCGTGAAATATGTCAATAACGTAGATGAAACGGCTTGCAGCCAATTCTGGCGATCCGAATTTGCAAACATCGACGCCTCCATCTTCCCGATATATAACACTGATCGTAGCAAGAAGACCAATTTGCAACTAGTAGAGCAGAGACTGGATACGCCAGTTACCAATTCTCAATTCACTCTCTCGGCCATAGTCCGCTTGGCTTGGGCCATAGTTTTGTCCAAGCATACTGATTCAGGTGATGTCGTCTTCGGAGCTACAGTTACGGGACGCAGCGCTGCCGTGGTGGGTATTGAACAAATGGCTGGGCCTACATTGGCAACTGTCCCCTTTCGTGTGAAACTCAACCCTACAGCATCCATACGGAAATCCCTAGAAGATATACAATTCCGAACAGTTAATATGATACCCTACGAGGGGACGGGTTTACACAACATCAGGAGTCTAGGAGATGACGCTGGTAAAGCATGCCAATTCAGGAACCTGTTAGTGATTCAGCAGCAGCATAGCTTTTACCAACCCCAGCTACTCCATGAAATTCATAGATTTACCGAAAACATCGCTTCCATCGACACCTATCCCTTAACACTACTTTGCGACCTCAATGGAGACCATATAATGATGCATCTATCTTACGACACACAGCTGCTAAGCGAAACAAAAGTGCGATTGCTTGCCCGCCATTTGAGCAGAGCCATTCTGCAGTTGCTAGAATACCCTGCTTCCAATGTTGGCGATATCGAGTTGGATGAGCCAGACGCGGTACAACAGCTGCAGGCTCGGCATCACAAGACCCCTACTAAAATCGATGCTACGGTTCATGAACTCATCGAGCACCATTTTCAGAGTCAACCACAGGCAATAGCTATCTCAAGCAAGAATGGCGATTTATCCTACCATCAGCTGAATCATATGTCTGCTCAATTAGCTAATAATCTGGCGCAGCGTGGAGTGAAACCGGAAGTGCTAGTCCCTTTATATCTAGAGAAGTGTAAATGGACCCCCGTCGCGATTCTAGGTGTTGTCAGAGCAGGCGGTGCATTCGTGCTGCTAGATACCGCCCATCCCCTCGACCGACTGAAGAATATCAGTGATCAACTGGATGCTCCCCTAATACTTACTTCCACTGCACTTTTACCGACAGCTTTGTCCTTGAATCCGCAAACAATATGTCTTGATACTTACGCATGGCAAGAGCCAAAAAATTACGAGCAGACAGTGACTATGACTTCAGACTTGTCTATTGTTAGACCTTACAACATGCTATAGTATGTGGAACCCTGTCATTTGCTACCCGATCCGAATAATTAGATGCACTATATGCCATCAGAGCTAGTGGTATACATAGAGAGCTCATTCCCATGCGTGACACAACCAGACCAACTTGTACAAGAATTTACTCACATGTTAATTGCAGTGCGGTCTTCACCAGTGGCACGACGGCGACTCCCAAGGGTGTTGTTATTGAGCATAGCGCATTTGTCTCTAGTGTGTTTGCCACGAAGGATCGCCAAGGCATTGCAAAAACAAGTAGAGTGCTACAGGCCTCCTCTTATGCCTTCGACGTCAGCGTTCTAGATCATCTAGGCACACTTCTTATAGGCGGATGTCTGTGTATCCCACGGGCCTCAGACGTGCATAACGATCTTGCGGGCGCCATCAACGAACTTCAGGTCAACTTTATGCACATCACTCCTTCACTGGCAGAGACTTTGCGCCCTGAGGACATACCTGGGCTTCGTACTCTAGTGTTAAGCGGAGAGCCTATGACAGCAGGGCTTGTTGCCACCTGGGCTCATGCCGTGAAGCTTGTCAACTCGTACGGACCAGCTGAGTGCTCTGTCACCTGCGCAGTCCAAGATACCGTGAATCCTAGTAGCAGTCCTTCAAACATAGGTTTCGCTACTGGAAGCACCAGCTGGGTCGTGAACAAAGACAACCACGATCAACTTGCCCCAATTGGAACTGTGGGTGAGCTTCTAGTTCAGGGGCCAATCCTCGGTCGTGGCTATCTAAATGACAAAGAAAAAACCAACCTCTCGTTCATCCGAGACCCTGCATGGATGCGCCAATTCTCGTTCTCAGGCGATAGTCGGAGGTTTTACAAAACGGGTGATCTGGTTGAGCTACAGCCAGAGGATGGATCGCTGCTCTATATCGGCCGAAAAGACACACAAGTCAAAATACATGGCCAGCGAATAGAACTAGGAGAAGTGGAGTATCATTTGAAGAATCACTTCCCAGACGCTGTGAGGGTGGTAGCAGATGTGGTTGTCTCCGAAGAGGAAGGATCAGTGCCGGTACTAATTGCCTTCGTCGAGATCATCACCAACCAGAACCAGCATGAGGGAGAGATATCCAATCACCCCCTTTTTTTCTTATCCACTGCCGCATTCAGGACTAAGACTCAGGATGTTGTGGCTCAACTGCGTAGGAAACTCACAGCCGTTATGGTGCCAGCAGTATTCCTCCCTACGACGCGCATCCCTCTCTCTGCCGCGGGCAAGGTTGACCGTCGAAAGCTGAGGCAAGCTGCCTCTTGTCTCACACGAACGGAGATCAGATCCTACGTAGCAGTTAGTAGGAAAAGGCGAGACCCGGTCACAGCGGCAGAACGTCTAGTCTTATTAGTTTGCTGCCGTATTCTAAAGCTTGCGGTTGAGGACATTGGGATGGACGACACCTTCTTCGAATTGGGTGGGAACTCTATATCTGCAATTCATTTTGTTCGACATGCTCGAGAGGCGGGATGGGATGTGCAAGTGACGGATATCTTCAATGAACCAACCCTCGCTGCCTTGGCAGAAAAGATGCACTACGTTGGAACCAATTTGGCCACGCACCGAATGCCTCCGTTCTCCCTCCTGACAGACAAAGATCTAGCTGCTGATGTCAAATCTCTTGCCGCAAGTACGTGCGCAATATCTGAATCGCAGATCGAAGACATATATCCGGCGACTGCATTGCAAGCTGGTCTGCTGGCCTTAAGTATTAAACAGCACGGTTCCTATCAGGCTTGTATTCCACTGCGTTTACCACCCCATGTCGATCTCGATCGCTTGAAGCGGGCCTGGGAGTTGACAGTTGAGAATAATGCCATTCTACGTACCCGGCTCATCCAAAATGCCAATGGTCAAGTCTACCAAGTTGTCTTATTGCCCGAAAAGCTTGAGTGGCACAAAGCGACTAGCTTAGACGAGTACATCAAAAAAGACTCCCGTCTTTCAATCACGATGGGTGGGCCGTTGACACGGGTTGCCTTGACAAAAGATGACATTGAAGTCAAATCATGCTTGGTAGTCACATTACATCACGCATTATACGACGGCTGGACCCTCCCACTCCTTTGGCAGGACCTGGAGGGTGCGTATCTTGGCCAGCCATTATCACTTCGGCCATTCAACGGCTTCGTAAGTCATATTTGCCAAACTAGCAGCCCTCAGATGTCTGATTTCTGGAGAGCTGAGTTTGAGGGTCTCGACTGTCCCCAATTCCCATTACTGCCTACTCATCACTACACGCCATCGATTACAGACACACTGGAACAGACACTCGACCGCCATGGCTCCTTTTCGGCCTTCACCTTATCGACAATTGTACGCCTCGCCTGGGCAACAGTGGTTTCCATTTACTCTAGATCCGATGAGGTGGTATTTGGTGCTACCGTCGCTGGACGTAGTGCCCCAGTCCCCGGGATTGAGGGCATGACAGGCCCAACAATCGCCACAGTTCCGATCCGGGTTAAGCTTCGACCTTCCCAGCATGTCAACGAAGCGCTAGAAGACATTCGCGTGCGCGCGACACGTATGATCCGGTTCGAACATGCTGGACTGCAGCTCATTCGGACTTGGAGTCCCGAAACAGCTCAGGCCTGCCAATTTCAAAGCCTTTTGATAACCGAATGGATCGGTGAGCAGGCGGACGACCCTTCCTGTTTCTTCGTGGATTACGACTATGCCTATGATGAAACAGCATTCTCCTCTTATGCCATCAATCTCACCTGCCAGTTATCTACATCTCAGGTCAAATTTCTAGTCGCCTATGACAGGCGAATTGTTGAACCGTCGGTAATGGAAATGATGCTTTTCCAGCTTTCTCATGCTACTTCGAGAATATTGGCCAACTATCCACTCGTTGGAGATCTCATGAATATCAGCCCACAGGGTATGCGATCCGTGTTCCGGTGGAATGCTGAACTTCCGCCACGAGTCGATACTTGTGTGCATGACTTCATCCTGGCGCACAGTGAGAAAACTCCAGAGGCAGTGGCTGTGACTGGCTGGGATGGTAGCCTAAGGTATGGAGATTTGGAGTCTTTGTCGCTCTATCTGTGCAAGCATCTCATCTCTTCTGGGGTGGGAAGGGAAACGATCGTCCCTCTTCTATTTGATAAGTCTATATGGACAACGGTTGCAATTCTTGGTACTATGCGGTCTTCTGCCGCTTTCATGCTGCTAGATGCAACACTTCCAGAGGCACGTCTGGCATCGCTCTGCAGAGCCGTTGGCGCGAAGGTCATGGTGGCTTCAGAGCAGCGCACGCTTCTTGGAGAGAGTTTAGTCCCACATGTACTAACTTGCTCGCCGAAGCACTTGGTCTCGTTCGAAAATGATTCTACCATAACGTTACCAACGTCGGAACCCAGCCAGGCCCTGTACTGCCTGTTCACTAGTGGGTCAACGGGCGAGCCAAAGGGTGTCATAATTGAACATGCCTCCTTCTGTTCTAGCATTCCAGGTATCACCAAGGTCACCCCATTCAATTCGTCTACGTGCTTGTTCCAATTTGCATCCTACAGCTTCGATGTCTGCATCACCGATCACCTTGTCCCGTTAATGCATGGAGGCTGTATATACATTCCGTCGGCAGACAGCATACAAAACAACTTATCAGCTTGCCTAAGGTCATCTAACGCAACACGAGTGGAATTAACCCCGTCGGTAGCAAGAATAGTAAAGGTCGAAGATCTAGCGGGCCTGCAGATGCTTTGTCTTAGCGGCGAAGCGATGGACAAGGCTGATGTTGAGAAATGGTGCGATAAGATTTGTCTAGCTGGCGCTTACGGGCCTGCGGAGTGCTCTGCGACGTCGTCAATTAAGTTTCCTGTCAAAGTAGGCGATGTTCCTTCGCTGCTTGGCTCTTGGACGGGATGCGTCGGTTGGGTAGTAGACGCAGTTGACGCTGAGCGGCTGGTCCCCATCGGCTCCGTGGGAGAACTCATAATTGAAGGACCAACTGTAGGCAGAGGCTACCTGAACGATCCAGGCCAGACAGCTGCCGCCTTTATCCCACAGATGCAGTGGCTCCGACGTTTTCGCGCAGACACTGGAAGAAAAGGAGAAAGCCGCGTGTACAAGACTGGCGATCTCGTACAGTTGCTTCCTACTGGGGTCATGAGATACATTGGGCGCAAAGATCGCCAAGTCAAGATTAGGGGTCAGAGACTTGAACTAGGCGAAATCGAAGAACATGTACGCCGCGTGTTCCCGCGGTCGACAAGTGTTGCAGTAGAGCTTCTTCAGCCAAACGACCAGGATAGTGAGCCCCTTTTGATGGCTTTTGTGGAGGTGGCCGATCCAGCTAACCCTCATAACCACCGTAAAGAGTCTAGCGACATGGCAATACTATCACCGACAGCCTCGTTTCACGCTGATGTGAGAAACACCGAATGCCAGTTGGAAGACTTAGTACCACGATACCAGATTCCTGCTGTGTTCCTTCCAGTGAACCGAATACCGCTTTTGTCAGCGGGAAAGATAGATCGCAAAAAGGTCCGGGACGTGGGAACAAATCTCACGAAGATAGACCTAAGAACATATGCTGATCTTCAAGTCGTCAAGCGCCCACCAGAGAATGAGATGCAGCGAGCTCTGCAGAAACTCTGTGCCCAAGTTCTGAATATGCCGCCCGATGATATCAGTATGGGTGAAAGCTTCATATCGCTTGGTGGCGATTCCATCACTGCCATGTCTCTAGCCGCTCGCGCACATAGTGAGCAGATTACGGTGACAGTGCGAGATATCTTGAGTCGAATATCTCTAGAGAGCTTAGCTTCGCGGGCCAGAAAGAGCTGTCAATTCTACCCGTCACATGCGCCAGAGGAGCTCGACGTGCCATTCGCATTGTCTCCAATGCAGACAATGTTTTTTGATACAGTACCACCTGAATGCCTTAACCACTACAATCAAAGCTTCTTCTTATCTCTCACACGCCCGGTTTCTGCAGAATCCATGCACATTGCTATAAAGGCAATCGTAAGGAGCCACTCGATGCTACGAAGCCGGTTTAGCCATATCAACAGCCAATGGGTCCAGATTGTCACAGATAACCCCAACTCTTACACCTTTCAGTTATCCAAAGTATCATGTCTTGCGGCTATCAGATCGCAAGTCCCGGAAATCCAACGCAGCCTAGATATATGTCGCGGAATTCTGTTCAGCGTAAATCTGTTTCATACAGAGAATCATGAACAGTACTTGCTTTTAGTCGCGCATCACCTCGTGGTAGACCACGTCTCATGGAGAGTGATTCTTACAGATCTTGAACAGCTCTTAGAGCGTACAGACCTGACTCCTGATATATCCGTCGAGTCATCATTATCCTTTCAGACATGGTGCCGGCGCCAAGCTGCCTTTGCCTGTGAGCATCTACCACCGGAGAAGGCCTTCCCAGTGTCTCACAAGGACCAAGGATCTCACCATGAGAACTTCTTGGACTACTGGGGCCTAAAAGGCTACCGAAATAACTACTCGGATACGGCTTTCACGGGGTTTACTTTGGAAGAAGGGGTTACGCGGAACCTCTGGGGTGGTACTAATGATGCGTTTCAGACAAAGCCCGCTGATATTTTTCAGGCTGCTCTCGTTTTTTCTTTTAACAACGAGTTTCATGACAGAGCTCTACCAACAGTGTTCAATGAAAGTCATGGAAGGGAAGTATGGGATCCGTCTATTGACCTGTCACGGACCGTCGGGTGGTTTACCACAATCTGGCCAACTCCGAATATCATAATTCCAGGGCAAAGCTTTATCGACGTGTTGAAATGGACCAAGGATGCAAGACGACAAGTACCTCACAATGGATACGATTATTTCACCTCACGCTTCATCCACCCTCAGGGGCCTGACTCTCTACCTTTAGCTGTCCCTATGGAGATAGTCATCAATTTCGCAGGGTCATTCCAACAGCTCGAAACCGAAAAGGGTTTGTTTTGCTTCCCGGAAATTCAATACACCAAACTAGATGTAGATCTCAACGCACCTCGATTTGAGTTGTTCGAAGTATCGGCATTGGTAAAAGGCGGGCAGCTGGAGGTGGGAATCACCTATCACCAACACATGCCCCAAGACCGGATCGAAAGGTGGGCAGCTGGCTTTCATGTCGCACTAGAGGAGGCGAGCGTCGTATTGAACTCGATTGAAAAGGGTTTCACCCCGTCTGACTTCCCGCTCTTGCATACCGACTACGAGGGGCTGGAGTATATGCTCGAAAAAGTATCCAGTTCTAAAAAGATCAAGGCTATAGCCGAGATCGAAGACGCATATGCTTGTACAGGCATTCAGCAGGGTATATTGCTCAGTCAAGCAAGAAATGTGGCTCACTTCAACACTAGCACCACGTGGGAGTTGACAAGAGAGGGTGGCGTTGATGTCAATCTCTTCCTTAACGCTTGGCACATGGTCGTTGACAATTGCCCCCCCTTACGCACTATATTTGTCGAAGCCCGTTCCAATAACCTCTGGGACCAAATTGTGCTGAAGATCGGCTCCGGTGATGTCGTCCTCCTTGATCGGAACACCCCAGATTCGGCGCTTCAAGTTACTGATAGCATCACGCCCCTATGTCCTTGGAAACTTAAACTATTAGATCGAGGCGATACTATGTTGTGCAATCTTCGCATACTACATGCTCTTGTGGATGGCTTTTCGACCAGTCTTCTTGAACACCAACTTGTTACTGCTTATGAAGGTGAAGTCTTCTCAAAACCCCCCGCGGTATTCAAGGATTACGTCGCTTATGTTCAAGATCTCCCGAGCGGAGCAGCTACTGAGTTCTGGATAGAACACCTCCGAAATGTAGATCCTTGTATCATGCCAACCCTTAATAGCTCGCCAAGCAGACGTGAGTCTCCTGTTACCTACGTTGCCAGGAAACTTGACGATATTCATCGCCTTGAATCATTCTGTGAAGCCAATGAGATCACCATGTTCAACCTGGTTCAGCTGAGTTGGGGTCTCGTCTTGAAAGCATACACAGGTTCAGACACGGCTTGCTTCGGCTACGTCGTGTCTGGTAGGAATGTCGCAATTGACGGCATAGGGCAGATCATCGGCCCTCTTATCAATATTCTTGTCTGCCGTATCCATCTTGATGGTGGAAGCTCCGTTACGCAATTGGTCCGTTCAATTCACTCGGATTTCCTTCAGGAGCTGGACCATCAACATACATCACTAGCCGATATTTATGATGCATTACGAACTTCTGCAAGTGGATTATTCAACACTGTTGTAGTCTTCCAAGTGAAAAACAACCCCAACACCGCGGACAAGAATTCAGGCTTATCTATGCGCCCAGTTGCTTCGGACGATCCGACAGAGGTAAGGCTGTTCCCAGCGCACAAGCTCTGATGCTAAGTTGCTAACACTGAACAACTAGTATGATCTTACACTTAATGTCAGTCTATCAAAAGACTCTATGGAGTATGCTCTGTGGTACTATGACCACTCGTTCTCGCAAAGACAAATATCTGATCTTGCGACTTCATTTGAAGCGGCCTTGTTCTGGGCCGTGAGTTCATGCAACACCCCGACTCGAAGCATGGAGCTCCTAGGCGAAAGTCACTTGCAGTGGCTCCGTGAGCGCAATCAGGTAGTCCCTAAAGCCTGTGAAGAGTGCATACATGACGCTATCGCACCATTCTTTTCTTCTACTCCGTTCGCTCCAGCCGTTTGCGCATGGGATGGGAGCTTCACCTATATGGAGATTGATCACTTGTCTTCCATGCTAGCCAACATACTCACCTGCGCTGGGGTGATACCGGAAACGTATGTTGGTATTCACTTAGATAAGGGAAGGTGGACTCCGATAGCTTTACTCGCCGTACTCCGCGCAGGGGGGGCTTTTACTCTCCTGGATTCATCACTTCCTCTTGCACACAAACAACAAGTTTGTGATGATCTCAAATGCCAAGTATTAATATTTTCGAGTGCCACTGATAATGATTTACCATCGGCGCGAGATTTGATCCTGATTGGTGACGGCGAAGAACGGGCATGGGCTACGACGTCGGCAGCAACAACGAAGACAACGCCTTCTCAACCCAACCATGCTGCGTACGCAGTGTTTACATCTGGGTCAACAGGTCATCCGAAAGGTATCGTAATCGAGCACTCATCGTTCTGCACTAGTGCAAGGTCACAACACAGAGCTTTATCCATTGATAGCGAAACTAGAGTGCTGCAGTTTTCTTCGTACTCGTGGGATGTAGCGATCATGGACCAGCTCGGAACATTAATGGCAGGCGGTTGTGTGTGCATTCCATCAGAGAGCCAGAGGATGAACGCGCTGGGAGAATCGATCAATCTTCTCAATGCCACGTGGATTCAGACCACTCCAGCTGTGATTCGTCTGCTGGACCCGGACCAAGTCCCATCCCTGAAAACTGTTATTCTGATAGGGGAAACTCCCTCTTACAATGACGTAAAGACGTGGCATAGTAAAGTCTCTCTGCGAGAGACCTATGGCCCTACTGAATGTACTGTTCTTGCCACTGTTAACCCAGATATCTCGTTCAATCCGAGGAACATTGGCCGTGAAAGTGGCTGTGTCTGCTGGGTCGTTCAGCCAGAAGACCACAATAGGTTGATGCCAGTCGGCGCTGTCGGAGAGTTGCTGATTCAAGGGCCCATTCTCGGCCGCGGCTATGTGAATGATCCCACCAGGACCTCCGCTGTCTTCGTTGAGAATCCATTGTGGGTTCAGAAGCTTGGTATCCAACAACATGTGCGGCTTTACAAGACAGGTGATCTCGCGTATCATACCCACGATGGCTCCATTTGCTACGTTCGAAGAAAAGACGATCAAGTGAAGTTACAGGGACAAAGAATTGAACCTGGAGAGGTTGAGCATCATATCTCAATCAGCTTTGATGGTGCGGAGCGAGTCATCGTGGACGTTGTGACACTGGATAGCGAATCTGACAAGCCCTTTTTAGCAGCCTTTATCAAACCAAATGGCCTGGATGAGACAGGGAATTCGGCATTTAATTCCGAGGTATTCGCTCCTCCAACTAGGGAATTCGCTACCAAGGTAGCTCTCAATCAAGCTTATCTTAAGGGCCGACTACCTAAACGCATGGTGCCAACGGTCTTTCTTCCCCTAGCCTGTGTCCCTTTGACTAGCACCTGCAAGACAGACCGCCGTCTTCTAAAACGAAGGGCTGCGCATTTATCCCGAACACAGATCAAAGCATACATGAATATAGAAGTAATTAACAAGCAGAGACCCTCAACCGATGGAGAGCGCAAATTTCAGCAATTATGGGCTCAAGTATTGGATATGGCACCAGAGTCTATCGGCACAAACGAAAGCTTCTATCATCTTGGTGGTAATTCAATGTCAGCCATGCGGCTGATTTCACAGTGTCGTAAAATGAAGATAGATATCAGCATGCAAATTGTTTTACAACATCGTACTATAGCCGAACTCGCTGCATATGTCGAAGAAAGCCGCAACCAAGGCATGATTACACAAGATGCCACTGACATACCATTTCCCTTGACTCTAATGCAGCAACAAATTATCCAATCATGCCCCCAAGATGAGAATCACTGCAGTAGGACTATGCTCATCAAACTTAAGGGCAGGGTCAATGCAGACCATTTGATCCGCGCTGTCCGACTAGTTGTTAATCGCCACGCAACACTTCGTTCTCGCTTTAGTAGGAACATTCACGGTGTTTGGATGCAACGGGACACTTCCCATGCTGACGAATCTTGTCGAGTTCGTTTCCTGAAGATCGGTCAGAGATGCGGACTCTCTGCCATCGTCCAAGAAGCTCAAGGGGTTCTTAACATCAAAAATGGCCCATTGCTTACCATTGACCACGTGCAGATTGATCCTGATGGGTTGAATAACGATACCTACCTTGTCCTTGTGTGTCATCAGCTAGTCGCAGATCTTGCGTCGTGCCGTATCATAGTAGCTGATATGGAAACCTTGCTTGGTCAGGGAGGTTATCTCCCCTTGCCAAGCCAAGCCCCTGTATCCTTTCAGGCTTGGTGCTCTCTGCAAAATAATGGCAAAACCACATCCGCCATAGACCTTGATACCTTAGATTCTACTCAAGTACAATCGCGTAGCCAAGCTTCCAGAATCCAAATCTGGGCCATGGACGATTGTTCAGACAAGAGGCAGGAGCTTGCTCGTCGAGAATTCAAGCTTTGCTGTTCGACGACAGACTTATTGCTCGGCCGTGCTAATGACGCGTTTCGAACATACCCAGAGGAGATATTACATGCATGTCTACTTTATTCCTTCTCTCGTGTATTCGTCGATTCTGCAGCACCGAATATTTGTAGTTGGGGTCCCGGTCGTGAATCCACGGACAGCACCTTCGATTTCGCACAAACTGTAGGTTGTTTCACTACTACACGGCCTACTACAGTCAATTTCGACCCTAACTCTGATTTGACTGGAATGGTTCGTCGTATCAAAGATACTTGCCGTATGCTTTCCATGCACAGAGCAAAAAATGGCGAACGGTTGCCAGCATCAGGCGAATTGTCACTCAGCCAAAATAGAATAGTTTTCAATTATGAGGGATTGTCCAACCGGAAAGATCAGGACGGGTCTATCCTGCAGGCTGAGCCGTGGTTTCTTGAGTGTCCATTGTTAGATGTAACGCCCTCTGTACCCTATTTTGCCCTTGTTCAGGTTTCAGTCTGTATCGTCCAAGACCAACTGAAAGTGTCTTTTATATACAGCGAGCATATGAAACAACATGATCTGATTCCCCTCTGGGTTGCCGACTATAAGAGCTCAATCTCCAGGGCAGTTGCTGAGCTCTCAGAAAAACCTCGGATTTATACTCTTAGTGACTTCCCGCTGCTGAATACCTCCTACGAGGGGCTCGACTATATAGTAGCAAAAGTTTCGGATCAGATGAGGCTGCAGAAGAATCCAGAATGTGCTGTCCTTGAAGATATTATTCCCTGCTCAGCAGTTCAAAGAGGGATCCTCCTTACTCAGTCTAAGGATCCTGAACTCTACTATCCTCAATTTACGTGGAGAGCCCATGCGACGACCAAAGAACAGCCAATTGACATAGAACAGCTCCGTATGGCATGGGTGAAAGTACTGCATAAGCACGTTATATTCCGGACTATTTTCATACAGAGCAGTGCGAGTCATGAGCATTTCCTCCAGGCAGTATTGCGGTCAACTCCAGAAAATATCATGACCCTGGCGTGTGCCAGCGAGGATGCAATCGGAACGATTCGCACGTATCATGAAACACATCCATTTCGTCCTGAGAGTTCTCTCTGGCGCCTGATTCTATGTCAGAGTCATACTGGTGACACTATCTGCGAATTGCAGGCCAATCATGCACTGCTTGATGGAGCTTCAATAGCCATCATTGCTCATGAGGTCCAGCTAGCTTACAGTGGCATGCTTCCCGATGGCTACGGGCCGCGTTACTCCGAATATATCAAGTACCTACAACAGGTTCCCACGGACACTACTATTGACTTTTGGAAACGCAAACTTTTTCGCATTACTCCCAGCCTTTTCCCACGGATAACTAAGAGAATCGGCCTATCCGCCGAAGAGGTGCAAAGGCGTGAGCTGCGGTCTGTTTCTATTGACATCGAGGATGCATCACCAATCTACCAGTTTTGCATGAGCCATGAGCTCAACCTCTCCAATGTTATCCAAGTCGCATGGGGTTTGATTCTCCAACGATATAGCATGTCTGATTCTGCTTGCTTTGCATATCTTACGACTAGACGCGATGTCCCTGTCGCGGGTATTGAGGCACTAGTCGCCCCTTTGATCAATATTCTCGTGTGCCATATTGTCTTGGACTCTGGAACCTCGCTTCTGGAAGTACTACACATTGTCAAGAAGGATAATATTGAGAGTTTAGAATACCAGAACTGCTCGCTGGCCGAGATATGCCATGCCCTGTCTTTGAGTGCGAATGACCTCCTGAATACCTGCATTTCAGTACAAGACAAGACTCAAAATGATGAGATCCCCGCTCTCCCAGTCGCTTTTTCGGCACTAGGTGGTAAAGATCCTACAGAGGTGAGTTATACCCCCTATTTTGTGCGGCACCACCTCTAATCTTTCTTCATTAGTACGATATTGTCGTCCACACGCTTGCAGATAAACGCAGTATATCTCTTTCACTCGATTACTGGAACGGCGAGTGTGTGGACCCTGAGCAGGCGCAACGACTGGTGCGCATGCTGGGAGAAATCATTGTGAACATCGTGACAAACCCGTACATTCCGGCCTCCCAGGTCAATATCCTGGGCCGCAAGGATCAACTTTTACTCAAAGAATGGAATGCAATCATTCCTATAGCCCATGAAGCTTGTGTCCATCACCTTATTGAGAGACAGTTTCGAGAGCGCCCCGGCTCTTTGGCGGTCCATGCATGGGATGGTAATTTAACATACGGATTATTAGACAGTTTGTCTCTCAAGCTTGCTGCTCGCCTTGTTGAGTTTGGGGTTCGCCCTGAAGATTTTATTGGGCTACTGTTCGAAAAGTCTATGTGGACTACGGTAGCAATGCTTGCTGTAATGAGGGCGGGTGCTGCGTTTTTCTTTTTGGATCCGAACCTTCCAGTCCGTCGATTAGAAGAGATATGCGCGGACACGAATTCGCAGATGATACTCAGTTCAGTATACCATGAAGGCGTCTTGCAGCATCTCTCTGTGGACATAATTGCTGTGGGCTCAAGCGTGGAAGACCTCTGGCGGCACGAAGCGGCTATAGTTAGTACCACCGTCCAACCTAAGAACGCACTCTACGCTGTCTTCACCTCGGGATCTACTGGGAGGCCCAAGGGACTTGTGATTGAACATCTCTCGTTCTGTTCCGTTTTAGGAGCTATTAAGGGACCCAAAAAAATCACCCAAGACTCAAGAGTTCTACAATTCGCCTCCTATTCGTTCGATGTCAGTATTGGTGATCACCTTATCGCCTTTACTCAAGGAGCGTGTCTTTGTATACCCTCTTCGGATCAGCTGCATGATGTCGAGAGAGCAATCTCTACCTTCGGCGCTAACTGGGCAGAACTCACTCCCTCAGTGTCTAGGCTTATCAACCCTAGTAATGTGCCTTCTCTAAGAACCATCAACCTTAGTGGAGAGCCTATAATCCACTCCGACTTAATGCGATGGCAGGGGTTTGCTCAAGTCATCAACTCTTACGGCCCAGCGGAGTGTAGCATCTGGTGTGCAGCACGACCAGATGCAACAGACCCGCAGGATCTTGGCTTCATGATAGGGGCTGTGGGCTGGATCGTAGATCCTGCCAACCATGAGAGACTCCTCCCTCTGGGGGCTATCGGCGAGTTGGTTCTTGAGGGCCCAATCGTGGGCCGTGGGTATCTCAACCGACCCATGCAGACGGAAGAATCTTTTATCGAACCCCCCATATGGATGCACCACTTTAGACATCCAATTTCGGCGCGCTTCTACAAGACAGGCGATCTAGTTCGGTATCAGTCCGATGGTTCAATCATAATCCTGGGACGCAAGGATACTCAAGTTAAACTCCGGGGTCAGCGGCTAGAGCTCGACGAGGTTGCGTGGAACATACGTCAATGCCTGCCCGTGGGTTCTGACTTAGTTGTTGATCTAGTCCGCCCAGAGAACGGTACAGCCGCGCCTGCTCTAACTGCTTTTATTCTTTCCAAGTCAATTCATAATGTTACACCTTGCGAAGACGACTTGTTCTTTGAACCGTCTCCTGATTTCTCGACCATGATCTCGGTCGTACAAAGCCATCTCCAAAAGTCACTACCACGTTATATGGTCCCTACAATACTTTTACCTATGCGGTACATTCCTCTTACTATTAATGGGAAGACAGACCGCAAACAGCTTCGAGATAGGTCGTCACGGATGTCATGGAGAAAAATACAAGGGTACCTCGATACGTCGCCCGTTGTTGGACATAGGGGGCATGAGACTGAACTCGAGGCATCGCTGAGAGCCTGTGTCGCGCGCGTCCTCAACCGAAGCCCAACCGACATTAGTTTTGACGACAACTTCTTCCACATCGGCGGAGACTCAATCGGTGCCATGGAACTTTGCTCTATATGTCGCCGCGAGGGAATAATTGTGACGGTCCCGGAAATCTTCAGATACAAGACAGTTCGTTCTCTGGCCCCAAGAGTTCGGAAAGATCTAGAACATGTAATAGAGACCGAAGAAAACATTGGACACACTTTTGCGCTTTCCCCAATTCAACAATTGTTCTTTGATCGAGTTCCTGACGGCGAAAAGCGCTTCAACCAGAGTTTCCTTGTCAGATTGAGAACACCAACAGTGCCAATAGATGTCGCCCTGTCAGTAATCGTGAGACGACATGCCATGCTTCGAGCGCGATTTCAAAAGGAAAAAGGATGTTGGAAACAGATACTCACAGATGATATTGGTCAATCTTTTCGCTACCGTCACTTGACCATTTCAAGTGAAGAGATCCAGAGATGCATGATTGAAAGCCAAGAAGTCGTCAATTGCTTGCAAGGCCCCATGTTGGCGGTGGATCGCATCAATGACAACGACACTGAATATCTCTACCTCGTAGCTCATCACCTTGTCGTGGACCTTGTTTCCTGGCGCATAATATTGGGAGACCTCGAGATGTTGCTAGCAGGGGATACGCTTGCCCCGCCACGTTGCTTACCTTTCCAGGCCTGGTGCCATGCACAGGTTGATTATGCCAAAGACCATTTGACACCTTCTAAGACACTTCTATCACTTGAAAAGATCTCAAGCTTTGCGCTGAATATTGAGGAGATCTGGGGTATCTCGAGCAGTTTGAATACGTATGAAGACGCCACATCCATGGCTTTCACCCTTGATCCATACATCACCAAGCTGCTTCTGGGACAAGCGAATAGGGCCGTACAAACAACAGTTCTTGAGATCTTCCACGCCGTAATTCTTCTTTCCTTTGTAAGGACCTTTCGCGACCGTCCTCCCCCAATAGTTTACCAAGAGGGTCATGGGAGGGAACCCTGGAGTCGCTCTTTGGATATCTCGGAAACTGTAGGCTGGTTTACAACTATCTGGCCTACCTTGGTGCACGCTACGCCAGACTCTAGTTTGATCGACGTAGTCAGACAAAGTAAAGATGCCTTACGTCTCACGCCGGCAAATGGCTGGAGCTATTTCACTTCTCGATTTCTGCATCCTGAGGGTCACCAGGTTCTGGATATGGGAAACTTGATGGAGATTACTCTGAATTATCATGGCTCTTACCGTAGCCTTGAGAAGAGCGAGAGTATCATGCAGGTCGTACACGATACGATTCCACTCCCAGCAAATGTAGATCCACATATGGTTAGGAATGAGGTGTTTGCCATTGATATATGGCTTGCTGAAGAGAGCTTTCGGCTTGACTTCACATATAGCAAGAATTGTCAGCAACAAGACTCTATTCGGGAGTGGATATCTACCTGCGATGAGCTTCTGAAGATTGCGGCCCAGGAATTATCGCAATCCTCACGACAGTATACCTTAAGTGACTTCCCACAGCTACCCCTAACATACCCAGAGCTGTCTATATTTGTACAGAATCTTCACGAGACTGGTATTGATCTAGATTGCATGCAGGGCGCATATCCCTGTACAGCAGTTCAGCAAGGCATTCTACTAAGCAAGGAACGAGATGACTCGTTTTATGGGACTAGAACAGCCTGGAAATTACTAACTTCAGACTCAAACAAGTCAATCACAATTCAGAGTGTGGAAGAGGCTTGGGCTCAGGTGGTTGGCAAGCACTCAGCACTGCGCACAGTATTTGTTGACAGTGTCTCTGGAGAACTTCATAATCAGGTGATAATGGCGTATGGTTCGGGCAGAATCACGACTTCAGATTCACGCGATCCAGTGAGCGAGAAGGATACGTGTGGACTCCTTCCATGGCATTTCATGGTCACTCGGATGTCCGAAACAGAGATACTATGCGAACTTGCCATCAGTCACGCACTAGTCGATGGATTCTCGATTCGACTAATAGGTATCGACCTATCTCGCGCCGTTAATGGTCACAACATTGGCTGCGAGACCCTAAGCTACAGCGACTATGCAGCGCACGTACATTCCATCGCTGCCAAACAGACCGATTACTGGAGCACATATCTTCGTGATGTCACCCCTTCTCTATTTCTGGAGCTGAATAGCTCGCCAAATGGTCGCTTACATTCTGAGACTCGCCAAATTGATAGTGGACGAGCCCGGAAGTTCTGCGAAGCCCACGGCTTCACTCTTTCTAACATATTCCAGGTAGCTTGGGCCTCGATATTGCGCTACTATGCGAATACAGATGATGTCTGCTTTGGCTATCTAACATCGGGGCGCGACATCCCAGTCCACGGTATTGAAGATGCGGTGGGACTTTTTATCAACATGTTAATCTGTCGCCTCCAGCTTGATAACAACTCACCCATACTCTGGATTATGGAGAGGAACGAAGCTAGTTTTGTTCGTAGCCTCGAGCATCAACACTATTCCCTTGCTCAGATGCAGAGTGACTCAGGCTTTCAGCACAGTGGCCCCCTCTTCAACTCCATACTATCATATCAGGCAGTTACCGCAACAGCCGCACATAATTCGGACCCCGATGATATTATCAAACCTACTCTCCTAGAACTCGTTGATATACAAGATCCCACGGAGGTGAGATCTTATCTTCTCTCTCTGTCTCTTTTTTTTTTTTTGCATCATGTAATACCACGTGCTAACCAGTGTACTTACTTAGTATGCGGTAGTCATAAACATTGAAAGTGATGGAAACACTATCGGCGTAGCATTCAATTTCTGGGACTCCGTTCTTTCTCCCCAGCAGGGGTCCAACCTCTGTGATCTTCTGGTTCAGGCTGTTTCACGCATCATCAAAAACCCTCATGCTACAGTTGGCGATATTTCACTGATAGGTCAAGAGGAGCTTGATCTCGTTCACTTTTGGAACCAGGACGTACCTAAGGAGCAGTTCACATGTGTGCCCGAGCTTATCCTTGAGAACTGTCGTGTTGAGCCATGTCGTGCTGCCATCTGTTCATGGGACGGTAATTTTAATTACCGCGAGCTGGACCAACTTTCATCATCACTTGCGTCACGATTCCGCGAGCTTGGAGTTGGACCGGAAGTATTTGTTCCAATACTACATGAAAAGTCGAAATGGGTTGCGGTGGCTTTCTTGGCAGTCATGCGAGCGGGCGGCGCATTCGTCCTGCTCGACCCTTCATTCCCAGACGCACGTTTACAACACATCTGCAGCGCCTTAAGGTCAGAAATTATTGTCTGCTCACCCACCACTCGTGATAAAGGACCCATGTTTGGAAAGCATGTAGTGGTGGTGTCGCCGTCTGAAGCTGAGCAGTGGATTGTGAGTGGCACGACGATTGCCACAACACCAAATGTTCAACCTAACAATGCTGTCTACGCTGTTTTTACATCAGGATCTACCGGTATTCCTAAGGGTGTGGTCATAGAACACTACAACTACGCAACCAGTGGGCGCTCACTCGAAAAGCGACTGCAAGTGACATCGCGCTCCCGAGTGTTTCAATTTGCATCGCATGCGTTCGATGTTAGTATCAGTGACTACCTCACTACTCTTATGGCAGGTGGTTGCGTCTGTGTACCCTCTGAGTGGGACAGACTGAACGACATAACGGGCGCAATGCGTCGTCTGGAAGCGAACTGGGTTCATGTCACACCATCCGTTGCGCAAACCTTCCATCCATCGCAGGTCCCGGCCATCGAAACCATGATACTAAGCGGTGAAGTCATGAAAGAAGATAACATACGGACATGGAAGCCAGATGTTCAATTGATAAATGCCTACGGGCCTGCGGAATGCTCCGTCGATTGTGCCGTCAATACTGACGATGTTGTCGATCCGACGAATATCGGGACAGCGAGCGGATGTGTGTGCTGGATCGTCGATAAGGACGATCCTGAACGACTACTTCCTATTCACGCCGTTGGAGAGCTACTAATTGAAGGCCCCATTGTCGGCAGAGGCTATCTGAGCAATGAAGACCATACACATAAATCCTTCATTCCTCCGCCTACTTGGCTTCGTCAATTCAGGGGGCATGTTACCTTGGCGCACGCAGTATATAGAACCGGGGACCTGGTACGGTATGAATCTGACGGCTCACTGCGGTATATTGGGCGCTATGACCATCAGGTTAAGTTCCATGGTCAACGCCTGGAACTCGGAGATATCGAAGCTCACCTCTCTCGCCACCTCTCCCGCTACCCCAGCATAGCAGCTGATGTTCTTCAGCGACCAGGACCAGATTCACAGCAAGCCCTTGTGGCATTCGTCAGCGAAGGAAGAAATGATGTATTCGATGACAGCATTACTATTTTAGAATCCACTATGGAATTCAGGGCAGATTGTCATTATGCTACGGCTCAATTAGCTCTATCCATACCACAGCATATGATACCCACGAGGTTTGAATTAGTTAGTCGGATTCCCCTGACAAGCTCGGGCAAGGTTGATCGGCGCAAGCTGTGCAGTCTAGCATCCGAAATCAAGTGGACTGAGGGCACCAACGAACCTGGCGCGCCTCGGAAACCTCTAAATGCGACCGAGCAGACCATACAACAAATATGTGCTGAGGTTCTAGATAGCGCGCCTGAGAACATCAATCTAGACGTGGATTTCTTTGCGATGGGTGGGAATTCAATCAGGGTCATGCAGCTTGTATCCCGCGCTCGCCATGCCAATCTTCCGATCACTGTGCGGCAGGTATTCCGTACGCCCGTTCTCGCAGATCTCGCGAGAACAATTTCACAACCTGCCGCCCCAGCACTACCCGCGCGTACTCTCGGACAATCTCCTGAGGACATTGACCTTGCACTGTCGGGCCGTCTACCCTGGCCTCAGCTTCATTTCCGAAAAGATGATGTGGCCGATATCTTGCCTGCTAGTGAGATCCAGGCTTTCTCTTCTAGGCGACCTCAAAATTATTGGTTTTTGGAACTCAACGGCGCTCTGGATTCCGATCGTCTGAAACTCGCTTGCTCCAATCTAGTACAGCGACACGCGATTCTCCGGACCATCCTCGTGCCGGACGCCGAGCGTATACTGCAAGTAGTGCTGCACCAGTTGCCCTTACCCATCACAGAATGTGAGACGGAGGAGCGTGATCTCATTAACTTTGCGAAGACCCTCTGTCAGGCAGATTCGGCGTCCCAAGTCCTGTACAACGTCCCGCCGCTTGCTTTCACACTCATTCGTCGGCACAGTTCCCACCACATGGTCATACTCCGACTATCGCACGCCCAGTACGACGGCTTGTCTATTCCCACTTTGATGGCAGATCTTCTGAATTTGTACCAACAACACCCAATGGAAGCCGCTGCTACCTTTTCCGCTTACACGCGACACTGCACACGAAGTCACACAGCTGAGGCATATGAGTTCTGGCGAGACCTGCTACACGGAGCTTCCATGACATCACCCTTCCAGACAGACATTTCGAATTGCGCATTGGAGTCAACCGCCAGCCTAGTCGAAGTCGAAGCTCATGCGCCTTCACCCGTTGCGCCTCCCGGTATTACAATGGCGACGATCCTCAAAGCCGCATGGTCGATAGCACAAGCGCGGCTGCTGCAGAACACAAGGGGCCTCGTATTTGGGCAATTGGTTAGCGGGCGGAGCAGTCTAGGCGGAACTAGTTTAGAAAATGTTGTAGGTCCCTGCTTGAACGTTGTGCCAGTACGAGTGCAATTGCCCGACGACGAGACCATCGCGGCATTACTCCGCCGTCTACAAGACCAGCATGCAGCAAGCCTTGCATTCGAGACCGTTCCTCTACGAGCTATAATCACCCACTGCACATCCTGGACGGACACGGACTTTGGCTCTATAGTGCATCACCGACACGCGCCAGAGCAGGCCACATTGCAATCAGACTCGCTTGAATGCCGCGTCGATGCCTGGTCCCCGGTCTCCTTACCTGACAAGACTATCTGGATTGCTAGTCTCGTGGACGAGGGCAAACAGCAATTGGAGCTGGACATGTATACTCGCAGCGAGGTGGCTACGGCGGCGTGGCTTGATCGTCTGATGGGCGAGTTGTGTACAGTGCTGAGGGTGTTCCATGAAGAGGGTTTCTCGGTGATGATTGAGCAGGTTCTACGCAGGGCTCACACTGGAACTCAAGATTGAGAGCCTACATATTCCAATGTGTTTATCTATTCAGATATCGAGGTTGAGTATACACTTAGGTGTGTTTATATGATTGACTGATGGCGTTTAACGTCGTGAGAGTATGCTACGTAGGGCATTGGGACGCGGCACGCTGTCCGCTATCTGCCCCTCTACCTATGACTGTGAAGGATGGCCCAGTACCTATCTACACTGATATCTTCCAGCATCGTGTATGTTGACTGCCTGTGCAGGTAAGTACATGCTTCCTGCTGCCTCAGAAGTGCCTGCCTACATATCCATGTATCTATCTAAGCCCAATTGTCACAAGTACCTCCACTGCGAGAGGGCATAGAAATTGTTCCAAAGGAGATACTCCTCTCGAATTTACTATAGGCAAGATGTGTTGTTCACGTACTTTGGTGCTTGATTTGATGAGCGGGATGTACTTTCACATTTGTGAGCGCCGATGACCCTAAAGAAACCATCACCATCTCACCCAGTTCGCGGTTGAGGGAAGCTTTTGAGCGCAGTGGAGGCGCAAAGTCATTGTGCGACACATTTGAAGCCAAAGATGCCAGCAAGACAAATATGGCATACCCACCACTCCGCGATAGGAAATTTCATTATGGCGATCATCAACTCTCCCTCAGTCAAGGCGCAAGCTACACATTTCGAAAATCCCCTCGCACATCAGTCCATATATATCCCCTAATAGCGCAAGCCGTATTTTAGACCTTGATCGACATCGTTAGGACGTGGGGTTGGATTCTCTAGAATGTTAGATACATATCGAACATTGCATTTCTTATGCTATCTGAAGAAGTTTACCAATAATACATGCACATGCAGGCAAGCACTAACGCGACACGAGGTCGAATACTTCAGCATATACGCAATTTGGCTCCGAAGACAAAGGAAGACGCGGAACTGATCAAAGGCGTCACTACCCCTCACGACTTTTGGGCCATGGTGTATAACCGCTTTCCCATCCCACGTATGTGGGACAACTACTTGAAGCCAGGAAAATCAGCCGCCTTCACGACGCTCGGCGCTAGTATCTGGCACCTCATCCTCGCGTGGCGGGACATTGAGCGCGTTTGTTGTAGGTCCGTCGCTCTCTTTTTCGGTAGTTATTGACGCCTTTAGTTGGGCAGATGACGCGAGGGTTTACTGGAAAAGATAAATGTTGCAGCCAAAAAAGATGCCCTTTAATTATCAAAAGGCCAAAATGTTGGTCGAGCTGGGACCGGACGTTGCGCTGATGTGAGAGAAGCAAGGGTGTTGTGATGGAGAGTGCCCAACTGCATTGCAAAATCTGCATGTTGGGTCTTGCAGTTGGCTTCGGTAGAGATACATTCTGTAAGATTTGGATGCTCACCCTATATACCTTTGAAATATGTTGAAATACTAGGTTATGAATGGTATACAGTATAGTATATTGTTTTAAGGAACAGCTTAGGTACAGTAGTGTAGGACCTCCGTTTATGACTATATATTCATGAGATGATAGTCCCGGATACGCAAGCTTCTACCTTCATAGCTATGCTCGACGTGATCATGATGTGTTTCAACGGGAGAATGGAACGAACTACGCGACAGTGGAAAGAGCTTCTGGCAAAGGTTGGCCTTGAAGTGGTGAAGGTGTGGACATCGCCTGAAGATGCTGCTGGTGGAGTTGTAGAGGCGATTGTCAAGGAATGAAAATCCAGAGACATGAGAGCGCACATCCATTTGCTTCCAGTACTACATAGTCTCTAACTTACTGAATAATATTTTTGATGTGCTAAGAGTACCGTAGACTTATAAGGCTAGGAATGACCACTGCTTAATGACATGACCTTACTGTAGCCAACATCTCGAAATTTTGAAGTTCGTTCTAAGAAGTAGGTATATATATAATGATGCTACATAAAATAGTCATATTCATATTTCTACTATGCTATCATCAAGATCGACACCTGCTTTGAAAAGAGTGTGATCGGATCAAGAAAGGTAGCCGTTTATGGTTAAGCTCACGCGTTGATGTCGCTACCTCTCTTGCTTCTTTTGGTTTTGGAACCAACAAGACGTTTCCTCGCCCCCCTCTCTGATACGGCCTATTTAATAAAATTTCAAGCAAAGGACAAGCATTCTTTGTTGAAAACGAGTGACATCTGGGTCATCCTCGGGGATGGGGTATTGCAGGTTGATCTTATAGATAAATTTATAGGCGGATTGGGGTCGAACACATTTCAATTGCCTTAACTACGCCTACGATGTGGCTTTAATGAGGCCTCCTCTTCTTCCTCGCCGTCGGCATCGCTGCCTCCAGCAACACTCCTGTCGTCATCGAATTATCAAGGTAGCAAATTCTATTTAAATCGGTATTGAGTGCTGCCATGTTGATCCCAGGCTTTCAAAGGCGAGGCTCGCGACACTACTGGGGGTTTTCCTGAAACTTGCATTTGAACCGGCAGTCCGCAACGCGGTGGTCCACCTTTTCAGTAATGTCGCAGCCCTTGGCGCTAGAAAACTCATAACCCGTGTAGGCAAACTGAAAAAAGTCGGTGCCCCCGAAACCGGCGGTGAAGAGAAGATAGTATGGCAACAACATACTCGTGCCGTTCCCGAGATTCTTGACCTCCCCATCCTTGATAGTCCAGTCTTGCTCCTTGAAGAACATGCGAAGCTCGACGTCTGTAACCTCGATGTGAAACCTCAGGTCGTTCTGTCCCTGGCCTTTGTTCCTGTACCACTGCTCGACGTGGGCATTGCATGAGTCGAAGGGGGGTATTTCGCCGTTATTACCCGTGACTTTATGAGCGGGTGAGCTGGACGAGAAGCCGGCAAGGGGGATGAGGGTAAGATGTTACAGTACAGTACTATATAGTGAGTACAGAGACGTCAAGCCCTCGACTTGATAACTCGTCGTTACCTTTTGGTAGCGTAATGGCATAGGTACTGCACTCCTTATGTCGTTCCGTGACATAAGACGAGTTTGCATCTTGCGGATCTTGGCAGATGTTGTTCAGAAAGGGACTGTATATGAAAAATACAACGAGTGTGAGTTCAGAGACGGCCTTAGGATTGGTGATGTAGACTGTAATCCTCGGTTGCTGATGGTTACTCAAACGCAGAAAATCGCGAGGGCCTCGGCATCTCTATACTGAATGCTGCCTCATACATAGCCGTTAGAGATGCGCCAGCTCCCAGATCACCCTCGAGATCTAAGGTGAGTTTCATATTTCATGTAAATTGCCAGGAACTGTTTAACGAGTGCAATGAAATCTCTTATTGTTGCGCGATTGTCAAAGAACTTGCAAGGGAGTGTAGTATTATAACCGTTACGCTTTACAAAAGGTAGAAGGACCATATTGGGTCGAGACCGTACGCGTCTACACTCAACTATATGGTACTGCAATACTGATTTATCACACCCTAACCATACCTAGTCCACCTACAGGGGTCCACGGCATGCGATATAAGCAAACAGTAGGCAGTTGGGTATTAAACAATGAGGCAACAGGGAACTAATAAGCAACGGGATTCTTAGATTATATGAAGTCTAAAAGAATGAAAAGGAGAGTGGCTATGCAAGATTAAAGTGGCAAAATGAAAACCAGTAAAGAACTATATAGTAGATATTTACTTACTTGCCTATCCATGACATCTCAAGAGAGCGCCACCCTATTCTTTCCCTCTTTCCCGCCTCTTTCATTTTCTCTTTGTTCCTAGTCATTCAGCTGTTGTCACATCAAAATGATAAACAGTCCACGAACCTTTGAAAAATCTTCGAATTTCATCAACGGCTATGTAAATGCAACGAATCCAAAACTCCCTCAGTAGCAAACCCGGACCCAAACCCGAAACTGAATATAGACCTAAACCAGAATCCAAAACCCGTAGACTTTATCATTGTAACCAAGCACTCAAGACTCCGATCTCATGCGTCCGTTTGCCTTCATACGCTATTTTCTCTCCATTGCTCTCTTTCCTGTGTATAGCACTTCCGCCTCGTATCGTTTCGTTTCGTCATGTATATATCGTCTAGCCAATTTTTCTAATTGGCTTACTCTCTTCCCGTTTACTATAGGCTATGAAGTCGACTGTCGAAGATTCAGCTGGACCTCACGAACTTTGGAATCTCTTGCCGATCCAACTGATTCAAAAGCTTGGCATGGTGATGGTCCGTACATCGAAGGACTAGCTCCATGCCAAGGCGTCGACTATCTAACCCGAACGATCAAGCGGACCGCTTTGAGGATGATGTTGAAAAAGAGTCCAAAGGTCCCAACAAGCATGTATATCTTGATGAATTCCCACCAATACTGCGTCTTGACCTCAGTTTCGAGATGCCCTTTGATACCAGCACCATTGGCGGGGAATCGACCAGTTGAGACGTATTGCTCCATGAGCTCGTCCTTTTCGTACCATCGCTCGCGAAGCCACTTGTCGAATTCTTCTTGGTTTTCTAACGGTATATCCGCTAAAGCAAAGCGACGCCAGTAGAAGTTGACTGATTTCGGTGGGCGACCTTGGAAAAATGTGCTAGACAGGGTGAAATAGTCTTCACCGTATCCTCCACGACTAGGGAGCATTAGTTAGTGTCACAGTCGGTATCTTCAATTAGGGTACTACCACTCACGGGACACCTTCGTAGGCGACGGTACAGTCATAGACATAGTCCACAGTACCCTTAAGCTCGGTGAGACAGAAGTACATGCCGGTGCTCCTCGGTAACATGACGTGCTGAGCATCTTTGAGACCAGTCTTTTCGGCCCAACTAGCGGACTTCTTTCTCCCATTGCCCGACAGATTAGTGCCCTCTGGGAACAGTAGAAGCCACATGGGGTCCAGATAGCTCTCGCCGTCAGGGCCGGTATAGCGCATCTTCAGCTTCTCAAGACGGTGGGCGAGTCGGGGGCGATCGACAGCCATCTTACGGGACATGAATATAAATCCAATAAACATACATCCAGGCCCGATAATAGGGATCCACTTGAGCGACTCCTTGAGAATGATGAAGATGTGACCATGCATCTGAGGGATGCTCGTGTACCCGATCCACCAAAGATACAACCAGTCTGTATAGATCTACGCCATAAAAAAAAGGCTAGTCAGCGGGGCATGCACAGGGCTTGATACTACTTTGCGCAAGAGAGAGAGAGAGATGGAGAGACAATAGTGATGGCTCACCTGGTGGTTTGCTATCAAGACCATGCGCTCTGGAAAGTTGCACTGCACCCTGCCATCCGGGGTCAAGCTCAGCTGTCCAGCAACCGAGGCATCACCGCTGATCCTAATAATGGTAGGAGCCCACCATTGGGTCATGGTGGTGATCAACAGGCCAAAGTTGGCCTTGGTCAGGGACATATAGGCATCGTAGAACTGGCGGTTGACGAAGTAAAGCGGGGCGCCGAGAAACTGGGAGAGGTGCACACTGCATGTATCGAAGAGTCAGATACGGTATGTTCAGACCGGCGCACCCAAGGACATGAGCAGGGCGACATACGCAAGAATACCAGTGCCGAAGTATATCGAGAAGGTGAGGGCGCGGAGGTAGGATCTCAAGCGACCGTACTTAGCCTCGCCGGAGGGATGTTGGGTCTTGGGGTCGAGGACAGGATTCGTAGATGTGACAGAGGGTTCGGGTTTGGGGGCCTCGCCGGCGGGCCGAGGACGCTGGCGCAGTTCGGATGTAGTCATACTGGCGGCAGGGAGTGGTTGGGATTCGGAGTCTCGGGGACACGTGCCTGTCGGGTTATGCGCACGTGTTGGAAGATGGCGAGTCGGCACGGGCAGAGTTACTAGGCATGTGAGAGCAGGGAGCGAGGTGAAATTTCGAGGGTAGTGGTCACAGAAGAGCGTGATAATTCTAACAAGATAACGGGCGTGTGGGTTAGCAGAATGATAGGTGGGCAGTGGTAACGAGTCAAGACGAGATGGGAGCGATTGGGGTCACATGAGGTTCGATCGCGATGGGACGGTTAATAGGGCTGCCTAATACCACCGGCCAGGTTAGAGATAAGATAACTGTGTATAATACCTACCTCTAGATGTAGCGATTGTCTTGTCTTGTAGGTATTGGATATAAAGAGGGTATATAGGGTAACACTATGTGCAAGACAGCAGCTCGAAGTAAGGACGGATTTCGGTGGCCCCCGCGAATGTGTGTTTGTGGGCGTGGGACGGAAACGACTAGATCAGGTCTACGATAATGCTAGCTCCAGCGTGTCGATGAGCTGGGGAAGGATGGAACGAGGGTTGAACACAGAGCGAGAGAAAAGAAGGAAAATGTATAAATGAACAATGGCATGCTTTGAGGAAAATATGTTTGCTGTGCTAGGCGGGCAAGCTGGAGTGCATCGTGAGAGGGTATGCCTCATATCTTAGCTAAGGCACACAGCAGAGGCAGGAAACAAGATGATGATGCCCATGACCCGATGGAGGGGTGATGCTAGTCCTGGTATGGCCTAGTCCCCTCTCTTATTCCCTTTCAATGTTGCTAGCACACTTGGCACTTGGCAGGGCAGGCAGGCACTTACATACATACGGTAGTACATATACGAACATACCTACACCATAGCTACCTAGGTACCGTAGTACTATTTCCTCATATATGCTATGTTGATTGGCCATTGGTATGTAGATCGATAGGCAATATATCATTCTATTTTGAACATGCCACATAGACCTATTAGGTATGATGTGATAGGGAAGGTGATGTGCTCAAAGATACAGTAGGTAACAACTTCAGCAGTACCTTCCAACGGTAGCTGTTTGTTTGATAAGAAGAGCACTGCAAGAGCTGTCGGCACCCCGCAGGTGTCCACCGCCTGATCATGTTCCTTTCCGAATGTTCCTTTCCGAAGGACCCGACATGGCGGGAAGGCGGGCAACCAAACACACCGACGAATCCCGGACTTAGGGAGTAGTCAACTTGACGATGTGGCCATTGCGATTGTATTGAAGTTGTAGATGGGAATACCTATTCCACCAGTGCCCTTGCCATGTGGCTACATATTGTGATGGTAACTGCCTAGGTACCTAATGCTACAAATTACTATAGAAATTCACAAGGATATAGTTAGGTAGGTATCTATGGCATTCTATCTACCTACCTAGGTAGGGATACCCCAAGATATCAGATACCTACTTATCTAACATAGTGCGGCTCCACATTGTCTTCCGAGAATCTGGATCTGTCCACATTAGTTTTGCTTCGGTATTCCCATCTTTCTCATACCTCTCATATCTCTCACTCACATCTCTCACATGTCAAACGGTCGAAATCACAGTTATCCGTCATGAATGACGACTACTTATCATACCCTGCGCGGTCCAACAGCACCATCACCAGCGACCCCAACTCTCAACATATCCTAGTCTTCTTCGTGCCAGGGAACCCGGGTCTCATCGGCTACTACGCCCCTTTCCTCTCAACCTTACGAGACCTCCTCGACTCCAATGCCTCCCTAGCCGCCACCACCAACTTTCATATCCACGGCCAGAACCTCGCCGGCTTCATAGACGAAGACCACGAGCCCTTCACCTCGCAACGCAAGCCTCACAATCTAGAATACCAAATCCAACACATCCTGACAACAGTAACCAGCCTGCGCACCCCCTCCGGGCCGAAGCAGGGCCAGCCATACGACCATGTTCTTCTCGTCGGCCACTCGGTAGGCGCGTACATCGCCCTCGAGACATGCCACCGCGTCCTCCGCGATCCGTCTCTCGCGCCCCACACAAAACTCTCATCAGGCATTCTCCTGTTCCCCACTATCGAGCACATTACCGATTCCTCCAATGGGTGGAAATTAAACATGCTACGCCAAACCCCACTACTCGGCGACAATGCCTATAGGGTCGCTCAGGGCTTTCTGCGGTTGTGGCCTTACGATACGCTCCACTGGTTCGTGAGCAAGGCTCTCGGCTTCCCGCCTCATGCTGCCGATGTCACGACGCGGTGGCTCAAGAGTCGGGATGGCGTTTGGCAGGCCCTTCATCTTGGCATGGGTATGTGGGTTTGACATTAGTGTGCATTCACTGCTTTTTGAATTCACTCAGTTACTCCCGATTCATCCTCTGCCCCTTCTGCACACAAACGCCTACGCACTTCAACTCATAAAACATAATACCAAGTCATCAAAAGCTAACCACAATGGCTTCAAGATGAGATGCGTGTAATCCGCGAAGACAAGTGGGACAACGAGCTGTGGGATATCGACCAGTCCAGTAAATCCGCCATACCGAGATTTTACTTTTTCTTCGGCCGTCGAGATCATTGGGTCGCCGACCATTACCGCGACGCTTTCATAAAGAAGCGGTCAGAACAAGACAAACGGACTCGCCTCATCGTCGACGAGGCCGATCTCCCTCATGCCTTTTGTATCGGTTAGTTCATTTTCATATCTTCTTACTTCATTTATCCTGAACCTCGTCTTTTTTTTTTTTTCTTCATACCTTGTTTTCTTATGATCCGTATTCGCACTACACATACAACTTATAAGCGTGCCAGTAGATACGCTTTGTAAGCAGATCAAGAGGAAACTCAATAGCTAACGATAAAATCTTTCATTATATCCAGAGCATAGTGAGCCCGTCGCTCAAAAGGTGTATGAGTGGATCCTCGAGATGTTCGGCACTCATACTTGAATCCAACTATGGAGAGTACTAGTACATCAGACCAGGATATCGAGATGTAGTTTGGGGCTATGCACACCTGAATAACATTACTTTCTGGATACCGGGTATTACGTAGAGATCTTTCAGGCCTCGAAGAAGTTGACTTGGGGCCAAGATCTGGGGTTCTGACTGACAATACGATTGGTAGCTCCCCTTCTCCGAACCGTCCCCCAAAATACATAACATACATGCACATAGATATGCACAGCGTTTGATAGACAACCGTATAGAATAATGCATATTAACATCAGCGAGCATACATGACACCGATACCTCTCCTACATAACCCTTCCTGGCCCCCTTTTCTAGGCCTTACGTCTCGTCTCTTCAGCACACAACATGAAACAGAAAATCACCATTGCTCTTGAACAAATTAAGTAGTGAAAATATCTAATAAACCTTCCAATCAATGCGATATAATATTAAATTACGCCCGTGTTCAAAGAACCTCCCTGTGAATATAGACTACAAGTATAGCTCTCCATATTCAAATCCGGCACTCAATCTCTCCATTTCCTCGACCGAGCCAGTTTGGTTATCCACCCATATTCCAGCAACAAAGGATCCTCCTCCGGCTTAATCATACTCAGCCAGCGCCAAAGTAACCCCGCTACGAATCCATCATCGCAAAGAGGATTAATTAAAAAGGGGCGAATCTTGATCGTGTGTGCTGTGACGGATTGTCTGTGCGGCAATGGGGGTGCGACTGCGGCGTGGCCTGAGCACGGCTGTGCTGAGGATGAGATTGAGCTACCCGTGCTACATACTCCGAAGAGAATGACGCACGTTCGAAAATGTCGTATAAAAAAGTAAGAATCATCTGCCTTCTACGCCTTCTTACGTACCCTACCTACCTCCTCCACATAAACTCTCCTATCAGTTCATCGAGCACGAAGATCAAATTACAAGGTCAGATGACAAAATCACACAGCCTTCAGAATGAGTAGACTATACTTACGCAAATGCAATTCAACGCCAGACAAGAATTAATAATGGAGTTCTATGTTCTAGATTCCAACTTCACCCCGTACGGGGTAGCTGCAAGAACATACATATCCTACAAATATCAAAGAGGCCACGCCAGGGAAACACGCGATGGAAACCGAACCAATAACCTTCGCCGTTGTCATGACAATGTCTATTTGTAGAGAAAACGCCAACGAGAAAAATGTGCCTTCTTTACACAACAGGTCCATTACAAAGCAACCATGGCGGCACCGGTGCCCATGGCAACGAGCACATATAGACCAACGGCCATGCTACCCAAAGTAAAAACTGGGCTGGATGGGATGAGACCAGGAGCGGCATTATCACTCGTCTCCGAGCCGGAGCTAGAGCCAGATCCAGATCCAGATCCAGAGGCACCACCCACGTTTGCAGTGGCTGTAGCAGCTTGCGCAACGGCGGTGCTAGCCTTGTCAAGAGCTGACTCGCACCTGTGCAATTTGTAATTAGCATATGATCATAGAATGAGTACATGTATATCCAAGTAACTTACGAGGATGCGACTGAAGGGTTGCCCTGAACCTCAGCCATACCGTCAAAGTCACAGGCGTAGGATCCCTTGTTCTGGTTGTTGTAGAAGGCGTCAAGAACGTGACCAAGCTGTTCCTTGGGGTTGCACATGCTGTAAGGGCCATAGACGCCAGCCTCGGGATCATGCTTAATGCCCGCGCAAGCCTTCTCGTCCTTCTCACAGATGTAGCCGAAAATTTCACCGTAATCCTTCTTGTCAAGGTTCTTGGCAGGTGCGCAAGAGAGGGACTTGAACATGCAGTCACAAAGGTTGCTGTCCGGGGTAGGAGGAAGGGTCTCGCCGACCTTCCAGTTCTTCGAAATACCAGGGCAAGCAGCAGGAGAGTTTGTGGGCTTGTAGGCGCTCAAGGAGGTGGAGCTGGGGTCAACGGCGGCAAGCTTGCTCTTGAGGACATCGTAGTTCTTGAGCGTCTTGACTTGGTCACCAGTGACCTTGGCAACACCATAGTCGTTCTTTTCCTCGTGGAACATGTAAACAATACCACCGCTGAATACACCAGTCATCTTATCCGAGTAGAGGGCAGTAGTATCATCCCAAAGGCGGCCTTCAGCGCCACCGACCGTGTTGCAACCGTATTCGGCGAAGAAAACGGGAACCGAGTAATTAGAGAAGAATTTGACCTGAACATCGTAGCCGGACTCCTCGAAGCTGCTCTTACCACACCATGAGTAGATGTTGTAGCCCCAGAAGTCAATGGCCTCTTCTTCTTGACCACAGTTGAAGAATTGGGCCATGTCAACACGAATTTCGGCATCATCGTTGGCAGCATAACCAACACCCATCCAGCGTCCACCATCAGCCATCTTGTCGGCGATATACTTCTTGGTATCACGGGTGGCGGCCTTGACGTAAGCAGAAGCACCAGCTTTAAATGACAAGTTAGCGGTTAAAATGAAGTGATGGCGCTAAGTGTGAAGAGCAATTGCTTATCGCACCTAGGAAAATAGATAGACATAGAAACTTACTGTTGGTAGCATTGTTGGTGACTTCGTTGCCGGAGAAGAAGCCGATAGTATTGTCGTATTTGCCGAGGTTGTCAATAACCCCCTTGTATCGCTCGAACAACTCGACATTCCAGACAGGGTCGTCACGGTTGATGGACAAGAGAGGGTCGCCAAGATCAGCGATGACATAGATTCCTGCATCGTCGAGCATCTTCATACAGGCCGAGTGGTCCTTATCGGGGTTGATGGCGTAGGTTCGGATAACATTGACACCCAGCTTTTCGAGAAGGGGAATATCTCGCTTGCAAACCGATGCGTCGGCAAGAGGGTCGACGTACTTGTTGCTACCCGACGTGTCACCGCCAGGGCCGGTGCCAGCCTCCTGCTGGTAAGCGATGCCCTTCAAGTAGAACTGGTCACCGCTCTTGGTGAAGAATTTAGATCCCTGTTTTCACCGCGACCGTGTCAGTCTGCGTCCAAACCCACTAGCCATTTGCACTGCTAGCATAAGCTTACCTTCACAATGATGGGTTCTAACGAGGCGTTGGCGGCGGCCAACAGCATGGACGAGGCCAAAGCCGTGCGAAGAAAACCCATGGTTATTAATATGAATTGCCTTCTTGCTGTATCAAAAGGTAAGGATTGCTGAGATGTTCGAGGTTTAACGTCCAACTGAGCTGTCGCCAAGCGTGTCGGTCCCACGATTCCAAACTAGCCTTGGTTGAGATTGTTCTGGTATGCTGTTTGTTTGTCTCAAGCCTCGTTACTGATATAAGACACAGAACTCTGCAAGTGGCCGCTGATTAAACTGTATAGTGGTAAACAACGAGAGAGTGTGTTGCGGACTCTTGACCTGGAAGAGTGCCGAGCGAGCTGGTTCAGACTAAGGAACGTGAGAGAAGTTGGATATCTGGGGACTAAACGAGTGTCGTGTTTCTGACTTCCTGCTGAGCGGGCGATGTCCAACTGGATGACGCAGTCCAAGAGTCGGAAAGGGATAAGACAGAAACAGAGAGAGAGGGAGAGAGAGAAAAACAGTGGTGTGAAGAGGATTAGGTTTTTGAGGTCGAGATGTAGGGGAAGGTCGAGCTGGTAGAAAAAGGGTGAAAGAAATACGAGGTCATCTCAACCAGAGCCTAGGCAGGGAGTACCTACTACACTAGGTAGATACCTGCCTTCTGATCTCAGAAAGGTATCTACCTCTGCTGTTTCCCCTGTACTACCTACTCAGTATGGCACCGTGCTAACTGTTGATAGGCCAGATAGGTGCTGGATTGCAGGGCAGAGTAGGGTTGTTAAAGCCTTGGAATGGCAGACTCCTTGAAGCAAATCACCAGCCTTTCCACACACACACACACACACACTGTGTCAGTACTTTACCGTCCACCTAAGGAAGTACCTGCCCAATCATCACAGGTACCTTTGGTATCTGTATACTATGTGTACTGATCATCTCCCAACCCACACTATCTACACCACTTAGTATGTGCAACTTGGCGCGTCCGTCACTCGGCACTAGCGTGCTAGGTTTCGCCTCTCCGTTCGAGCTTCTGGCTAGAATACATAGTAGGTGTCTACAATAAAAGTACCTACACCAACATTCGCGGTTGGCAACGCCCAAAGGTCGAAGGTAGGTAGGTAGTAAAGGGGGCGTCTCGCTGTGCCAATTTACATGTGCAGTTAGCTGTATTGTTCTGTGTGATTGCCCAAAGAAGATAGACAATTGCCCGGGTGGGCAAGGTGGGGCTATAGAGAGGTTCTGTGGTGGGGCGCGCACCCCCCTGATCTGCCAGCTTTAGTGTACTTAGCACATGCACCTGGTCCCTGTATTGTTGCCCACACTCGGCTAAAAGCGCACTAAAACATGGCTGGCCAGACTGGCTATTGGGCAGGCTCAGGGGGCCTCGGCAGGGTGGGCACGATCAATCGACAGGGGTACTTTCCCGCCAATGCAGGAACGCTCATCACCAACCAGACACCAACCCTGCACCAGACAAACAGGACAAACAATAGGAGGTCTTGGAAATTGCCATCCGCAAGGGGACACCAACAAGCGAAGTGAAGAAACACATTTTCATGGCGGTGTACCGCATAACAGCCACGCTTCTGGGCACCTTGGGCCTGATCTGGGCAGGATCTGGGCACTTAGTGTAATAGGTATTGTATGGGCTCAATACCTACCTATCTCTTTCGTCTTCTCCTTCGAATCAAGTGGGATGAATCATGGCTTAACGTGGTAGGTTCTCACTAAGTACGTACACTAAGTCCGCGAACACATGATTCTAACGGGCTGCTGGTTCTACTCAAGGTGTCAAGTCCACTCCTCAGTCCCTAGGACAAGTCGGAGGGCAAGTCGGAGGACAAGTGTTAGGTACCTACTCAGTAAGTAGTGCGTCCGACAGTTAGTAGTGTATGTACTAATGAGTAGTAATTACTAGCACTTTGCTGGAAGCGGCGTCTTCATTCGAATGCCAAGGCTATCTGGACTGATCAGACGCCTTCTAACGATTCACGTACAAAATCCATCTTCCGTCCTGGTTCTGCTCTCATCTGCCTCCAAAGAGACCTAGGACAGACCAGAAGACAGTCGCTACCCATGAATATGATATGCCTGTGATTTTCAGGGAAGTGGGAAGATAGGGAGCAAGCAATCCATTGATCTCTCCCGACTCCTACACGTACGTATGTACATATGATTTCATATCCACCTATCCAAGACTTAAACATCCCGTAGCTGGCGTGCAATGACGCGTACCATTCTTCCGCTCACTTAAACTCGGCCGGTTCATTGGTTTCAAACATGAGCTACACCGGATCGTCTAGCATGGCAGATCTCGGCAGATCTTGGCCCACCGCCGTATCTTGGACGCTACACAGCCACCGCCGAGGCTCTACCGATCTCCACAATGCCCGTTAATGCCATCGACTATCACAACTTCCGCCCGGCTTCTGTTCAGTCCTGTCCACATATCGGCCCAGTTTTTCCCACCCTCTGTTTACTTACTGCATTCTCCGTCTCTGTCCGTCCGTTTCATTCGTGGACCTGCGACAGAGTCATGGGAATGAGGATATGCAACAAATTGCGTAAGCATGTAACAGATTCATGGACCGGGACCACCTGCTAGCGAGGCTGTCGGGCCGTCTACACTGGGCCTTTTAGAGCCTTCCGAGACTGATTATGTACCGTGTAGAAATGTCATGTTGCGTTGCAGCACAGCTAACAGGGAACTACATAACAAGGAGACGGCAGTTATTGGTTTGCACTGCAAGACTGGATTACACTTGCTTGTCTCTGCTGAGCAATCCCTCTAGATCCCTCGTCATCTAGACCTATTTTTCACCTCTATGACGCTGACGAATTCAATGGGACTTGCCATTTTGGGCAGTGGACTTATTGATCTATTCTATTCTACCTCTAGGATTCTATACTTTAATGCCTTGATCATTTGCACCAAACCCAAAGATTCACGGGCAGGTAGGTATCAGCTAGGAACTGAGAGGCCTGCTTCCCAATCACTCGCCCTCGTCACTCTCTATGACGAAGGCGGCTGAACCATTGCTAAACTTTGGTTCCACATACTCCGGCATGGGCGCCACGGGGTACTGCTTATTTACTATCTTCTTCGCCTTTGTCCCGAATGACGCTTCCCAAGGTGTCTTCATCGTCTTAGGCACCTCCCAGCTAAGTTCTGAATTTCGAAGCCAGAGACGGACAAGGTGTCGCGTAGCAGAGTCGCTGTCTTCATAAGGCTCACGCGCATGTAGGACACTCCAGTTGTTGATAAATATCATGTCACCCTGCTGTGTGGGCAGTCGTATCTGCTGCGCCGCGGCTGTGTCTTGTACCAATGCCAAGGCTAGCTTCTGTGCTGGGAGCAGACCGGGAATTCTACCCGCCTCCATGGCCGGATGAGGTCCGATACGACCCGGATCAACTGACATAACAAGATTCCCTGATTGGAATCCGAGGAGCGGGCCGAGAACAAATGGTGCAGCTCCTGGTCTTGTGCTTCTGGCTGGCTTGTGAGCATGATGACTGGCCGCTATGATGAAAGATGTTATATGTGACTATATCGTCAAGGTAACGACTCACATTTGTATAGGCCACTTAGGTTCTGCCAATACATGTACTGCCCAAGGCTGGATCCTCATCAGAGCGTTATACACGGCTGCTGCCGATGCCACACTTGTTTGGCCGCCCTGAGCGGCACAGTTGCGGATATGAATGGCCAGAATCTCGCATCCCATGTCGTTGTGGAAAGGCTGATAAGCTGCATTAGTGCCATGACCGTTTAATGAGGCAGGATGGTCTTACAAGACCCTTGTTTGTGTGGATTCCATGACGCTTTGCGCGGGGAACGGTCCAGAACTTGGACTCGTACACATGACCTGATACGTTCGTTCAGCATTGTTTGGTCAAAACGTCGGACTCATAGACTCACTCAGCATCGCACCCTTGGCATTTTGCATTCCTCTTTGATCACCAATGTAGCTGGCGAGTCCGAGGAATATGATGGTATTATCTTCTGCCGAGTGCTTTTCAGGTGCAAGTCCTCGGACAACACAGATGCCGCTTCCTCGGTGAATATTGACCGCACAATCCCTGAGTTGAGAACCCAAGATAGGAAGAGGGAAATTTTCATTGCTTACTTCGTTTCCGTCTAGTCCGAGACCTGTCGAGTAAGGGTCAGTCTTGTTCCTACCAACGCTTAGACTTTGGATAATGTGCTATACCGAGGAAGTGCTTGAGGGCCTGTTCTATCTCAGCTATACCCGCCTGTCCTAGTTCAAGAGCTGGCGGTTGAGAAAGCACATCATCTTCCGCAGACCACACGGCAGGGCCCTGGATTGAAGGAGGAAATCCACGTGGTGGCTGAGCTGGCGTTTGGCCATGGGACGAGGGGGACATTGCAAGCTCCTGCTCTCCATGATCCGGCCAACCTCCAAGGCCAGTGAGACCGTGAGAGATCGCTGGACAGATATTAGTCGTCATGTTTCCTGTCCAAGAAGGTAGTGCAATCGATGATATCTCCACGGAGCCAAAAAGGCCTGATGCTGGCCATTGTCAGACCCATTTATACTGAATACTGACCTAATCAGATCTGCCGGCGTCCTGAACATCGATCGTCAATGTCAAACTCCAATTTCTGGCGCAACGTCGCGCTCGGTTGCCAGCGTCCACAGCTTACATTTGGTTTGCTGTTTTTGAGCAAACTTGCAAAGACCGAAACACCAACGCCATAGTCGAACGTTGCTTCCGAGAGACTGGTACGTGGTGACATGACGTCTTGAGCCCCTGTGTCCCAGTGATGTGGGAAAAGCACAGCGTCTTGTGCCAATTGTAGCTTTGCCTCTTTTGAGACGAAGACTACATTCAAAACTATTCGATTGCATAACGCGGATTGCAGCAGTAAACGAGTCTTGTTTGTAGGTTGCCGAGCGAGACGCCACGGTTCTACAAATTCGACGAGACCTCGCAAACTATTTCTCTATACAACGTAATGTGAGAGTCATCGGCATCTGAGCTACAATCTGATAGGGCTGGATAGCCTAGGGCCAGATAGGAAGCGGGGAAATACAAGCCGATGTCTCACAATGGACGCACCATAAATAGATAGCTGATGAAGGGGCAGCAACAGTTTGTTTTTCTTTTCTCTGTCTTGATTGATGCAGGAGATTGTCCGATGAATAGAGTGTAGTAGGCGTCATAAGCAAAGAGACTCATTGACCTTCACCTAGACTCTTAATAGAGTGTGGTCTAAGAATGAGGGACGAAAAGGTAGAAGAGAAACCTGGATTGGGTGGGCATTGGCCTATGTTTACCCAAATGTTTTTCGGGTGTTTGTGATCCCTAACACACGCCCAACCCAGGTGAAGCCGAAGCTCGGGTGTACTGACACAACAGCCTTCTACAGACGTTCATCCTCGTGGCTATCTATCTCCGCGGTGATTGTTATGTAGCGTTTAGTGCAATCCTACCCGGGCGTTTGCTTGTACATAGGAGTGGAGTATCACCAGGCTGGCTGCCGAGCTTGGGCAACTGCTTTCTGCTCTAAGTTTATTGTGTGCTCCTTGGAGCTCAAAATGAGGTACCCAAGACAAGCAGGCAGATGACCGTACTACTTGAGATCCCCGCCTGTACACCGGTTGGAACTGAGCGAGTCGAATGACTTTGCGGCTTTCCAATCTACCTCTCAAGCACAACCTACCTTGTCACATTAGACTCACGTATAGACAAGTGGTACCTTCATTACAGGCGAAGCAGGCTCGGTTGGATTTGCCCAATTTTGAACGCCTAGACGAGATCTGACGCTCTGCACGCACCGGCTAGATCCGATTCCCGCAGCTGATTTCCGTCTCTCGTCCCAAGTTCCCTCAGTCGTACCAAGCATCCGGTAGCGGGGCGCTGGCAATGGATGAGGTGATGGTGAAGAAGGGGATCAAAAGGACCAGCCATCAACTTCCCACGGAGAAAAGGAGACTACAGCCGAAGTCACCGTCGCCATCAAATAGGTCCTACTCAAGAGCATGGGAAGGACAAAGCGCTACAGCTCTAGCCGCTGCTGTCATCCCGCCTCCTCTCTTTCTCTCTCTACCTCCTGAAGCCATCACATCTAGCGGTAATACTGATCCATTATGGGGAGGTCCGACCAGGTGGAGCTTGGCCATGGCTCCGGGACCGCCATCAAGTTGGGATCAAACCGATGCGTTCGCTACAATGACCAATATGGGCTTTGCGTCACAGAATACAGTACAAGATAGGGACAACGATGTCTTCTCTGCACCCAACACAGAACTGGGGTTTCCAGTCACCGCCATCAACGACATGGCTGCCGTCAATGCTCGTGCAAGTCATGGCGAGGGCGGTATTGAAGACTGCCTCCCAAATAAGCCGCTCGAGAGGTGGCAAGTCCCCAACCATAGCACTACACCTGTCTATACCCCTTCTTTTGCAAATCTGCTTCATTACCCAACATTGCCCTACACGGATGCCCACGCCTACACTCATACTCGCCCTCAATCCACGGATTCGATAGGCCTCTTCGTCTCGGGGAGCAACATCGCCGAATATCACCACGGTTTCACGAGCGCGGGTGATGGGGTTACTACTAGTACCCCGTTCCGAAATCCCCTCGTCGGCCTTCCCGAAGCACTTGCGTTTCCTTGCTACGAAAAGCCACGTACTTCCTCGGGCGCGTTGCTGGAACCTACAAACAAATTCCCTGTTGCACATTGTCATGCTGGACATGTACCCGATGTGAGCCGTTATCTCGGTCCCGACGACTTCCATCTTCCTGGCAATAATGAACCGTGGTACGAAGAGGTAATACCGGCACCCTCGTTCGACAACAACACTGTCACCCGACCATCACCTCAAAATCGCTCGTTGTTTGTCGGCGAGCCCAGATGGGATGATGGCCTCAAACGAGCGATTGTAGAAATGGGAGGGCCAATCCCCAGCGCGCGCGGGGTTGCCCCGGACGAAGAGAAGGCTCAGCGACCCCGTCGTCCCCGCGGCCAGCTACTCCCCAAAGACCGCGAAGAAACGAGCAACACCCGCAAACGAAAGGCCTGTATTCGCTGTCGGATGCAAAAGATCCGGGTAGGTCACTCACTTAACTCATACTCTCATCAAGGAAAATTTTCTATTCTAGAATTTGAAGGAACCCCAACCCTAGCATTGTCGCGTCGCACGAGGTTCTAATTGCTACATTGACAGTGCATACCCGATCCCAGCAAGCCCGAGACGGAGTGTTGTCTGTGCTGCCGGAAGGTGCTGCTCCTCGAGACCAAGAAGGTCATCCATCGAATCCCGTGCCTGCGGTGGAATCTGAACGAAGCGGTCCTGTTTCGCGTGGGCGGGCTGGGTCTGACCAAGCGGTGGACGGGGGTCTCGGTCGAGAATATCCAGCACTGCGACTGGGCCGACGAGCGCATCGTCACTATCTACATAGGCATCACGACGCTACTTTGCGACGCCCTGCCGCTGAAAGTAAGACGCTTCAAGCCGAACAGTACCGATGTCCAGCACCGCTATTGGCAGAGCAAGGAGACGGAGCCGCCCATCTTGATCCATGTCCCTGCGTATGCCCTCGCCGACGTCGATGCCGCTTCGGTGGATTACCGGCGATTCATTGGGATGAACGCTGAAGAGGCTATTCGTCGATTCACGAAGGATCCGAAAGTTGACGATTATGTGCGATGCACGTTTACGATGGCGTAAGTATACTTTACTCCTTACGATAGTATTGATAAAACGACCGATAAGGATTCCAACTATCCATCCATACCTATTAACTTGATTGCTGTGCACATTTAAGCTAATGATGATGTTCAAATTATCCGTTCTAGTTTAGTCCACAGCGCCAAGGTCGCGAATAAAGGCTTTGGCAAGACCAAAGGAGATCCAGCAAAGTTATTCCGTAGTTATTTCCAACTATGGCTGGCATCGCGTAAGTATTACTATTCACTATTTCCTTAAACAAGAAAATTACCAGGTTTTCCCCGAATACTTACTAACACGTCGCCTGTGCAAGGCTTCACCATCGGCACGGCATATATCGCCAACGGCCACGAGGCGCTCGAAGGAGGCACCACGGACCATCCCCCGGACGGCAAACACTTCGTATCTAGGATGGTCACAGCCCAGTTCGACTCCATCGGGTATAAACATGTGCTGGCTAAGCTGAAGAGAGAGGTCCTCGAGGAACTCTGGCTACTCATGCAGAAGCGCACCGAAGCCACGTTCTTCACGGTGTACCTTGTTGTGTTTATGCTGCTGCATGAGATTGCTGTTGCGTGTCAGGATCGGAGAAGGCGGGCCAGGGAGATGGGGCTTCCGGTATGTGCTTCTGTTCTTTTTCTATCATACGCACTGATATCTACATTACATCCTATTTGTCATTCATCCTATCAGCCCCTTTTTGTTTGACCGATGGGATACACATCCGATGTATTGGCGAAGTCAAATAAAGCAGACTAGGGCAGAACAGAGCAGGGATAGACAGCAGTCTAACTTACCATAAATGATAGACATACTATGACCTCGAAGACGTCGCGTCCAAGATCCAGCACGGCGCCGACATCATCCTCGGCCATTGGCATTATTACAAGGGAGACCTCGACCCGCTGTCGATGAACCTGGGGAGTAAGATGAGGGCTTTCGGCACCGAGAATGAGCCGGAAGTCAGCCTTCTTGTCACGACGTGTGAAAAGTATGCGGAGATGAGTGAGTTTTTTCTTTTTCTTTCTTTTTAATCTCTCTCTTCGTGTTATATAACTCCCTCATCATCCATCCCTTTATCTCTCACTAGATAAGGCACCGAATTGATTTGTGACGACAACTGCTAATCTCTTAATGCACAATAGAGAAGGTGTCACGCAACGAGATGGGCTGGGAGCAGGACCCCCTCCACCTCGTGTCGCTCATGTTTGAGCGGAACTGGCAGCCTCTGGAGAGCTGCTGGCCTTAGATTTCTATGAGTTATGGTAAAGGAAGGCAACACTGTTATTGATTTGGCGTTCGATACGGAGATACATGTTTCCCTCTCTATTTATTTTTGTCGTTGTTCATATTTATCGAAACGGGACACCTAATACTAGAGTATGGCAAAGAGACACGGGGAACTCTTGGGCAACGCAGTGGAAAGCATGAGATCAGGTATCTCGTGAGGACTACTGAGGTATGGTTTATGATGATTTATGCTTGGAGCTACCTATTGCTAACGAATGAGCATATAGCTAGAGTTCAACGCTGATCTGGGTTGATATTTGTACAGGTAGTGGATGGATTAGGGAGGCGCAGAATGCTGGCAACAGGCTGCATCTCCAACGATATGGATCTTATAGATTAAGTACCTACCTAGTTTGGATATTTGGAGTATAATAGGGACTGGGAGGTAGATGTTTTTCATGTACTTAACTTGGGTTGTAGGGGATTTTAGGATTATTTGGTTGATATTATTCTTTCTTGGTGGGTACTTATTTTCCTGCCTTCTGTTAGAATTAGAATATTCTATTCTTGAAACCATTTCCATTCTCTAATGCTTCTTTAAAGAGAAAGATTATAGAAATACACACATTACTTATTACTTCATGATGACACTGGCTTCGGAGCGGATGAGATGAGATTGATGGCGGGAAGCCGTGCCCCCACTATTTAGAGACCCTGGCTACGTGTACACATGTACCCATGTACCCATGTACCTTACAGTTCTTGGATATCTGTCCATCAATTTCATTTAGCATTCATCCCTCCATCATCTACAACTTGACAGACAGACAGATAGCAACGCCATTGCGTCGCATAGTTCGAGACATTATACAACATTCACTATTCGAGGTTCAACATCGGAATCATACCACTTTCTAAACGACTCACCTCGCTGCGCCTATCCATCGTCTCACCTATTCTCTCGGGCTGTGATCCAAGAATCCATCCACCTTCTCTTCCTCCCACATACACCACACAACAAAACCACCACAATGTCCGACCTAGACACATTCACGCTTCTCCCCCTCCACATTGACCCGCAATCCAAAGCCGTCGAGTCCCCGTCCACCTCGAAATCCCTCGGCGCCGAACTCAGCATCCTCAACGCGCTCCACCGGACCCTCCTCAGCCTCGAGACACCGCACAACGTGCCCCCGCCCCCCATCCCCGTGAACCCGAAGCGCTCGGCGAACATCAACAAGCTCCGCGAGAACGCCAACGCCGAGCACCGCAAGGGCAAGCACGCCGACGCCGTCAAGCTGTACACGCTGGGCATCCAAATGGCGCTCTCGCGACCCCTCTGGGAACCGCAAGGTCTCGTGCGCGAGGAAGTCGCCGAGCTATACGCGAACCGCGCGCAGAGCTACATGGCGCAGCAGCTGTGGGCCGAGGGCGCCATCGACGCGGAGATGAGCGTGGAGGCGAAGCGCGGCGGGAACGCGAAGGCGTGGTGTAGACGCGGGAAGTGTCTTTTGGAGATGGGACGGCTGGAGGAGAGCCGGGATTGGTGCAGGAAGGGGATGGAGATGGAGAGTAATGATGCTGAATTAGCTGCGTTGTTGAAGGAGGTTGAGACGAAGATGGGGGTGGGGAAGGGAGGGGAGGAATAAATAAATGAATGAATGAATGAATGAATGAGTAGTGCGTGTTTTGATGGAAGAGAGCAGAAAAGAGAGATGGGATGATTGAGTCCTTTTCGTTCCCGGGGCTGCCTACGGCCCCTCGTGAACTCGTGTCTGTCTGTTACTGCGTCTATGATGGCATGCGCCGTCGCTGCTTGCTTGCTGCTCTACCCATATACTTTTCGAGCTGGAACGGCGTTTGGCGTTGGCGAGAGCGAGGCTTATATAAAGGCTAGGTCCCTAGCCAACTGGCTAGCTAGCTAGCTATATATTGTTGAAAACCTCTAGATGGGTTTATATGTTATGATAGCATTTCAGCCTTGATCGCTTCAGCCGTGTGTACGTCCCTGGAGTCCATGCTGTCATATGCTGTATACCAGCTAGCATACATACATACATATATAGCACAACGAAATGAAATGAAACGTCCAGCTCCATCTCACGCTTTGAGAAGAAACATCACTATACACACACACATATATATAGAGAGAGAGAGAGAGGACGATTATCTCATATAGTATAGTACGTAGCACAGAAGCCGTTTGCACACAAGCTCTCTTACCATCATCTACGCAGTGAAAGCGTGCTGAGAAAAGACAATATTGATGGACTTGATATGTATTGAGGGACCCCCAAGAACGGGCCCTAGAAAAGGAACATGGGCTAGACATGCTATAAAAATCAACTTTGATGATGGTGTCAATATGCTATGATGTACATGATGTTAACAACAGTAAGAGAGTGGGTATTTCTCCTCGATCAATTAGACATGAGGTTGCGGTTTCTGTCTCTCTTCTTGGAAGTGGTTGTCCTGGGCTGTCTGATTCCGGCTCCACTGCATACCGAGGGAGTCGTTGTTTTTAGTTTTAGTTTTTTTCTTTCCAACCTCACTCCAAGAATGGGTAGTTGTAGTACCTCTACCTGTAGCCGTAATTTTTGTGTAGCGACGAATGAGCCAGCCTTGTAGGTGCCGTTCCGAGGTGTCACAACAGCGACAACAGCTCATGTACAGATCTGGTCTCCCGCCCTCGCTGTCTTGTCCTGTCTTTTCTACCTCGCTCCCCCCGCTCCGTCTATTCGCCGATCTGTCTGGCTGCTTGGAACCATACTTTGCTCCCATAAGAGGCCGCACGCCATTCGTTTCTGCGCATTCTATTACCGCAACCACCTGTGGTTTCCCATTGTACCAGTGCCATATGCATGTCCGATAGCTTGCTTCTTTACCAAAAAAAATATTTCCCAAGTGCTTCGTCACTCTATAGTTCTTCTTTCTCCTTCTCGCTAATAATATGCTTTCGCGGTCGCATCTCAGCGTCTTGGCTCGTCATGCGGCGGTCCAGGGCGCGGTCGAGCTTGGCGCCCAGCGCCAACTTGCTCATATTTGCCGTCTTCTCCTCGGAGAGCACGACGCGCTGCAAGGAGAGAGCCTTGTTTTCCATGCGTGCCAGACCTGACTCGATAATGCGGATGTCGGCATGCGCCGAATCGTTCGTCCTCATGGTCGGGGCCAAAGAGGGCGCCATTGTGCTGTAGGTGCTTAGACGGACTGAGGCCCGGGGAGAGACGAGCTGTGGCGGGAAGGGTTAGTACGAGAGGGTGTCGACGGGCGTGCGACTTTGATCTTATGTGTTGAGAGGAGAAAGGGATAAGGTTGCTCGTTGGTGGGAGTGAATGAAGGGATGAATTGATTGATTGATGATTGACTAGCGAAGCGCCTAAGGCAAGGTGAAAGGCAAAGTAATGGGGGGGGCAATTGTGGGTTAAGAACGTACCGAGGGTGCCATGATAGGGCGAGATGAATCCAAAGACGTAGGCATTGTGCGAAGGGGATTGGTGACGTGAGGGCAGGGCGGCGTCGGTTTTTGTTGATGGAATCCTATTGTTGTTGTCGTGGCTGCGTTGTTCTTCGTTCACTCGTCGCGTGACTCGGAGGGGTGGGACAAAAGGTGAAACACAGGTCTGTGAGGTCCTTTGTGTACTGTGGTGGATATGATTCACCTCCTACCAGTCTACATGTAAGTCTGCCGGCAAGTACCAGCGTGGAAACCAAGAGATGAATGATGGTGTGTGCCCAAGGGCGATGGCAGAGGGGATCGACGGTGGAATGGACGGTGGATATGAGCGAGGATGTTAGGTCGAAAGTCAGGCCGGTAGGTGAGAAAGACGATGTCTGGATAAGGCAAGGTAAGGCAAGGTAAGGCAAGGCAAGGGAAAGTGAAGCAAGCGTACACTAGATACCGTATTACCTACACTACTTACACTACCGGGTAAGTATCAGGCGTGATATCGGGCGAGACAGGGTCTGGCCAAGACGCGTGAACAGGCTTGGCAAGGATGTGAATTGCGTCTCCTTGAGACAACTCTCGACTCTCCAAGTAAAAGTACCTAGACTCTGCTAGACTACTGTGGTGTTTTCTCTCTAGGCTGTCTCTTTTTTTCGTGATAAGAACCGAAACAGAAAAGAGTACCGGGTGCGCCACAAGGCAAAAAAGGGTCAAGGGTTTTGAAGATACCAAGTGGACTTACTATGTAGTAGTGGTAGTAGTAGCGCACACGTACCTGGCATGTATTTATGCTAGCGGATGGACTATCCTCAGGATAGAGCTTACTTCGGAGGGATGGTGATCTACTAACCTCATCTATACCCATATATCCGGCCACTGAACAACAGAACGAAGAGAATTGTTTGATGGGAAACAGTCGACAGGCGAGACAGGGAAAGGGAACAGGAGATGGACAAGGGCGACGACGAGGCTCGGTGGATACCAGAGGTTAGGTAGGGTGCTATGTAAGATTTTGGGAGATTGGCGCACGTGTAGGGGGTACCTCTGTGTCAGATGCTCTACATGTATCTCCATGTACATGCCATACATACTGGAGTATATTATAGGTATATGATAGGAGAAGCAACTGTTTCCAGCAAGTCCTCCGCTCCGATCTACATAAGTATCTGGGAGGCTATTGAGATGGACGGCATAGCTAACCTCATATACTTATATGCTAGATGTTCTTTTTGACACCACATGAGCGACTAGGGATCCAAATTAGACATCTAATATTGTTCATGCTGGCGATCGAGTCAACACCAAAAGAGACAAGGAGACCAAGAAAGGGACTTTACAGTAGGTACCAGCCTCAGTGATATGTGCAGTGATACGGTACCTATGTGTGATGATATGTGCGGTGATATGTGCAGTGACAAGTATGTGCAGGACCGATACAGGACACTACTTCTCCACGTGCAAATGCGCGGGTAGTGCAACTTGGGTGCATAATTAGGTAGCCGCTATCACCTCGGTAGGTACTTGAGGTAGGTATCCACTGCTACCTAACCTGCCCGCCCGCAGACTGCCCGCCTGCACTGACTCATTGCAGCTGTCCAGTGATAGCTACTGTCGCATCCGCGAAAGGATAGTCGAGATTATACCTTTCTTCCTGCTCGCCAGAATTGATAAAGCATGGTAGGTAGGTAGGTATTACGGGGCGAATGAGGTAAGTGACTTACTGAATACATAACGTAATGCATGTATTGTCAAGGGGGGTTGAAACAAGGTGATGCTACGCTATGCGCACATACATACTCTGTATTGAAGAGAGAGAGAGCGAGGCGGGGCATGTGGTATCGAAGGGCAGCAAAGGGCACGAAAGGGCATAAAGGGCGAAGGGCCCTTAGCATCCTGGCATGAATCGTGGAATTACTGATGGTAGTAAGCCGACGGAGGATTGCCATGTGTAGAATAGAGAAATTCAACCCGTCCAACAGCCTACTATCACTTTAAGGGCCACAAGACCTCCGTGACCTGCCAAGACACTAATTTAAGCCCTACATCCAATCAGAGCAGCTAAAGTAATAGTTACTTCTATTCCCATATTAATTTTACCTATGCTAAATATAACTATAACTATTATTATTATAAAGTGCTACATTATACTCCTTATAGTTAAAGATTATTTAACTCCTTTTTTTAATATTAATATTATTATTAATTCTATTTAAAATAACCCGTTTTTAACTATTAATTAAAAAGCCCTTATAGGCCTTACACTTGCTTTTCCGCTTTTAATTAATTAATTAATAGCTTAAAGGCTCTTTTTTAAAGCTATTTATATTAAAAAAGCTTTTTTTGCTAACCTTTAACTTATAGCTATATTCTTTAAAAAGAGCCTTTATTACGGCTTACTTTTAAGTATGTTATTCTTTATATAGCTTCCAAGTTATATATTAAGCCCATTTCTATAATAAAAAGGTATTATAAAGGATTAATTAAAGGATAAATTATAAAAATATATACTTTTTATAACCCTTATAGATTTAATAGTTTTAAAAGTTATATAAATATAATTAATTAATTATATTAATCTTAGCTTTAAATTTATTATAGTTATAAATAATTATTAATAATATTATTAATTTAATACCTTTATTATTAAAATAAACTTTTTTAAACTTTATTAATAATTATTTTTAAAGGGTAAAAAGGTTAACTTTATTACTTAAATAAATAAATAATATAAATAAGTAAATAATGTTACCTTTATATAAAAATTATTATATTTTACTATTTTTTATAGTTTTATATTAAAAGTTATTTTAAAGTAATAGGTTTTCTTTTTTATTCTTTTTTTTAACTTTAATAAAGTTCTTAAAAAAACTAATGCAATTTTTAATAATAATTATTATTTTATAGTTTAACACATCTTCCACTTAACCTGGCCACCCAATTGACCTGGCCACCCCCCTAGCCCATATAAATAACGTCGGTACGCTAATCACGTGATAATTTAATAACTCTATAAATATTAATCGTATAAAATAACAAAATATACCATTAGATTCGTAATAAAAAGAGCTATCTAACGGCACCCTCTACTAACTTTTACGACTTATATTCGCGGAGTTATTAAGCAATACGCTAAAGTAAGCGTTAAATTAATCCTTGCTTAGCGCCCCTTTAGCGTATTGCTTAATATCTCGCTTGATAAATTTTATAAAAAATAGTAAAAAATACCTCTGGATTCTCCTTGAACTAACGGACTTAACGGTACTAATTATTAAACCGTACGATTAATACACGTAAAGTTATCAAAGATTGAAATAATGGGGTTTTATATAGGTTATTGGGGTGGCTAGGTTAATTGGGTGGCCAGGTTAAGTGGAAGATGCGTTATATAATCTTTTAAATATTTTAATAACCTTATAAAAGTAAAAAGATTATTATAAAATATATAATATAGCTAGTAAGGAAGCCTTTATAAAAGTTTAATAATAACTTATTAAGTTAAATGTAAATGTTTTAACTGTTTTTTAACTTTTAAAGCATTTTTTAAAAGCCTTACCTTTAAAAAAAGAGGCAACTTAATTAGCCCTTTATAATTTATATACTATAGCTAATTAATAATATAGCTTTATATATTAATAGCTTAAATTTTAAAGCTTAAAGGGTTTAGCTTACCTTTTATTAAAGTAATTATAATAAATTAACCTATAAAGGCTATTATAGCCTTATTAATAATAATAGTTAAAAGTAAGTTAATTAGTTATTTATTAACTTATTTAATAACTTTAAAAACTTTAAAAACCTTTAAAAAAGCTTACAGAAAGTTAACAGTAAGGTTATTAAAATCCTAAAAGGTAAAATGCTAATATAACTTAAAGAAGTAGTTTTTATTAATAAATAATACTATTATTATACTATAGTATCCTAAGGCCCCTGGAATATATATACTTTATATATATTATATACCCTTCCTATATATACTTTAAAGGAAATTCTTCCCTTCTTTAAGCTTTTATTTTATTAAATACTTATTATAAAATTAAAGAAACTTATAACATTATACTTAACCTTTAAAATTTAACCTACCTATAATAATTTTAAAGCTTTCCCTTAAGGTTATTTATAACGTTATTAATTATAATATACTTATATATAAATAAATAATTAAAGCTAGCGCTCTTTTAAAAAACTTAAATTAAAAAGAGTTTTTAATAATAATTTAAGGATAAAGCTAATATAATTTATCTTTAAAAGAATAATAAACTTAAAATTAATTATTAAAATCTTTTAATAACCTTAATTTAATAAACGAAGCTAATGTTTAATTATTATAATAAATAAATACTTAACTTTAATTAGAATTATAAAGCTAAAGAAATAACTTCTTAAAGAAAAAAAGGTTGCTTAAAGTTTAAAGGTAACCTATACCCTTTTTAAATTATATTTAAATAAAAAAGAAAAAAATTTAAAAATATTAAATTTAAATAAATTAAAGCATTACTTTAACCTTAATAATTTATAAACCTTTAATAATTAATAATATTATCAAAACCGAAAAAAGGGTAACGCATCTCCCACTTGACCTGGCTACCCAATTAAGCTGGCCACCCCCCCAGCCCATACAAGAAACGTCGGTGCGCTAATCACGTGATAATTTAATAACTTTACGAATATTGATTGTATAGAATAATAAGATATACCATTAGATTCGTAATAAAAAGAGCTATTTAACGGTACCCTCCACTAAGTTCTACAATATATATTCACGGAGTTATTAAGCAATACGCTAAAGTAAGCGCTAAAATAATCCTTACTTAGCGTTACTTTAGCGTATTGCTTAATATCTCGCTTAATAAATTTTATAAAAAATAGTAAAAAATACCTCTGGATTCCCCTTTAACTAACGGATTTAAAGGTACTAATTATTAAATTGTACGATCAATATTTGTAAAGTTATTAAAGATTGAAATAATGGGGTTTTATATAGGTTATTGGGGTGGCTAGGTTAATTAGGTAGCCAGGTCAAGTGGGAGATGCGTTAATCCTAATAATAATAACCCCTTATTATTTAACTTTAATATAAAGTATAATTAAAATAGTTATATATATTAATTATATTTAAATTATATATACTATTATAAATGCTATTCCTTTAAGGAAGCTAATTTAAGTTAGCTTTTTAAATTTAACTATAACTCCTTTAATATAAAGTTTACTTATTTAAAATAGTTAAAGTAAGTAAAAGAATTAAAAACTATATTCTATAAAGCTAATTATAAATTTAAAATTAATACTTTTAAAATTCTTTATATATATAATAAAATAAATAAGGATTATAAAAATATATATTAAATTATAAAAAAAAAGCTTAAATATATAAAAAAGAAGTAAATGGAATTTAATTAAAATATATTTTTAAATTAAATTAAAACCTTATTATATTAATCATTCTTCCTATAGGTTAATATTAATATATAATTTAAAAGGGCTATATAAT